ACAACTTCAAATGGTAACATTCCCTTTTCAGTTGGCCAGATTGCTGGCATTGCCCTGGGCACTCCCTATATATAACAGGGTTAATACTATGTCTATATCCCTCTTTCCCGGGCACTAATTGCACTTTAACACCCAAACATCCCAAGGAAAAAAAAAACTACACAAGACTTTAGCGAAATGGGAAAGAGACAGCAACGAAATATTTCAACAGCTTACCTAAATCATGTTGTTGCTGTTTACCGTAGTTACCGTGTGCTGTTTTTGTTTAACTTTTTTTTTTTTTTTTTGGCTCATGATTACATAAATTATACCCGTTGACAAAACACAGCCAGGCAGGCAGCAAGGCAGCCACCTAGCCAGGCCAATTGCCACAGAGATATGCCAAAAAGCCAAAAGCCAAAAAAAAAACAGCACACACAGATTTTTCTCAGCCATGTTTATGGGTTAATAACTTCATTTGACCATTTCTTGGCTTTTATTTTTGTTTTTCCACCAAAGGGGAGTAGTTTGGGGGAATATGCGTGGAATGCGGTCGACGAAGAAATTGGTAACATTTTTAGAGACATTTCTTGGCCTGATTAGCTTGATTTATTATTTATCTTAAGATTATATTTAATATTTCGTGTTAAGTGTTAAAAATTTCGCAATGTATCGATATTGATTGGTAAAATCGTTCCATTTTGAGGCATTAGCCTCAATTACCACTTTTGCTTCCTCTTTCTCCTGGCGATTTGACCTTCTGCTTGGAAATTCCAGTAATATTTTTTTTTTTTTTTTTCGAACTCGTCAGAGCCCCCGAACCGTTATCAGAGCGTCGAACTTGTTGGCGGCGAACGTGTTCGATGTGCCAATAATATGCAACAGCTGCTGCTGCTTCTTTTGTGTCTTTGGCTTTGCTTTGCTTTTTCTTTGCTTTGGCTTTGGTTTTGGTTTTGGCTTTTGGCTTTGGGTTAGCGGAATTTCGCGGCAAGCGGATCGCTCCGTTCAGTTGGCAACGTGCAACGCAGCCGCGCAGACGCAGACCGCGGTTCAAAACTCAACTACAAAAAAAAACCATTTTTTTTTATTTTTTGTTTCGAACCCGAGAGTTGCATCCCTTGACGTCGTTTTTGAAGTAACAACCGGAAGTGCCCAAGTGCCAGGCTACGCGGGCTAAGAATTGCAAGTAAGCCAAGCCAAAGTGAAAAGTGCAAATTGAGAGTTCAAGGGTTAACAAGGGACACACAAGGGTTAATGCTGTGACCACCTGTTGCCGGTTGGAGGAAAAAAAAAAAAAAATCGAAAACATTGTTGGGTGAAAAGTGCACTCAAGTGCAGTATAGTCGTGTTCAGGTCAAGATACACGACTTTACAAAGAGGTAGTAAGTAGGCTACATGTTGCATTTGCAACACCAACATCACTCTAACGGTTTCTTCACGATTGTCACGGTTTATGTTGGTGTTGTTGTTGTTGTTGTTGTTGTAGGGGACTGACAGACAGACAGTCATTTCTTTTGTTTTTTTGCAACACCAAAGACAATAGAAAGATTTGTCTTTGCCGACGAACATCAGCAACATGAACATTAACAAAAGCAACAGCATCACTTGCCGCAACAATTGTTTCTTTCTTTTTTTTTTTTTATTTATTTTTTTTTTAAATCATATGCCGCATGTTATGGCTATGGGAGATTGCCACGCCCCTTTCACATAACTACGCAAAAAATAAACAAAGGTATTGCAACAGTGGAGTGTTTTTTAAATTAAGATTTGAAATCTGACAGTTGCGGCATTTTTGCCAAAAAAAAAAAAAGCATAAAGATTGAGATGTTTTTGATAAAAGATCTTTTTTGAAAAAAAAAAAAAACAGAAAAAGTTGTATAATTAATTACTAAGCTAAGCAACAACTTCATCATAAAAATAGTATTTTTATGAGACACTGGAAGAAATAATATTTCTTTTTTTTTTTAAAGAAACCCACTTAATGGGTTAATTAAACATAAATATTTCCTAAAAACACCTTCTCTAAAATTTGTTTAGCTTAATATACATTTGGCACGCAGCACCAAGCACCGGCTATCTGCAACCTGCAACTTGCAACTTGCGGCAGGTGTTGTTGCAGGTAAATGCAATTTGCCGCTAGATAATTAAACGCATTACCTTCCCAAGAGTATTATAATTAATTAATTGCGCCATTTGGGCGAGTACTGTGTTGCCTTTGGGGCCAAACCCGAGTCATTGACACAATGACACGTTGGGTAGGAATCTTCAAAGCCCCTCCATAGAGCCAAGGTGAGTGACACACCGTCGTGAACCCAACCGCCACCTACTTTATAAAGCAATTGTGGGGCTTATCAACTGAATGAATGACCGAGTAAGTGACAGAGTGACTGACTGAGTGAGTGACTGACTGGGTGAGTGACGTTTGTTTACACCGAATTAGCGCACAAAATGGCAAAACCAATTCACTTTAATTGTCTCAATCATCAGGTGCCGGAGTGCGTGGGTGCTAACCAACTCTTTTGGGAATATTTTTCGAGAGGGGAAGTTCAGTGATCATGACCTTTATTCAGTGCGGAAGTTGTGGAAATTAGTTGCAATTATTTGGTGTGGAGGTTGCTATGAGTTAAGGTCAAAGTGGGGAAAGAAATATATGGTCCCTTATTAAAACATTAAATATTTTAAAGGATTTGCAAAGAACCTATCTATATCACAGTTTAAGATTTTAAGTACAAGTATCATACGGATATTAAGATCAGAGTTTATAATAAAAGATATGCCTTCTTATAGAAAAACGCCAGCTATATCCGATAACTCTTAACCCTTAAACTAAATTCTTCTATTAAAAGTCCCTGAACATCCTACAGATACAGGTTATTCTACCCAAGTTAGATAACAAAATAATGGAAGAAACCAATGATTTTTTAGTAAAACAAATATTATTTTAAAGTATTCATTAAATAAAGAACCTCACTGTATCTCAGTTTAATATTTCTAATAAAAAGAGTGTAGAATACACACATTTATTAGGTAAAAAGCCTAGGTTACAAATGAAAGATATACTTCCTCAAACAAAGAACCTAGTAATACCCCAGACTTTGTAGTTATAAAAGTATTAATATTTATAATTATCCCATTGCAGAGGAAAAAAAAGGTTAGAGAAGTTAGGAGCTATTGAAAGAACCATAAAATTTCATCCAAGACTTTTAGTTCGAAATTGTATTTCTATTTATTACTCTTTAAAGCCCACAAATATCCTATTTATAAAACCGCCTGTCGATAGTTAACGAAAAAAAATATAATGAAAATAAACCGAAATCGGTGGGGATACCAGGTGTGGCAAGCCGGTGGGGGGAGGGTGATGGAGAAATGGATGGATGACTCCGGGGCAGCGGGCCAACAGGTTTACCTGGTCCCGGAGCCGCGTCTTGGCCGCAACTAAACTCGTTTCTCGCTGACCCAATTTCATGCAACTTTTTTTTTCGACATTTTTGTTTTTTACAACAATCTGCTTCTGTTGTAAGCTTTTTTTTCGCAAAAAAAACACAAACCGAATCACAAAAAGAAAAACCCTCGACTCAGCTAGCGGAGATACAGATACGGATACAGTATCTGCATCTGTGAGACCAAAGAGTATCTGCATCCCCGCCAGAAAAGATACGATAGCCACCTGTATTTTTTGTTGATTATTTTTGCTGTTATTTTGGCCCAGTCCGGCCTTTCACTTGGCCACCTTAAGGTGGGTAAGAGCGGGTTCCGCTTGCCAGGTAATTGAAGTGATAAGAGATCGACATTGAAATCGATTATGTCAGAGGGGGTTTCCAAGCAAAACCAGTTTTCACTTCGGAGGAGAAGGAGAACCTTTCATTGGAGACCCCCTATTAGAGAGCTCTTAACAGCACATTAGACATAATATCGGCCCTATAAAGAGTTAATGAACTTGTTAATCAAAATGGTTTCATTCCATTAGTGCCGCAACATCGTTAATCATTCCATCCACCTGTCACTTTTGGTTTCTGGGCCCCGGGGCAACCCTTCACTGGATTTCTCACCCACCCGGGGAGGTGGCGCACAGAGCCACCTCTCCCAGCCGCCCGCCGTCCGATTTGTAAACTGGATAGACAGGCGCTGAATTCCGTTGGATATTTCAACACCCGCACTCTTACCAACTCAACAACAGCCAAGAGACATGTGTCAACGGGTCTCCCCCAAGCCCCAAGCCCCAAGCCCCAAGCCATAAACCATAACCCATAGGGTCTGCAGATATCCAAAGCCTAAGCACCGAACCTCATCATGAGCCGGCATTAAGTGTATCCGTCAGATACAAAATGCTCGCAATACAATCGAAATGAAACGAACCCACCAAATATTCCGTCTTTGCCCAATCGAGCACGCCAATTACGAATACCCCCGAAATAAAAATAACACTCCATAGGTCTCCCTTACGTCATAGGTGGGGAGGGGGGGATCGTACAACACCACCGACCGTACACACACTGTTGTAATCCGCGATCCACCACAAAAGCCGAACAAACGGCCCACGAATTTGAAAGACAAACAAACGAAAGATGGCTAACCATTGTGGCTGTAATGCAGTAACGTGGCCAGCATTATAGGCCCAAATGAAGAGCCGCCGGTGGCCAAAACCCTTTGAAATGCTGTTGCTGCCATAAATCGTCAAGGTCGTTGCTGTGTTAACAGCCACAGCCGGGGAGGTGGCGTTGGTTAGCATGTTGTAACCCAGCCGATGCAGTTTACAAGCTACTGACTTGGTTAACAACGTAATTAGTGCTACTGGGTTTCTGAAATTTAGAACAGGCAAGGCAATCAATTGGGAGTTTGGTAATAAAATGCAAAAAATATTAGCAACATGTGGCATAAGCATTAGCCCAACAGCCTTTCTCTTTGGACTCTCAAGTGATTTTTCAATAATTTTGTAAACCTTTTAACTAATTTTCTATGTTTTTTAGTTGGCTGACGACAAGCACAAGGATAGCACAAAGACAGAAGAGGAATCTAAACAATTACCTAAGGAAGCTAAGAAGGATAATAGCATAGGACTAAGCCCACAATCCCCGAAACCTATCACATTGCGGGCCACATAAAGCCCCGCCATGCACAAAAGAAAAAAACGCTAGACTCTAGAGAGAAGGAAAGATCCCCTCAAGGACCTCAAACACAAACATTACTCCATCTAACCCCCTGGAACGGAAGACTAGACTAGAAACTATCCCCAAACAAAACCTCCTCGAATCACAGTCACAACACCCCCAACATGGTGCTCAACCTGCTGTTTATAACCACAGTGATCAAGTCCACCTTCGGAGTGGTCACCACTGGCCTCTGGCTCATACCCCTGATGCTGGCCGCCATCACGTACTACCGATACGACGCCGTGGACCCCGAGTCGAGACCGCTGGATCAGCTGAATCTCTGGCCGGAGTACGACTTCATAGTGGTGGGAAGTGGTTCGGCGGGAGCCGTGGTGGCCAATCGCCTGAGCGAAGTGCGAAAGTGGAAGGTGCTGCTCATCGAGGCCGGTCCGGATGAGAACGAGATCTCGGACGTGCCGTCGCTGGCGGCCTACTTGCAGCTGAGCAAGCTGGACTGGGCCTACAAGACGGAGCCCTCGACCAAGGCCTGCCTGGGCATGCAGAACAATCGCTGCAACTGGCCGAGAGGTCGGGTCCTCGGCGGCAGCTCTGTTCTCAACTACATGCTCTATGTGAGGGGCAACCGCAACGACTACGACCACTGGGCCTCGCTGGGCAACCCGGGCTGGGACTACGACCATGTGCTGCGCTACTTCAAGAAATCGGAGGACAATCGCAATCCGTACTTGGCCAACAATGCCTATCACGGGAAGGGAGGCCTGCTCACCGTCCAGGAATCGCCTTGGCACTCGCCCTTGGTTGCCGCTTTCGTAGAGGCCGGCACCCAAATGGGCTACGAGAATCGGGACATAAATGGCGCCCAACAGGCCGGCTTCATGATCGCCCAGGGCACTATTCGCCGCGGGTCGCGCTGCTCCACGGCCAAGGCCTTCCTCAGACCCATTCGCCAGCGCAAGAACTTCCATCTCTCCATGAACTCCCATGTCACCAGAGTCATCATCGAGCCGGGCACGATGCGGGCCCAGGCGGTGGAGTTCGTGAAGCACGGAAAGGTCTACAGGATAGCAGCCCGCAGGGAGGTCATCCTAGCGGCCGGAGCCATCAACACACCCCAAATCATGATGCTGTCGGGTCTGGGCCCCAAGAAGCACCTCGAAAAGCACGGAATCCGGGTCCTGCAGGATCTGCCCGTGGGCGAGAATATGCAAGACCACGTGGGCATGGGAGGACTAACGTTCCTGGTGGACAAGCCCGTGGCCATTGTCCAGGACCGTTTCAATCCCACGGCAGTTACCTTCCAGTATGTGCTGCGGGAACGCGGACCGATGACCACTCTGGGCGGAGTCGAGGGCCTGGCCTTCGTCCACACGCCCTACTCGAATCGCAGCCTCGACTGGCCGGACATTCAGTTCCACATGGCGCCGGCCTCCATCAACTCGGACAACGGGGCCCGAGTGAAGAAGGTGTTGGGCCTCAAGGAGTCGGTCTATCAGGAGGTCTACCACCCCATTGCCAACAAGGACAGTTGGACGATAATGCCGCTGTTGCTGCGACCCCGATCTCGGGGCTCTGTGAAGCTCCGCTCGGCCAACCCCTTCCACTATCCCCTCATTAACGCCAACTACTTCGATGATCCGCTGGACGCCAAGACCCTGGTGGAGGGCGCCAAGATAGCCCTGCGAGTGGCCGAAGCCCAGGTCTTCAAGCAGTTCGGTTCGAGGCTGTGGCGGAAGCCACTGCCGAACTGCAAGCAGCACAAGTTCTTGTCGGACGCCTATCTGGAGTGCCACGTCCGGACGATTTCGATGACCATCTACCATCCGTGTGGCACTGCCAAGATGGGACCCGCCTGGGACCCCGAGGCTGTGGTGGATCCCCGCCTCAGGGTCTACGGCGTTCGGGGCCTGAGGGTGATCGATGCCAGCATTATGCCCACGATAAGTAGCGGGAATACCAACGCTCCGGTCATCATGATTGGCGAGAAGGGCGCCGATCTCATCAAGGAGGACTGGCTGACGAATCCCGAGTACAAGGTGAAGCGGCAGGCGCAGGTGGTGCGCGAAACAGAGCCAGCCGAGAGCAATCTGGAGGGCATCAGTCTACTGCCACCGGTCAGCAACACAATCCAGGTGGACGCCGATACGATTAGTGACCGGAGCGGCAACAGCAGCCACCACCTCGACGTCAGCAGGAACAGCACCCTCGAGAGCAGCAGCTTCAGCGGCAACAGTACCCCAGTCATGGTCAGTTAGTGAATCGGGAGGAGTAGTGGGAGGGGCTATAAGTTCCAAAATAGTGCTCAGGGGTCCATTAGCTTTACACAACCGAGAAAACGAGAGAAAAAACACAAATGTTTGCCATTGCTTGAATTAATTGTGGTGATAAGCCCGAAAAACCCCATTCTCTAGCTCAATATCCTCTTTTTTTTTAATCTCAGCTAATGTCATCCTTGAATGTAAAGAGTCTCAAAGCAACCACAAGAAGGACAACCCAGAAATCGAGTCATAGATTAAATGCCTTACTTCACTTATGCTGTAGACTATTCCTAGCTGCCTTAGTAATTGTTTCTTTTCCATCTAATATACATATTTTTTTTGTGTTTATGTATTATTTATGCTAAGCTAGTACTAGAATATTTAATACTGTTTGACTATTTATAAGAAGTTCTCATACACGCGCATTATTTAAACGACATTCTATTTAATAAATTAAATATCATAATTATTTTTTGCGAGTTTATCTGTTGGGAGGCGCGGTGGGGAGGCTATTTAATGTTGACAGCCAAAAAGCAGGCAACAAAAATGAGGTAAGCTTGTAGATTTGGCCCTATGACTCATAAGATTGGCCAAAACTAGTTGCTATTTGTTTTGGTTTATAATTACTGAAGTATTTGTACTATCTTCTAGTTATTCTCTATCTACTACTCTCATCTTTTATCTGTTAACTCTATCTATTACTATTAATCCCTCGTCATATGCCACTCCCATGCCTGACCTATAAATCATATTTCAAAGCATTTTTATGCACGGAAACATTTTAATGGAAAGCCAAACCCATCAGACCGCGACTAAAGATGTAGCCTATCCTCTGGGCGTCCTCTGTCGTAAAGACCCAACAGCACGCAATATTCTGGTGTAGAAAATTAATTACTAGTAACGAATGGCGAAATATTTCGCACCTGTTGCAGTTACGCCCCAAAAAGCTAAAACAGCTAGCAGTCTAAAAAAAAACGGACAACCAATCGATACTAGTTATAAATCATAAGTTTGACAGCTCCGAGGGACTGAACCACAAACCTTGACTAGCAATTTTCATGTTTTCAAAAGTATCGGAAGTCGGAAACAACCAACTTGGTCTAATCAACCCACAAAATTAATGGCTTTTTCCGGTCGGAATCAAAGATGTGCTAACTAATCGGTCCCTGTCCCACATTGTCCACAAAAAAATCAAGAAAAAAAATGTTCTAATTGAGTTAATAATTCCAAAAACCAGAAACTGAAAGCTAAGCTCAAAACCTGACTTTATGGCTAATTAATGGAAATGTCCACAAGTCTCGGCCATTTACAGAGGGCACGAGCACAAATCACACGACTTAATGGGCTTGGGCGGGGCGGTGGTTCAGACAAGTTCAAGGTCTAAGCCGAGAATAATTCATTGGCTCTTAACGGAATACCTAAAATTTTTAAAAATGATGATATAATCCTAGGATGAACGATATCTAATTTTGGTTTATGAGAAAATCTAATGATTTATGAAAAAATGATTTTACGATATTAATATTTTCAAATTCTTAAGACAGCTGGGCCTGTCTTCGTCTTCGTCTTCGATCTAGGCAGTTCCCACTCCTATTTAATTTTTTATTTACTTTTTTGTATTATTCAGATTTTTAGCATTATTCCGAATCCAAAAACTCTCTTGCGGTGTTTATAGACGCACAAAATCCACCATCAAAAACTTCTACGCTTTTCTTATTTTATTTGAATGTTAGGAGAACCAGTTGGCCATTTATTACCTCCTTTACTTTACCAAGATATTTAATTTTATTTAAAATTCAGTTACTGAAAACTTATGGAGATCACGCCCACAAAAAGCAAGAAAAATAAGATCAAAACTATATAAAGATGGCAAAAAAACAATGTCTACGTGACCAGTTAGCAACCGATTGCAATTTCTTTAGAGAAACTGAGACCATAGTCTTCACATCTTGCCCTAGTCCCCGAACATGTGTGCACATTTCTTGGCCAAAAACGCAATAAACCTAAACAAAAGCAAAACAAAAAGCCAAAATACGAAAAATATCAAAAAAATTCGCAAAGGAAAACTGGGTCAATGGCCAGCGGAAGTATCAGCTTTGGTTCATCCGTTCGTCCGACTTCCGGATTGATGTGTTACCGTTCCAGTTAGAGGTCAATCAACTTGTTGGGCTCCGTTAGACACCCGATCGGATATACCATACATGAGCGTAGATATCGGTTCAACCAGTTGACCCAGACCCAATGAACTTGATCTCTGGCTTTGCATACCGCAACGTCACTCACACCACACATCGACTCACCTGTAAAGACACAGAGGGAGAGAGGGAGAATTATTAATTGGTTTCAATAAATCATCACGACAACCTAAGAATAACCCATTATAGGGAGATTACAAAATCAGTATTCATGGCTAGCATTCTTCTAAAGTGATCGGAAGTGCTTGGTTTCGACCCTGGCTGGTGATTAGTGATCGCCTGACCCATATATGCTACCTGTACAGCCAGTTCTCGAGTTTGTTACAACATAGATACACTCGACTTCCCCAATTCGATTGAAAAGCAAACAAAAAATTCTTAAGAAGCAACCTTGAGATTCTTTTTTTTTTTGAGGCATACAGGTTTCGGTGTCTGATTCACGCTGTGGGTCACTGGAAAAATCACTCTGAGAACTTGGATTAAAATATTTATTATATATAGAGGCTAAATATCGAAGGGGGGTTCTCGCGGATTAACATATCCAAAGTTTCCAAAGGGGGAAATGGAATTTAGATTGATTTAATGAGTGGCTATGGAAAAGTTTGAATGAATGGCTTGGAATCGAGGCGGTTAATAACATCTCACAACTGATGTTCTAATCGATAAGTGTCTGTTAGAGCTGAACACATCACACCTACTACTAATTATAAGTAATCTTGATTTTTGAAGTGATTATCTTGATCCATGACCCTTGGGTCGATCAACTTCCTAGCCCGACACTTATTTTTGTGGCTTCGAAAATATTTCTTAAAAGCCGCTGATGTGTTGGCGTCACGTACTCTCAATTGGCCATTGATCGGATCACAGATCACAACAATCGGAGCAAATAGTGGCGATTCCAAGCTCAAATAATTGCACACTTTAATGTGCTTTATTGCTCGGCAAACAATAGAGTGTTATCTGGCCATTTGTTTGTCTCCCCACCGACAAGACTATATATATATCGAAGCACTCATACAGCCGGCAATTATTCGCATTATGGTCGTATCAAAATGTTATTCAACTTCTGTTCTGCTTTGTCATGTCAATCATCTGCAAATCAATCGATTTGTTTTGGTTTCGGGGCAGCCTCTCGATAGATAATTGATTCATTTCTTGCCGGACTTCCTACAACCGCAGAAAATCTCAATAGGAATGCAATTATGTACTTCTGTTACTGTTCTCGGGCTATGGATAATGGTACTTCCCACAACAAAGACTAACAAAATGGTGAGATCGTTTGCGGATGAATTTTAATCCAAAAAACACTCAACTATTGTACACCTTTTGAAGTTCCGGAATCGGAAAAGTGTTGTATCACAGTTCCGTGCAACTGGAAACTGGCCTACGTGAGCTTGGTGTTGGGGAGCCTGGCCGCCGAACTTCCCTCATTTCGTGGAGCTGGTCCATCAGCTGGAGGCTGTCCCGGGTCTGGGTGCTACTTGGACTGTGCCAGCAGTGCTTGTACCAAGCCGTGTGCTGATGGCTCAGCCCAAATCCTGCGGCGATGCTGAGGGAGCAGTGCTGCAGGCTCCGGGCCAGGACTCGCAGGAAGCCCCCTAGCCGAGTGCCGGGCACCAGATCGGGCCGGGATTGGGTCTCCAGCACACCGCACTGATCTGGTCGAACGGTTCTATTTTTGATTTCCAGCTTATCCGCATCCTCCCAGTCGTCGGTGGAGTCGGCGCCGGGTTCGTACCCCTTGTCCGTACCGGTCACCTGGAGGCTGTTCTTGTACAGGATGTTGCAGGTGCCCGGCGATCCTTCCGCACCCAGACTCTCCACCGAGTCCACCGGATCCGAGACCAAGGCCCCCAGGCACTTTTTCGAGCATCCGGGCACATTGTCGGCCTTTTTGTGGCCATCGGGTGGACTAACAAAGTGCACAGCCCGAGGATTAGGCCGCGGAGTTCCAGAACTCCCAAGGGTTCTACGACCTTTTCCACTCGGCAGCGACATGACGATTCTATTGGCGTTTCTTTAATCAACCGGATATTGAAAAAGAGTATTTATTTTTTTGGAATTTTGAGTATTGTCTGTGGATCTACTTGGATTACGTTTCCGATTATATTTCTTCTAATTTATGTGCCTTCTAAATTGCCTCATAGAGAGCAACAACCCACCCAGAGTTGCACAACCCAAATACTTGCCATTCACCAAAAAAATAAATAAAATAAAATGCCTATTAATCTATTCTATTCTTGGTCAACCTTGAGAAAATCACATTCAAATCGAATGCGATTTATTTCTTGTAATATTTGCCAAAAATATTGCCACATGTTGCCGCTATGGATATGCAAATCAAAATGCTTTGTCATGATGATACAACTCGCAGCAATTAATAGAAGTCTCATTTTATAAACTTAAGAACATTTTACGGCCAAGATATTACCAAATTCCTGTTTTTTTTTCGCCAGTCATTCCACCAGCTGAGGCAACTAGACATACTTTTGGGGCTTGGCAGTCGAATCAGCTGCCAAAAAATCAATATCCTTTATCCTTCTGCGTGGTATGGAAGGCCAGGGACAAAACAGGTGGCCAAAAACGAGTGTCAAAGACCCAATAGAGACATGGTCGAGGCCCGTCAAGTTAATAACAAATGCCAAATCAAAAATTGTCCGTCATAGCCAAAGAGCAACTTGGCCAAAATCAGCAGTTGCCAACTAATGAAAAGTCGGTCAAAGACAACGAGTTTGCTTAAATTCTTGACTTTATGCGAACTGAAACAGAAACGGCAGAAGCAAAAACACAAATCGCCAGCACAATACCTATCGATAGTAGGTAGCCCCAAGCATTAATTGCCGTTAGTATGTGCACTGTGAGAAAAATGTGGGAGCTTAGAGTCATTAGTCGATATTACTCAGATAATATCCCAAAATAATGGTTATTTAGGCTTGATTTGATATTTTTATCGATTATATGGTCGAACTATCGATATTATTGAACGGTTGCTGTTTCTATCGATAGTAGATTAGTCGAATTTAGAGCTAAACTCTTTTGGAAATCCCCAAAATAATGACGATACAGAATAGTTTCGATTTAATTATCGACTGTTGTCGATAAAATCGTTTCTATCGCTATTATCGAAAGTTCTATCGAACGTATTATCGATAGTTTTATTGATTTTTAATCTCATTATAAAATAATTTCTTAAAACAAGGCACAAAAAAAATTATATTTATACTTTTAATCGATTTTATCGATATCTTTTATAGTCTCTATCGATATTATTTTATTTAATGTTTTTAGTTCTGATTTACGACTGTAAAAAATAAATTTATTGAACTAAACTTAAATTCTCAATAAAAAAACCCTCTTTAATCGATATTATCGATAACATTTTACTTTCTTTTAGTTTAGACCTTTCTCTATCCCAAATAATTACTTGATTTTTTTCGCTCTGTGTACTTAGTAGCCACTAGCTAGCTCAACGAACTCAAAGACCGCGAATCTGAGACAAAATTGCTAAAAATGGAAGCCGCAGTGCTCCGCAGAAACCAGCAACCTTGGCTCCAAAGTGTTGGGCTTGAATGTCAACGGTTCTTAAATGCCGGCTTTGGCCTTGCCTCTTGCCACAAAAGGTTCTGCCTCGGTTCTTTATGGCCCCTGCCCAGCCTCCAGCTGCCCTGCCTCATTGGTATTCCGAACTCATCCGACAAAAAAAAGAAGGAAGAACTCCCCCTAGAATCCCTTTGGACGGATGTCCCTCAAGGTTTCGCGATCGCATCTCATATTTTACTTTTATTTTGGATTTTTTTAGGGCGGAGAACACATCAAAAAACCATTAAGCAGCTTCTTAATTTATTTTTGTTGCGGTTTTGTATGTGAGTTTTTATTTATTCACTTTGTCATACGGTTGCGCTCGGCTGGCCAACTATCTTGGCCAGCTCTTGTTTCTTGGCTTTGGCGCTTTTAGAGCCCAGTCGTCGGCACCGGGTTCTCCCATTCTAAGCTCCGCGAATAATCACATGCAAGCGGAAATAATTATAAAATTACTCACTAAACAATGCAGCGAAAACACACACACACATTACAAGCCTTCGACTCCATTCATTATCTTTACTTGTAATTATAATTAGAGGCCCTGCGATTGCGACGGCAATTTAAAAACAAATCAATAGTTTTTGTTCAAAAATGCGCAAGTTCATTGGGCGATTGGGGTCTTTTTGAGGATTATTTTTAGCCACTTAGTTGCCAGCTTCAGTAATCATTAGGTTTTCAGAGATTTATTAGAGATCTTACAAGATTTTGTAATTACCATATATGTTGGTTTCGGCTAAAAGTTAAGGTTTAAACAAACCCTTCATTACAACTTAAGTATTAAAAATTAAAGAAGCAACGATGTTACATTCTATTCATATAGGTATGAATCTTTAAGAGGTATCAGGATTCTTTTGAGAGGTACTACAAAGATCTTTTTCTCTCGACTGAAGATTATAGTTTTCTTCTAAATATGTTACAAATACAAAATCTTCCAATATACTAAAGATAACAAAAACAGATACATGATAAATAAGACATCGCCGAGGGCCATATGGGGGAAATCTGCATTTTCAAGGGGTCTCATCAGGAAAAATGGACAAAAAATCCAAAAAAATATTTTGTGTTAGGATTTTGATGCAGAATGATGGAGAATCGATATAGAAATCGTTTAAGGTACTCCGCTTGAGAATCGGATCAGAATTGGGGAAGATATAGACATCGCCGTGGGCCATATAGGGAAAATCTGCATTTTCAAGGGGTCCCATCAGGAAAAATGGACAAAAAATCCAAAAAATATTTTGTGTCAGGATTTTGATGCAGAATGATGGAGAATCGATATAGAAATCTTTTAAGGTACTCCGGTTGAGAATAGGATAAGAATTGGGGAAGATATAGCCATTACTGTGGACCCTATTGGGGAAAACCGCATTTTCAAGGGATCCCATCATGAAAAATGGACAAAAAATCGAAAAAATATTTTGTGTCAGGATTTTGATGCAGAATGATGGAGAATCGATCCAGAAATCGTTTAACGTACACCGCTTGAGAATCGGATCAGAATTGCGGAAGATATAGACATCGCCGTGGGCCATATGGGGGAAATCTGCATTTTCAAGGGGTCCCATCAGGAAAAATGGACAAAAATCCAACAAATATTTTGTGTCAGGATCGATATATCTATCGATGTCTATATCTTCTTCTAGGTCATACAAATAAATACAATATTGAACTATTTCTAAAGTTATGTATAAACAATATTAGATTCTGGTAATAGAGGTTTACTTGTATTCATAGATCTATAAGGAAGATACATTCCATTGATGCAGATGTTCTTTACAAGATATTACAGAGCTATTCTTCAAAAGATATCTTCTAGAGGTATTGAGAATTCATCTAGCGATATTTAAAGATATTCTTTTTAAAATATTACAAATATATTTTAATTTTCAGCTATTGTAAGATATAGATGTCCCCCAGCATTACAAAGTATTGCTTGATATGCAATTATTACTTACTGATGACTTGTTATCATAAACTTCCTTATTTTATAAACCCGTTTACAATTTAACATATTTATTATTATAAATAAAAGGTAACAATTTCAATTAATAATTTTTTTACCTTTAAAATTGTACACTACTAACACCTGTATCTGGAATGCCAAGTTGACAATAAGAATAGCTCTTAATGATACGATTCCAAGTCACTGCATTTCGGAATGCCTACGATCTCTGATCGATCAATCACTGAGCACAGCACTTGGTATTCCGCACGGCGAATGGTTCTTAACTGGAATCTGGAATCTGAAGCCGAGTGCCTCAGTTCCCAGAGCTTTCGGGTTTACTGGAAGCCCCGACTAGGGCCTCTAGTTAGTCGATCGCGGCAGTCGGCTGCAAAAAGTCAAGACGCTCCAATGACTCTGGTGCGGTGGCGAACCCTTTTCCTCCCGGCGCTCCTCGTGGTTGGAGCTCTGGGCCAGAGCTACCACCCCAACTCGTTAATGGATGTCCTGGACTTCCTGCAGCGCGGTCAGCACCAAGCCGACCTGGAGAGACTCGATGACTTGGTGGAGCTGCGCTCGAAGTACGACTTCATTGTGGTGGGGGCTGGCACGGCGGGATGCGCTATGGCGGCGAGGCTCTCCGAGAATCCCAAGTGGAGCGTGCTGCTCCTGGAGGCCGGCGGCCCTGAGAACTACGTCATGGACATCCCGCTCGCCGCCCACCTGCTCCAGCTGGGCGAGATGAACTGGAAGTACCGGACGGAGCCCTCGGACAGCTACTGCCTGGCGATGAACGACAGACGCTGCAACTGGCCGCGGGGCAAGGTGATCGGCGGCAGCTCCGTCCTCAACTACATGATGTACACGCGGGGCAACCGCCGGGACTACGACCGGTGGGCCGCCCTGGGAAATCCCGGCTGGAGCTACCAGGAACTGCTGCCCTACTTCCGGAAGTACGAGGGCAGCACCATCCCCAATGCCGACGAGGGGCTGGTGGGCCGCCAGGGGCCTGTGAAGGTATCCTACCCGGACACCCGCACCAAAATAGCCGACGCCTTCGTGGAGGCCTCCCGGGAGGGGGGTCTTCCCGGGGGCGACTACAACGGCGCGTCCCAGATCAGGGTCTCCTACCTCCAGGCCAACATCTACAACGAGACCCGCTGGAGCTCCAACCGCGCCTACCTCTATCCTTTGAAGGGAAAGCGCCGCAACCTCCACGTGAGGAAGAACACTCTGGTCACCAAGATTCTGATAGATCCGCAGACCAAGAAAGCCTACGGAGTCATGGCGACTGTGGGCAACAGGTCCCAGAAGATCCTGGCCAAGAGGGAGGTCATTGTCTCGGCCGGAGCCATCAACACCCCCCAGCTGCTGATGCTGTCAGGCGTGGGCCCGGCCAAGCACCTCCGGGAAATAGGCATCAAGCCCCTGGCCGACCTGGCCGTGGGCTACAACCTGCAGGACCACATAGCCCCGGCCATCAACGTCCTGTGCAACGCGAGCTCCCTGCAGCCCAGCCAGTTTTTCAGCATCGATTCGCTGGGCAAGTTTCTGGCAGGTCACGGTGTTCTCAAGATACCTGGCGGCGTGGAGGCCATTTCCTTCTATGCCCTGGACGACGACCAGAACCCAGATGGCTGGGCGGATATGGAACTCTTCCTGGCCGGCGGGGGACTCCAGACCAACGGGGCCTTGCGGATCGCCTTGGGCATCACCGAGGACATCTACGAGAACATGTTCGGCGACCTGGAGCGCAGCAGTGCCAACGGCTTCATGATCTTTCCCATGATCCTGCGCGCCAAGAGCCGCGGCAGGATCAAGCTGAGGAGCCGGAGTCCCACCGACCACCCCAGGATCTACGCCAACTACTTTTCTCATCCCTACGACCTGAACATCACGGTGCGGGGCATCGAGAAGGCCGTCAGCTTGCTGGACCAGCCGGCCTTCAGGGACATCGGGGCGAGGCTCCTGGACAGGACACTGCCGGGCTGCCAGCAGTACCAGTACCGGAGCAGTGCCTACTGGGCGTGCTATGCCCGGCACTTCACGTACACCATCTACCACTACTCGGGAACCGCCAAGATGGGTCCTCGCTCGGACCCGGCGGCGGTGGTGGACGCCCGCCTGAGAGTCCACGGCATCGGGAACCTCCGCGTGGTGGACACCAGTATTATGCCCTACTTGGTGTCCGGTCATCCCAACGGACCGGTCTACCTGATAGCCGAGAAGGCGGCGGACTTGGTCAAGGAAGATCATCAGTTTAGGTGAAAGGCTTTGTGATAAAAAGTTGAGCTTTATGGTATTTCTTGTTGGTATTTGTATTTATCGATAATTATCGATTAAATTATAATTATAATAATTTAATATATTACTTGTTGCCATTTGTATTTAATAAATACAATTAAAATGTATACTTTTTATTACCGTTTTTGGCATTTATTTGGGATGTCTCCGTCCAATAGTCGATAATTATCGATTAATTACAATTTGTGAATGATTTGTATTTATTAGGGAGTACTTCACACAATAATCGATATCTCTAAACACTTAAACATGCGTATTTTATTAATTAGTTTTAATATTAAGATTTATATCGAAGAGTGAAAATCGATATTTATCGAATAAAATTATATACATATGAGCTCAAACGTATTTTGCTTTTGACATTATAGATATTTTTTGCACAGTATAGTATTTATATACAGTATTTTATTGGTGTTATTAAGGTTGACTCAATTTAAGAATTAAAGTTTATCGATAAAATTAAAATATCGACATTTTCGTTTGTCATTAATCGGTATTTATTATTATTTGAAATTGTTATAAGTTTCCGGATTCAGAATAATATAATATTTCATAATAATCGATAATTATCGAGTAAATTATAAATTATAACTTATACTGGTATACTGGTAACTATTATCGTTGTTGTTTATGGTTAATACTGGTAGTTAATAATACAGAAATTGAATTAATATAGTAATTCACAATTATCCATAACTTTAAACGGTACTTAAGTTAGTCATTAATTTTAATTTATTGTTGGTACTGGTACTTAACATGACTATCAGCTTATCGATAATTATCGATTAAATTATAATTTGCGACTTCACGCTTGTCATTAAAGTTGCATTACAAAACCATATTTTTCCGTCAATTAGTTTTTAATAAAAAAGCCCCCCAGGGTAGGGTTCTAGAGTATTTTTTCCGATATTTACATAATTTTACGATAAATAACTTTCCATTAAAACTTAATAAGTGGAGACTTGTCATTATAGAAACTAAATATCTATAAGTGAGTAATGATTCTTCTAACAAAGAACTTTAATAGAATCTCGTCTAAAAATCAGTTGCCATCCGAGTCTGAAAAAATTAATTTAGATTCAGAATCTTTTATAAACAAAAGCCACATAAATAAGACTAAAATATTATGGGTTTATCCGAAAAGATCACGATGAGTTGACTGAATTCCCACGAAGAACCCCGCCCAAGAAATTCTTAGTCGCTGCTTTAATTAAAGAATTGTTTTGAATGTGGACTTGGACTTGGACTTGGAAGAGGATCCAGTCTAGCCATGGGAAGCCCTTTAATGGCTTGCTTCCGCATCTAGCAGATATATTATCTAAGAGTTGTATATAGAAACCGAAAGCCCAACAATCGGTCCAAGTCAATGTCAGATTGCGGAGCTAGCAGCTTTCGATTTTGTTTTTGTTTATGGTCTTTGGGTTTTTTATTTTGTTTCTCAGTCTCCGAGTCTTCGAGTCTCCGAGTCTCGGAGTCTTGTGAACGTGTCCACAGTCATGCTATTGGCCAAAAGTGACTTGGCCAAAAGACTTTGGAGAGGAGATTTGAAGATTCTTGGGTGATCGGCACGGCATACCATATGTTTTCTGATTTCTGGCCCGAAGTTGCAAACCGAAGCCGGCCGACAGATTCGCGTTCGGCAGCCGAGATTTAATATTAAATTGAACTTGGCCACGGCATTTGTCAGCATTTCTAGTTTCGGTTTCGATTGGGCAACACGTCGTGTCTTAGTGGCTGCCAAGAAAGAGAAGAACGCGCTCCCCCCAACCTTACCGCTTACCGCTATTTTTTTTCAAGTGCAAAGAATCAAAGAAAGTGCCGAACCCAGCCGGAGACCCAAGAAGGCCAACATGGCATTCAAAGCGACTCTATACCTGACCTGCCTCGGGCTGCTGGGCCTCATCCGCGCCCAGGAGAACAACGTCCTGTTCGAGACCATCAACTTCCTGCGCCGCGGCCAGGCCGACCTGGAGCTGGAGAACCACGACAACTATGTCGTCCTCGAGCCGGAGTATGACTTCATCGTGGTGGGGGCCGGCACGGCGGGATGTGCCCTGGCCGCCCGGCTCTCCGAAAACCCCAAGTGGCGCGTCCTACTGCTGGAGGCTGGCGGGCCCGAGCGCCTCGTGATGGACGTGCCGATCGTAGCCCACTTCCTGCAGCTCGGCGAGATGAACTGGAAGTACCGGACCCAGCCCTCGGACCACGCCTGCCTGGCGATGAACAACAACCGCTGCAACTGGCCGCGCGGCAAGGTGGTCGGCGGCAGCTCCGTCCTCAACTACATGATGTACACGCGCGGCAACCGCCGGGACTACGACCGGTGGGAGGAGCTGGGCAACCCCGGCTGGAGCTACAAGGACGTGCTGCCGTACTTCAAGAAGTACGAGGGCAGCAGCGTGCCCGACGCCGAGGAGGACTACGTGGGCCGCAACGGGCCCGTCAAGATCAGCTACGTCAACTGGCGCTCCAAGATATCGGAGGCGTTCGTGGAGGCCGCCCAGGAGGACGGGCTCAAGTACCGGGACTACAACGGGCGCATCCAGAACGGAGTGGCGTTCCTGCACACCACCACGCGCAACTCGACGCGCTGGAGCTCCAACCGCGCCTACCTCTACCCCCTGAAGGGCAAGCGCCCCAACCTGCACATCAAGAAGTTCGCCCTCGTCACCAAGGTGCTGATCGACCCCCAGACCAAGACCGCCTACGGCATCATGGTGCAGGCCGACGGGCGCATGCAGAAGATCCTGGCCCGCCGCGAGGTGATCGTCTCCGCGGGCGCCATCAACACCCCCCAGCTGCTGATGTTGTCGGGCGTGGGCCCGGCCAAGCACCTCCGGGAGGTGGGCATCAAGCCGATCGCCGACCTGGCCGTGGGCTACAACCTGCAGGACCACACGGCGCCAGCGGTCACCTTCACCACCAACGCTACCTCTCTGAAGTTTGAGGACTTTGCCGATCCGACGCTCATCAACCGTTTCAACCGGATGGAGGGTCCTTACGGCTCACCGGGCGGCTGTGAAGCCATCGCCTTCTGGGACCTGGACCACGAGCGCGACGAGGACGGCTGGCCGGACATCGAGCTGTTCCTGGTGGGCGGATCCATGTCCTCCAACCCGGCCATCTCGCGGGCCTTCGGCCTCAAGAAGTCCATCTACGACTCGCTCTTCGCCGAGATCGAGGACAAGTCGCTGAACGCGTTCATGATCTTCCCCATGATCCTGCGCCCCAAGAGCCGCGGCCGCATCATGCTGAAGAGCACCGACCCCTTCAAGTATCCCCTCATCCACGCCAACTACTTCGCCCACCCCTACGACGTGGACATCTCGGTGCGGGGCCTCCTCAAGGCCATCAGCCTGATGAACCAGAAGGGCATGCAGGCCATCAACGCCAAGCTGTGGGAGAAGAAGATCCCCACCTGCAAGCAGCACCCCTACAAGTCGTGGGCCTACTGGGCCTGCTACGTCCGCCACTTCACCTTCACCATCTACCACTACTCCGGCACCGCCAAGATGGGCCCCAAGTCCGACAGGGCCGCCGTCGTCGACCATCGCCTGCGCGTCCACGGCATCAAGAACCTCCGCGTGGCCGACGCCAGCATCATGCCGGAGATCATGTCCGGCCATCCGAACGGACCCGTCTTCATGATTGCCGAGAAGGCGGCCGATATGATCAAGCAGGATCACGGATACATCCAGTAATCCCAGGGGATAGTTGCTAGTTCTTAGTCCAAAGCCGATCGTCATCATCATCAGGTGTAGGCCCCACTGCCACCGGCCCTGTACCATCCCCTGCTTCCATCCCATCCCTCCCGGCCGGTCTTTGTGGGGCTTAGCTTTTAAGGAATCACTGTTTGTTTTTATGTTTAATTCTCTCTTGCCTGAACTGATTCTACTTTAAGTCTAGACCCGTAAGCCACAAGGAAACCTTATGAACAAATAAATCGAGTAAGTTTTGTATATAAAAAAAATAAGAAATGTATGTTTGTTTTTTTCAAGTGCCTAGGTAGCCTAAGGTAGATCTTAAAGGGATTTTCTATAAGCAAGATTTTTTAACAGAGATCTATATCAGGTGATGGGTCTTGAATAGCGCTCTTTAGAAGAAATATTTTAGATAGATTCCTATAAGATTTACTAATAAGATAGATAATGATAGAGCTCTTTAAGATTTAGAAGATAAATCTTAAATAGATACACTTATAATACTTTGATCTTGATAGATCTCTGTAACTTTGACCATCAAAAAGTAAGATGATTTTTCCAAGTTCCCTATATAATTTTCCAGATAAGGTAGGGTCTCTTTATAAGCATGATCTTACTCCTCTATAGCTCTGCGTATCCATCATCTTTACTTTTATCAATCCATAAGGTATACCCTAAACAGGGTAGGTCTTAAATAGATCTCTCTTAAAGATACATACATCATTATGGACCTCTATCATAATAGATTTTTGTATATACTCTTTGTAGGGTAGATATTAAATATAACTTTTATCTACAATACATGATTCCATGATATGATTGATCATAAAAAGATCTCCTCGTAAGAAAGTATGATGTATAATGATATATCTCTATGATCATGATCATGATCATCTGATGAACAAATTCCAAAAGACAGACAAGAAAGACATTTTTTTTCCACGTGCCTTTAGACAAGATACACCCTAAATAGATACCTACACCTGATAGATCTCCGATAGATCGGTCTAAAGACCAATCTTAAATAGACCTCTATGACTCTGCACATCTGACATTGACATTGAACCTTTATTGGCCGTGTCTCATTCGTTTCTACACCGAAATCTTCGGTTCAGCTCCGGCAATTTTCATGCTAATCAATTGGCAGTCGCATCATAATCAAAAATCCGTGAAATCCACACACAGTCTGCTTGTTTAACTTGATGATTTTCTCGCCGGCTCTTGATTTATTAGACGCCTTTGTTTCTCAGTCGCAGCTTCTTTTTATTCGTCGCTATTTCGGATATCGTTTTATTGTTGCGGAAATGAATTTTTTTTCGCCTTACTCTGATTTGTTTTTATTTCCCATTTGGCTGCGAGCATTTCGGGCTTTGGTTTCTGGTGGTTCGCTGTTCGATTCGCATCGATCTGACCTTAGAATTATTTATGTATGTGGAGTGGCTGTAAATCAGTCATAAATTGAGAATAATCGCCGCAGAAGCTGCTAATCACCCAGCTGCCCTAAGGTAGGCTACACTAAAATATTTCTTTCCAAATTAAAAGCTCAAAGCTTGGCTTTAATCTGAACCCCAAAGCTATAATATTTTTCAAAAACTTAACAATTTTGATAGCCAGATGCCAGGGTTACAGGTGACTGAACGAATTGCCTCTTGCATGTTGCAGCCCTACGAACAATCGATAAATGCAGTCTGAAAATCATTTGTTATCGAAATTAGTAGGCCCTGGGGGAGTTTTTGTTTTCACGAACAGTATGAAAGGCAGCCGTCTTTCAATTTCCAATCATTCGTTAACTGCTCTCCAACCAGTTAACTTTTCCCGGTTTCTTTTTAATTTCCTTTTTTTTATTTTTTTCTTTGAATTTTTTTTGTTTTGTAAAAAAGTATTTCATGATCCCCAAATCGTTGGATTAATTCCTGTGGCTTCATGGAACAGTGCTTAAAACACTTAATGGAATCAATTTTGGTTCCATGTAGAGCTTGCTTCTTTGCTCATTATTTTTTAGAATTTTTTAACTGATTTTATTTTTGAATAATATGGGAATAAGGTGTTGGTGCTTGTAATTTTCCTTTATTTTCTTTGATTTTTTTTTTTTGTTTTGTAAAACAGTATTTTATGATCCCCAAATCGTTGGATTAATTCCTGTGGTTTCATGGAACAGTGCTTAAAACACTTAATGAAATGAATTTTGGTTCCATGTAGAGCTTGCTACTATGCTAATTTTTTTTTAATTTTTTAACTCATTTTATTTTTATTATTTTCCTCCGGTGTAAGCCTTTATTTCTTTTTGTTTAGTTTGTATAAAAGTGGGTCTCTTGATGATTCCGATACAATAAAGACATCGGCGGATGAGCTCTTAAGGTTTCATTTTGTTTAAAAGCTTTTATTTTATTTATTTTTATGATTATTATTTCTCTTCATTATTTCTATTCAAATGACGAACTATAGTACCTCCTGTGGTTTCATGGAACTGTGCTTTAAGCCTTTTATAAAATGCCTTTTTTATTTATTTTGTTACTATACTTATTTTTTTATACCCTTTTTATAATTTTCGTCAAAAGTGTGCAACGTTAATAAGAAGTCTCTTACCCTATAAGTATATACATTCTTGATCAGGATCATCATCAAGATAGAAGCTTGCGACATTTTCTTAGATTTTTATTGTAATAAATGGGTTTTAATATGATATTCTCATAAGGATCGGCTAACTATATCTGATTTTTGGAGTTAAAAAAAAAGAGTTTATTAAAAGAAGAAAAACATGAGTACCGTGTATAAGATAGTTGGGGAAACTCGCCTATAGCCTTTATTTATTTTTAATTGCAAATATTGCCAAAATTATAAGGCTACAAGGGTAAAAAATAACACAATTTTGAATAATTGAGAACTAATAAATCTCCACACAATTTGACATTAGTATTGATGGTACAGAATTTTGAAATATTTCCAAAACTAAATAAAAGATTCATTTTACAACATATTCCAAAAATTTTAAGCTAAAAAGCATGTGCATCCCATCATGCGATGACAAAAAGTAGTATTTTCCAATCTTTGCTTTTCCATTGTGGGTTCAAAAGGGTCCAGACCTCCAGGAGCATTGGGTTTCTTGGCTAGCCCCTTAAATTCCTCATGAAGATGATTCCCGATTCTTAAGAATTATGTCTTAAAAGGTTTTTATTCTCATTCCCCATAAAACTCCATCCATCATACATTGAAATCTTTTACCAAAATATATTATTTTTTTATCTTTTATCTCATCTAAGGCTCATCTTCTCAAATCTCTTACCATAACCTTCCCTTTCGCTTCAAAAAATGGAAAAATTGTTACTGTGGTTACGCCAGACTTTTCATTAACGCGAAATGAAATATTCATGAATCGACGGGGCGTACTCGGATGACAAAGCCACGGAAAACGGCGGACAAGAGAACAAATTTTGAATGCAATTTCCATGACCAGAACACGACCCACTCTCCTGGTGCGGTAGCCATGGAGGCCATAGGATTGCGTGGCAGGGATCACCCTCGGCTCATCCATCCTACGCCTCCTTTACTTTGGGGGGAGGAACTGCATCCATATGCCGGCTGTCTGGGGTTGCAGTGGAAAAGGGTTACATTTTTTATTAATTTTGTTTTTTCGTTTAATCCGCTTTGGTTTTGTTTTCACCAGAATGGGGGGGGTGTATAGGGGTGGCTTGGACCACCCGCATTAACCCCTAAGAGCCCCGGGTTTGTGGTGAGTCTCTGCAAAGATTCCCTTCAAAGATTCCCTAATAATGGACGACGGGCATGAGGCATGGGAAGTCAAGTACAAGCCCGGTCGGGGCAGAACAAGTTGGCCGGAGAAGTGCCATTGAACCGGGCTGGAGATGCAAAGCCAAGTGAAGAGAGAGAGACGGGTGATGGGCAGGGCGAAAGAGAGGGGGCTAAAGAAGACAGCATCGCTGTTTCTCAAGCAGAAACCAAAAATTAGCGAGTGGCAATAAAAATTCTAAAGCACGACTGAGGGGCAGCGGCACTCTTGGCCCGTTTCTTGTTGGCCCTATGGACCTGGACAAGAGAGAGACGGCTTGAGGAAGACACCAGAAAGAGACACCAGACAAGAGAAGCTGCAGAAGCTGCCAAAAGCTGGAGAAAGGTAGAGCGGGACAGTGGAGAAAGATCAGTCGAGGAGATCCAAACCGGAGCTCTAAGATAGCCACCGTGGAGCAAGAATAGATATTTTAACAAAATATTTCTGAAATAATAATTAAATATTAAAGAACTCAGGACAGATTATCACACATCTTACTAAAATAATTCTATTCCTGATATCCAATAATACTCTAATAAAATAAGTATTAGCCATCAAAATGATTCACTTTTTTAAGAAGGCTTGAGACTTTGAAGACTTTAACTTTTATTTGATTAATTTTATTACACCTTTTTGTCAGATATTCTGCCTATCTCAACCACTGTGCGATGCTGAGCCGAGCTACCATTTCACCTGCTTCCAAGTGGCCGCAGAGTTCAGTTACCGATCACAGCAGCCATGGAGAAGCCGCTGTCTCTGTTCCTGCTCCTCACCCAGCTCCTGGTACTGGTGATCCTGGCCAGCTGCCAGAGGAACCAGAAGAATCAGAATCGCAATCGGAATGGCAACCAAAATCCCGAACTGGATGATCTCAGGCGCTTGGGATTGGGAAATATCATCAATGTGCCGCTTTATAGCGATGGTGAGTTTTAGTTTTTGTGAAAGATATTGGATCTAGAGTTCTAGATTTATGAGGTTTGAGAACAACAGTTTTTTTTTTAAGATATTAGAGATCCTGAAATACTATACTGTATATGTTAGAAACATGCCTGTGTTGGTTTTAGATCTTAAAGTTTCGTGATAAAATTAAAATGACAAAAAAGAAAACATATTTATAAGGTTTAAGAGTTTAAACTATACTAAGTTTTAAAGTCATAGTTCTTTGTGAGTTTTTAAGAAGAGGTCCTTAAGTCGGGGTTCTACCTTGTTGGCCCCAACACCTGCTTCTTTAAATGTATCATTATTTTTATTACCTTGGTACTTCACTGCATATTTTAGAGACGATTTGTAAAGTACCATCTAATATCTAACTATATCTTTGAGAACCATAGTTATAAAGGCTAACAATTGCATTTTAATTTCAAGAAATTAGGGTTTCTTTAAATATTTGACTATATTTTTGTAAAAGTTTAAAGATATAAGAACTTCAGAAAGTAAATATATTAGAAAGAAGGACTAGAGATCCCTAATTCATGACTGTATGTATATTTAAGAACCATGTTTATAAGGTTTCAATATCAATATCATAAGTTTTTATCAGAACTATTATAGACTTTTGAGCTATTTGTATTATATTATTAAGAAACACAGATTAAAAAGTTTACATCCGTGATTCATATGCAAAATAGCGAAGACAATATATCATTAGGCTTTATTTTCTTATCACTACCCCACTAATTCGATTCATTCATAAACAGACTTTGGTAAGCTTTGTGAAAGCCATACAGAGGCTTTAAGTTTTCCATTTTCTTTTCAATTAATTACTATTTGATTTTAAAACTAAGACTTTTCTTTTTAGTGCCCCAATCGCACTACGACTTCATCGTGGTGGGAGCCGGAGCTGCGGGCTGCACCCTGGCCGCCCGCCTCTCCGAGAACCCCCAGTGGAGCGTCTTTCTGATCGAGGCCGGCGGCGTGGAGAACCTCGTGCACCAGGTGCCCGTGCTGGCCGCCCACCTGCAGGCCACCGCCTCCAACTGGGGCTACCTGTCCCAGCCGCAGCGCCACGCCTGCCGGGGCATGCCCCAGAACCAGTGCGCCCTGCCCCGGGGCAAGGTCCTCGGCGGCACCAGCTCCATCAACTACATGATCTACAACCGTGGCAACCGACGGGACTTTGACGGCTGGTCGGCCTTCGGGAATCCCGGATGGAGCTACGAGGAGGTGCTGCCCTACTTCCTGAGGAGCGAGCGGGCCCAGCTGCAGGGGCTGGAGCACTCCCCCTACCACAACCACAGCGGGCCGCTTAGCGTGGAGGACGTGCGCCACCGCAGCCGGCTGGCCCACTCCTACCTGCGCGCCGCCCAGGAGGCGGGCCACTCCAAGACCGACTACAACGGCGAGTCCCAGCTGGGCGTGTCCTACGTCCAGGCCACCACCCAGAAGGGGCGGCGGCACAGCGCCTTCCGGGCGTTCATTGAGCCCATCCGCCAGCGCCGCCGCAACCTCCACATCCTCACCCTGGCCCGGGTCACCCGCATCCTCATAGACGGCGCCACCAAGTCCGCCTACGGCGTGGAGCTCACCCACCAGGGCCGGCGGTACCAGGTGAAGGCCCGCAAGGAAGTGATCCTCTCAGCAGGAGCCTTCAACTCCCCACAGCTCCTGATGTTGTCGGGGATCGGGCCGGAGGACAACCTGAAGGCCATCGGGGTGCCCGTAGTGAAGGCCCTGCCGGTGGGGCGACGCCTCTACGACCATATGTGCCACTTTGGACCCACCTTCGTGACCAACACCACCGGGGAGAGCCTTTTCGCCGCCCAGCTAGGCCCGCCGGTCGTCAAGGAGTTCCTGCTGGGCCGGGCGGACACCATCATGTCCAGCATTGGGGGCGTGGAGACGCTCACCTTCATCAAGGTGCCCTCGGCCCAGAGCCCGGCCACCCAGCCGGACATCGAGCTCATCCAGGTAGCCGGCAGCCTGGCCAGTGACGAGGGCACTGCCCTCGCCAAGGGCGCCAACTTCAAGCCCGAGATCTACAACAGGATGTACAAGGACCTGGCCGACCGGCAGCAGGACCACTTCAGCTTCCTCATCATGCACTTCAAGCCCGCCTCCGTGGGCCGCCTGTGGCTGCACAACCGGAACCCCCTGGAGTGGCCGCGGATCGACCCCAAGTACTTCTCGGCTGCCGGCGACGTGGAGCAGCTGCTGGAGGGCATCAAGGAGGCCATCCGGATCACCCAGATGCCGGCCATGCAGGCCATTGGAACGCGCCTGCTAGACAAGCCCGTGCCGGGCTGTGAGTCCTTCCAGTTCGCCTCCGACGACTACTGGCGGTGCTCCATCAGGACGCTGTCCTACACCCTGCACCACCAGGTGGCCACCTGCCGCATGGGGCCCGAGTCCGATCCCACCACCGTGGTGGACCACCGGCTGAAGGTGCACGGCATGCGGCGCCTCCGGGTGGTGGACACCAGCATCATCCCCCTGCCGCCCACCGCCCACACCAATGCGGCGGCCTTCATGATCGGCGAGAAGGCGGCGGACCTGGTGCGGAGCGACTGGAGCTGAGGTCGGCCTTGTTTTGGTTTCGAAGCTCGGAAAGCCAAACAAGAAACTAATCTTTATGTAAACGGGTCAATAAAGACAAGCCGGAGTGAGAGATGAAAGTCGAAAGTGAGGAATCGTTGGGGGAAACAACTGCATATGAAATGAAGCTATCGACGAAAATATGGAACTAGTTTATAGAAACAATACTTTTTTTTTTCCTTTTTTTAAATTAATATAACTAATAGACTAATAGAAACTACCATGTAATAAAGACTAACACCTACTGCTCTTAATTGGGGTTTCTATAATTGTGCCTGCCTAGCCAGCTCTTCAAACAGCATTCTCAAAATGATACTATTGATAGTGTCTGTTTTTTTTTTTTTCTTTTAATAGACTTGTACTCTCGAAAAAAAATAAAATATAACCTTAGGCTATAATAGGCTCTATCTTATAGGGCGAAGGCTCTATCTCTATCTCTATCTTATTTAACAAATAAAATGTGCTTTCGTTGGTCTCTGATTACTTTTAGAAAGAGATTTTTTAGATTAGATACCCGGATTCCAATTTATTTCTAATAAACGTAAGTTACTCTTTCTGTTGACCTGGAAAGACCTAATCTCGCGTAATTAAAAATATATAACCTAATATGACTTTTTTTTCAATATTTTGAACATATGCTTTAAAAGCAACTTATTCTAAAATCATTCCTACACATGTCCCAAAACTTGATCTATTAGGGACTAGAAAGGGACTAGAACATATATTTATTTTACTTTCTTTATTTTTTGCTTTCTTGTATGTTCTTCTATGTGCTCTTCTTTAATTTCTTTTGAATAAGAGGGCGCTCCTCCAGCTCTATATCTCTATAAGTCTATAGCTCTGAGGTTATCTGAGAATCTGACATTACAGCGCTCATACGGACAAACTGAAAGACAGACGAATGGACGGATGCTGATCAAGAACATATATTCTATATATATTCGACCTCTATAAGGTCGAAGATGATTCCTTCTCTATGTTACATACATTCACTCTACGAGTACCGGGTATAATAATTCTCAATTTTCTTGTACTTCTTAAGAAAGCAAAACCGAGATAGAACCCAGAGAATGAAACCCTTATATTGGGTGTTCTAAATATTTTTATCAAGTATAAATAGAACCCAGATTATTATATCGTCTTGATGGTTTTCAATATATTTTTATCAAAGAACATGTATTCTTTGTAAAGGCACGCTTTTATAAAGTTATCTTTAATATCCCAAAAAAAAAACGCTCTTTTAAATCATATTTTATTCAAAACCCAAAAGCAAGAAACTTGATCTATTTGCCCAAAAAATATCAATTCTGATAATAATTTGATTCTGTTTCCGAACAAATATTATTGATACTACCTGTATTAAGAAATAGACATCGATTACATCTTAATACGAAACATATAACGTAATCTTTTATTCTATTTCTTTTATTTAGACTGTCTATTTGTTAAAAAGCATGTATTTTTCGAAAAATGCCGGTTCTACAAATAATAAAATGATCTATTAGTAGATAAATAAATAAAGATATGTATATATTTGTGGAATTACCTTTCAATTTTTTCGTTCAAGCGCATTTTTTTGTTAAGCAAAAAGTCATCATGGTTTGGGCATTTTCATTTATTTATTTCTAGCTCAAAACCAAGATAAGACCTAGATAATGAATGTTCTTATGAATGTGCCAATTTCTTTAATTTCTTTAAATAAATGCCCCCAATAAAAAAAGCACCGAATTTATTGAATTTCAGAATCTAATTTTATTTCTTTAGAACCCAAAACCTAGAAAGCTAATCTATTTTTTGGCCCAGAAAGGCGTAGTCTTGGCAGTGGTGTTGGCACTAGACAGGGCCAGTCCACGTCATGACCTAGCTTAATAAATTTGCACCAAAGCCCCAACCAAAAGGCTATGGCCGAATACAAATCCAAATCAAAGTCCAGAGCGGAGCAAACGAGGCATTGCAAACGGGTTTGCACGCATCAAGTTCAATGTCTCGCTACTGGCTGGCCAGCCAAAAAAAACAAAAATTAATAGAGCTCCGGGTAAGGGGGAGTGTATGTGGCACACACATTCACACATACCTATACATATGACTAAAAAATGGGTGCATTTTTTATTATTTTCGTCAAGTGGAAAGGGTTTGTTGTTATATTACAATCCAGTGGATCGGCGAGCACGCTTCCAAAAGTTAAACGAACTCGCACAAATGGCATCCCGGCACTTAAAATGTGAGAATCTTGTCATTCTCCCTTCACAATTGCCCAAAGCTTATGGTTATGGGTATTTGAAAGAGTGAGATACCCTGTATCAGTATCTATAAGATACAATGACGATAAGGTGATCTCTTCGTTGACATTTTGTTACATTTTGAGTCTCTTAATGTCCTAACAGTGTTGTGAAGCCTTGTAAGGCTTAACCTTTATTTAACCTTTAATGTGTGTAAGACAATGAAGGTTTTTTTTTAATTTTGTAAAAAGCTTGTTTGAAGAATTTAAAAATATTAACAAAAAGAATTATAAGACAAATCCTGGCTTGAATGCACCATAGATTATAATAGTATTGCCAGAAATACACCCTAACCAAATTTATAAAAAAAAAATATATTTAAAAATATATTTATATAAAAAATATATATATATATAAATAAAAATATAAATAAATATATAAAATATTTGCAGACTTACTTGAATTCTAACGAGGTTAGCCCAAAAGAATTATAGTCTAAACATAAATATAATATACACCACTTTTTAAAATAAGATTTTATGAGCCACGCACTTTTTATAATTATTTTTATATTCTTGAAAAAGTAGGACCTTCAACCATTTCGAAGTTATATATAGTCGAAAGGATATTTTGAGGCATATTTTTGGGAAAATAGGCACATTTTATATTCTATATAAAATTAATAACTGAATAGCATCAACATAAATTTTGACAATTTTATAGCGAACTAGGAAACATAACAGTTTTAAGAGTATGATTCAGATCATCACCACTAAAAGGGTTAATAACTAAACTGTAGAAACAAGTGAAGAACAATTATGAGGAAAATTATACCATTTTATTAGAGGAGGCGAAATGAAGCCCTAGTCCCCGTTTAAGGGTTAACAATGAACTTGTTAGACAACACTGTTTCACTTCATTTGTCGATGAGATATTGTATCTTGCCCTGTATTAGCCAAAAAGTAGAGCAAACTGGATGGTAACCCAAAAATTAATAGAAATCTCAAGATTAAAGTTTACTGCTAATTGCTGATGGTTTTCATCAAGAGTTCTAAACGGGTTTTAGTTTCTGGTTTGTTTGTTTTTATATTTTATTTATTTTTTTAGTTTTTGTTCTTATCTACTGGCCGTTAGCTTTTTGTGGGTCTTTTCTTAATTTAGTTTGGGCCATTTTGCTTTGTTTAAATGACTCGTTTGATTACTTTGGACGGTTTGCTGACTTTTCGGGCTTCTTTTTTTATTGTTGGTTTATGGTTTGAAGTTTATTTCTTCCTGGGAGCTGCAGATTTAGTTTTATTTTCGGTTTTAAGCTTCATTTCATTCATGAAGTTGGTTCCTTATGGTTTCGTATTTAAGAATGAGGTTCTTTTTGAAAGCTTTTAGTTCCTTAGTAGTCTCCTTGGGGCTTCCATACTTTTATCTCTAAAATAATTTCAAATATTGATAACCCCAATAGAACCTTTACCACTGGATCTCTGGTTGACCCTCTGTTGCCAAACCACAACACTCCCATTTCAGACCTTTTCCAGGGTATGTGGTTTGTATGACAGACGCACCGCCTAACGCACCGGTGGGTGGGGCTGGCGGGTGGTTCTCGGCCCAGTCTGGCGGCTCACTGGGACAGGTGTGTTTGTGTTTGTGCAACTGTTTGCGTGCGCCGGCTGACGGCACCTGAGTCACTCCACTGAGCCGGCCAGTCCAGCCGGGCCAGGAGCCGCCAAGAGCCATGGCTTAAAAGCAACTCCCACCATTCGAGGGCAGTTCATTTGCCCACCAAATGGCGTCCAGAACGCAGTCGCCCCTTCTGCCGTCGTTGATGCTGCTGCTCTCCGTCCTCGGAGGAACGCGGGCTGATCCCAACCGACTCCTGCTCCAGCAACTCAACCAGGTCGGCTTCGTCAACCTTCTGGATCAGGCCGTGCGCCCCAGTGGTCGGTTCAAGCTCCTCCCCAGCTTCATGGCAAAATAACTAAAGCGCCTTCCCTTTCAGTTCCCCACGACCAGAAGGCCTACGACTTCATTGTGGTCGGATCTGGGGCGGCGGGGTGCGCCGTCGCCGCCCGCCTCTCGGAGAACCCCGACTGGACCGTGGCCCTGATCGAGGCGGGGGGCGTGGAGAACATAGCCCACCACACGCCCGTCCTGGCCGGCTACCTGCAGGAGACCTCCTCCAACTGGGGCTACAAGTCGGTGCCCCAGAAGTTCTCCTGCCGGGGCATGAACAACAACGAGTGCGCCCTGCCGCGTGGCAAGGTCCTCGGCGGCACCAGCTCCATCAACTACATGATCTACAACCGCGGTAACCGGAGGGACTACGACGGGTGGGCGGCGGCCGGCGCCAAGGGCTGGAGCTACGAGGAGGTGCTGCCCTACTTCCTGCGCAGCGAGAACGCCCAGCTGCAGGGCTTGGAGCACTCTCCCTACCACAACCACAGTGGCCCGTTGAGCGTGGAGTACGTCCGGTTCCGCACCAAGCTGGTGGACGCCTTCGTGGGCGCCTCCGTGGAGGCGGGTCTGCCCCTCACGGACTACAATGGCGAGTCCCAGAACGGGGTCTCCTATGTCCAAGCCACAACTCTGAACGGCAGGAGGCACTCGGCGTACTCCGCCTATATAAAGCCCATCCGGGACCTGCGCCCCAACCTGCACATCTTCACCTTCGCCAGGGTCACCCGCGTGCTCATCGACGCGCCCACCAAGTCCGCCTACGGCGTGGAGTTCCTCCTCAAGAACAAGTCCTACATTTTCAAGGCCCGCAAGGAGGTGATCCTCTCGGCCGGCGCATTCAACTCGCCCCAGATCCTGATGCTCTCGGGGATCGGGCCGGAGGACAACCTGAAGGCCATCGAGGTGCCGATCGTCCAGACCCTGCCCGTGGGCCGGCGGATGTTCGACCATATGTGCCACTTCGGACCCACCATCGTCACCAACACCACCGGCGAGACGACCTTCACCTCACGGGTCACTCCCGCGGAGGTGGTGTCCTACCTCCTGGCCGGGAACCCGGCCACCCGCATGAGCTCCATCGGCGGCGTGGAGGCGCTGGCCTTCCTCAACCTGGAGCGCTCGAAGCTGCCGCGGGACTGGCCGGACGTGGAGCTCATCATGGTCTCCGGCAGCCTGGCCAGCGACGAGGGCACGGGCCTCAAGCTGGGCGCCAACTTCAAGGACGAGGTCTACGACAAGCTGTACCGGCCCCTGGCCCAGCAGCAGAGGGACCACTTCACCCTCCTGGTGATGCAGTTCCACCCCAAGTCCGTGGGCCGTCTGTGGCTGCGGGATCGCAACCCCCTGCGCTGGCCCGTCATCGACCCCAAGTACTTCAAGGACGAGGAGGACGTCGAGTTCCTGCTAGACGGCATTAAGGCCAGCCTGCGGATCCTCGAGATGCCGGCCATGCAGAGGATCGGCGCCAGGCTGCTCAGGAGCCCCGTCCCAGGCTGCGAGAAGCTGGAGTTCGGCTCCGACGACTACTGGCGGTGCTCCATCAGGACCCTGTCCTACACCCTGCACCACCAGGTGGCCACCTGCCGCATGGGACCCGCATCCGATCCCACCACCGTGGTGGATCCCGAGCTCAAGGTGCACGGGGTGAGGCGGCTCCGGGTGGTGGACACCAGCATCATCCCAGTGCCGCCCACGGCCCACACCAATGCGCCGGCCTTCATGATCGGCGAGAAGGCCGCGGACATGATTCGGCGGGAATGGATCTGAGCCACCGGACACTAATGGAATAGAAGCTATAAGCCCCCAGCTATAACCTACGATAACCCTAAACGATATCTCCACCAAAAAGTAAACTAAACCCGTAAGAATCCACACTGGGAGACTGCTAATGGGCGGGGTATCAGATCCAAACCGGGTCTCTCGTAGCTCCCCAACTGAGGGAGCTTTCCAGTTCTGTAACTGGATCTGCGTCACCTTCAGGCAGCCTTTAAGCATTTATTAGATGAGTTATGTATCGCAGCCTTCCACTTATCTCGGCGGGTATTACTTCATTGGCGTTATCCAAAATTAATGCGCTTTCCGATAACCGGTCGGCCCATTTGATATATCAGTTCAATCACACAGTTACCGGGTTTTTCGAACTCGCTTTACTTTATTTATAATTAACTTTGCACTTATGGATGTTCCGGTCTCATTAGCTTTCGGATGCAGGTTTCTACTCTCCCCGGCGATTCGTTGCAGCCACGGTGGTTAATGTCCAAGGCACCAGAGAACCATAGCTCGAAAGTAGTTCTACCCCTCCATGATAGGTTCGATGAGGGCGCTACAGTTGCTCTTCCTTGGGCTTTTGTTGGCTGACGGCAGCCGAGGGGAGGCCGATCCCTACCTCCTGGAGCAGCTCATCCAAATGGAAGGCATCTTGGATGTCAAGGAACCTGCACTGGGTCGAGGTGGGTCTCTCTGGTTGTCTTTTTAAGGTCTGATATTCAAGCGCCATGACTTCTTTCCAAAAGAACCCCACAACCCCACCAACTACGACTTCATCGTGGTTGGGGGTGGCACCTCTGGCTGCACTCTGGCCTCCCGCCTCTCCGAGAACCCCCGCTGGACCGTGGCCCTGATCGAGGCCGGCGGGGTGGAGAACGTGGGCCACCTCACACCGCTGCTCTCCAGCTACACCCAGCTGACTCCCTCCAACTGGGGCTTCAAGTCGGTGCCCCAGAACGTGTCCTGCCTGGGGATGATCAACCGGCAGTGCGCCCTTCCGCGCGGCAAGGTCCTCGGGGGCTCCAGCTCCATCAACACCATGATCTACAACCGCGGCAATCGGCGGGACTTTGACGGCTGGGCGGCTGCTGGGAACCCGGGCTGGAGCTACCGAGAGGTGCTGCCCTATTTCCTGCGCAGCGAGAACGCCCACCTGAAGGGACTGGAGCACTCCCCCTACCACAACCACAGTGGCCCGTTGAGCGTGGAGTACGTCCGCTTCCGCACCAAGCTGGTGGACGCCTTCGTGGAGGCCGCCGTGGAATCGGGCCTGCCCCTCACGGACTACAACGGGGAGTCCCAGATCGGGGTCTCCTACGTCCAGGCCACCACTCTGAACGGCAGGAGGCACTCGGCCTACTCCGCCTACCTCCAACCCCAGAGGGATCTGCGCCCCAACCTGCACATCTTCACCTTCTCCAGGGTGACCCGTCTGCTGGTCGACGAGGCCTCCAAGTCCGCCTACGGAGTGGAGTTCGACTACCGGAACCAGAGCTACACTTTCAAGGCCCGCAAGGAGGTTATCCTGTCCGCCGGGGTCTTCGGCTCGCCCCAGATCTTGATACTCGCCGGGATCGGTCCTGAGGAGGACCTCAAGGCCCTGGGGATACCCCTCGTACAAGCGCTGCCCGTGGGCCGGCGGATGTACGACCATATCAGCCACTTTGGACCCACCTTCGTGACCAACACCAGCCGGCAGACGAACTACATCTCGCGGGTCACCACCACCGACTTGTTGTCCTTCTTCTACGACGCGAAGGCCGACACCCGGCTGAGCTCGATCGGCGGGGTGGAGGCACTGGCCTTCCTCAAGTCCAACCGATCGCAGCTGCCGCCGGACTGGCCCGACATCGAGTTCATGATGGCCCCCGGAAGCCTGGCCAGCGACGAGGGCACTAGCCTCAAGATGGCCGCCAACTTCCGAGACGAGATCTACGAGAAGCTCTTCAAGGACCTGGCAGAAGCCGAGCAGGATCACTTCACGCTGCTGGTGATGCTGTTCCACCCCAAGTCGGTGGGTCGCTTGTGGCTAAAGGATCAGAGTCCCTTCAGCGCGCCCCAGCTCGACCCACAGTACTACATGGAGGACGCCGACGTGGAGGTAGTCCTGGACGGGATCAAGGCGGCGCTGAGGATAAGCGAGATGCCGGCCCTGCAGAAGATCGGCACGAAGCTCCTCAACAAGACGGTGCCGGGCTGTGAGGGCTTCGCGTTCGCCTCCGACGACTACTGGCGCTGTTCCATCAGGACTCTCTCGTTCACCATCTACCACCAGACGTCCACCTGCCGCATGGGGCCCCAGAGCGATCCCCATGCCGTGGTGGACCATCGCCTCAAAGTGCATGGCCTGAGGCGACTCCGGGTGGTGGACGCCAGTATAATCCCCGTGATCCCAGCCGCCCACACCAACGCCGTGGCCTACATGATTGCCGAAAAGGCGGCGGATATGATACGGTCCGAGTGGGGTCAGTAACGATCGTCAATAAAAGCACCTCAACACTTTAAGAGTTTATCTCCGAATCAGGGAAAGTACTCTACTTGTAGAACTCTAGGTAGTACTCCCAGTACTCTAGTATTCGAACTAGGACTACATTACTTTAGGACTTTATATTCGAAAGGTATTAGGCCACTTTATCTAAACTGTGATTCATCATTGATTGTGAAGGGAGCATTACTAGAAATAGAAACAGGTCCTAAACCACAGCAAGGGGTTTTTCTGTAGGGTCCTATTTTGTGTTTAATCTCAGTTTATTAGAAATGGTATGGTCTGGTCTATAGGTAACACTTCCCAGCTTGGTTCGAACTTACTTTTAAACTAGAGTTGTGGCTTGGTGGCCCTTAAATGTATATACATATGCATTATCGAGAACAAATTTGTTGTTATTCCATTTCGAATTTGGTTATGGATACCAGGAACTTAGTACCTATCGTAGAACTAGTTTTAGTACTTAATATATATGGCATGAGTTAATAACTCGAATTCTAAGCTAGATATTTTCGCAGGCCTTTTTTTTAATATTTAACGTTTATTTTATACCTTAAGTTTATTGTAAAAAGAGATTTCAGATGCTTGTAAAACTAGATGTGCCATAACCCCGCCCTGATCTGTTATTAGAAATAATACCTATCTTAAGAGACCTTTAACTCCGCAATGTCTAATTCGGGGGGCCCTCTCTGTTCATTACATTAAGTCATTGATTAAGTCTTAAGTCATACCTTAAAACGGTCTATCATAGACCATCCAGCTTCATCAACCCGCAGAATAAATAACTTATAACGTGCATTTATTAAATTTGACTTTTATTTTAGAACGGATTTTTATTGAAAAACCTCAATGACCAAAAAATCCTTTCTTCACCATTTTGTACCTAATTCAGGGCTAAATTTTCCATTAAATTGTTTTTAATATTTGTTTAAAAACAGTACCATTTCTTGCAATAAATCGGCACATATTTTCTGTTAATGGACTTCGATTTTCATTCAAAATGTTGACATCATGACCATGACAATGGAGATCGTATAGAACCTTTGCTCAAGTCAAACTTCCAGCAGGACTTTTACTTATTTCAGTTCTTATTTCTTCATTCTTAAAAAAAGGGACAAAAATTGGCATATTAAACTGGAAGTTTTCAATTAGGAATTAATCAATCTACAACATGGATATAGACACTCACTTAACAAAGACTAATACTTTCTTCAAAGTTTTATTTTCTTTTTTAAATTTAAGTATAGACAGCACTTACTAGACAAGGATATTACTTTCTTACTTTCTTACTTTACTAACCTTTATACTTGTATTATTAAAATCATAAATATTAATTTTTATAAGTTCAGGAGAAGTCATTTTATGGCTTAAAATTGAAGAGCTTGCTTTGAAGAGATTCTTAGAATAGTGTCTGTTTCCACCACCCGTTGGTTCTTGACTTTTAACTTGAGATTGGTCTCGGATTAGGTAGTATTAGTATAGCTTACTTATCTTCTGGTTAGTCCCCTAGTCTCATAGTCATGGTTCATGGTTCTCTGTAGTGGTTCGAACTGATAATAATGACTTGAAATCTGAAAGAAAGGAGTACTTTTGGACTTGCAATTACCTCGTCTTCCTCTGGGAGTCAAAAGCTGGTAAATCTCCAACCAAATCTGCATGATCAGAATGCTTGAAACTCCATGGAGTTACGAAACCCCTGGGGGCAACAAATCCATTGATACGCCTATAATTGCATTATTCAATTGCCGAACCAAGAAAAGGGTAAAGAGTTGTTTGACTTGGCAAGTTAATTAAATGGAATTACCTTAACGAGTCGCAACGTACTTGCGATTGGGGGGGGGGGCTTTCTTTCCCCAAAAAGGGGGGTAGGCTAGGGCTATAGCTATAGCTAGGGTCTGGGTGTCCTCTAGGGGTTGGCCAAGAGTGCATTAACCCACACGGTCGAACGGGGGTTGAAAACGTTGCCAACACGCAGCTCAAAACCAAAACCAAAACACAACAAAACAACCTCAGGGGGTGGTTTGCCGCATCAGGACATGCTGTGGAGGAGGATGCTGTTTCGGATTAGGACGCTGGTGGCGGGTGGCGGGTGGCAGCGGGGTGGTTGCATACAAGTGGTTATCACTGTCCTTGGCTTCCGCATTCCCGGCCTAATACGTGTATGTATTTATCAAAAAATTCAATATGCATCATCAGGACTCGTAGGACATGGGGGAGTTTTCTGTTCCGACGCCGACGCCGCCGGAAGTTTTCCGCCTTTGGGGCAACAACAAAAAAAAAAAAACAAAAAACACAATAGCTGTTTTGCACAGAAAATAATATAGTTCTTGGAAAATATTATCATATTATCAAAGCTTTATAAAGATAAGATGAATAATACCTATAATATTTATACATTTTTTTAAGCATTTCTTTTGTTAAAAATTTAATTGCAAAAAAAAAACTTCAGAAAAGGTTCAGAATTTATTTCTGGCAAATAAATGTATTTTTATTTGTGCTTTTCCATTAAATATCTTGCTAATTTAAATGCAAATGTCAATCAATTTTTATTTTTTTTTTTAATTTAATTTAACATGTTTTAATAAGTTAAAACATGTTTTACAACCTTTCAGTTCAAAAGTACTATAATATCAATATATAATATCGAAGTCCCTATAGAACCTATATATAATGACTTATATAATGAGTCTGGAGGCCTTGTACCTTAGTTCCACTTTCAGTTTCTAGGGATCTAAAAGGAGATTTTCTCTTAAAATTAATAATGTTATATATTATATTCTATATATTATAACAAAGTCCCTATAGAACCTATAGAACTGTATTTAAACGACTCATGCAAAGATTTTGGATCTATACCAGCCTCTGGAGCCTTGAGATTAGTTCCACTTTGGGTTTCTGGGGATTTAAAAGGGGATTATCTTTTAAAATTAATGATATTATACATCATTATATGTTATATCATACTATATATACTGTTATATCATATATCATCATTATATCATACTATATATTTCATCAAAACCCTTCAGAACCTATAGAACTGTATTTAAAAGACTTATATAAAGAGTCTGTAGCTATAGTTTAGATTCTGGGATCTAAAAAAGGTTAATTCTATTAAATTTGAAATATATAACATAATAATATATATATTTTATTAAAAGAACACCACAGATTTTTAATAAAACGACTTATATGTATAAAGAATCTGGAGCTATATAAGGCCCAGAGTTTTATTCCAGTTTCGGATTATAGAATCTAAAAAAAAGGTTTATTCCATAAGATTTATAATATTAAATATATCTCTACTTGAATGAGTCTGGAAGAGTCTGGAGCTATATATTTAAAGAGTCTGTATATAAGGCCTTAAGCTTAGTTCCATTTCCGGATTCTGGAGATCTAAAAGGGGATTATCTCTTAAAATTAATGATGTTAAATATTATTATAAACATATTTTTAAAAAAACCCTACAGAACGGTACCTGAACGACTTCTATTAAGACCCTGGAGTCATTATCGTCATTCTGTTAAGGAATTATCTTTTGAAATGTGATTTTTCTCAGTGGCCACAGTCGCCAGGATCAAAGGGGCAAGTCATGTGCCATTCGCAACCCTGTCTGTATTTCGCAATGTCCTGTCAACATGCGGTTTCCTAATTGCACCATTTCAAAACCAGTCAACAGGCGACAGACGCAACAGTACTAACGGTTAAGGGGTTAAGGCCTACACATACCTGAGGAGCATGTGGGGGGTTAATATTACAGGATGGGGAAGTAACTTACCTGAAACGATTAACGCCTCATTGGGACCCGTTGTGTGTATATTGCCCATGGTCGAGGTTGTCCTTAGCTCTTCCTCTTCTTCGTCGACTTTATAATAACGGTATTTCCTCCTTAATCGAAAGCTTCGCTGGAAAAGTTCTGCCACGGAAAAACCAACACACACACAAAGACACCCACATAGACAAAAATAAAATATTTTATTTTAAATTTATTTTTAAAAAACATTTGAGAATTTTAAGGTATAAATTAAGGATTAATTTTAAAAATATATATATATTTTTTTTTTAATAAAAATCCTTAAATTTAACTTTAATTTCCTAAAAATATTCTCAAATATCATTTAAGAATTATAATTTATTTATTTATTTTGTTTATCGGATATTTTCTCTCTGTGCACAAACACACAGATAGCTTTTAATGGCTGTGCCCTCAATTTTCCAACGCAGCCCGCGAGTATGCTACAAATTTTTTGTTCGAGATTAGAATCGAGCACGCGCGCCCTATTGTTGTTGTCTTGCTTTGCTGGTGTTTTTTTTGTTTATTTTCATTGTTCTTGTTGTTGTTCCTAGTTCTCCATGTTTTGTTTTTGTTTTATATCGCATTTATTGAAAGCTCTCGCCACGGGCGGCGTCTCCAACGTCTCCAACAACAAAAGCAACAATATCGGACACTTGTTCGTCATATATGTACTATTCAATTATGGACCCGATCGGAGAGGAATTTATTCAGATTTCAGAACTTAATTCTGAGAGCGGCCACATTTTTATGGCCAGCCATCCATCCACTTGATAATGTGATTTTTATTAGTTGTACTCGGGCTTTTATTCTGGCCTTTATCAAGGTTCAAATAAAGCGAATTTCAAAAATAGAATACAACTTTGGGAAGTACATTGATGGGGGTTCGCAAAAGGGGTGGCGCTGGGTGGCGTCGCATGACGTAAGCATGTCCGTGTGTGTGTATGTGTGTGTGTGTGCGTAAGGGAGCGACCGATGGGAGATGAAGGAGAGAGGAAGAGAGCCTTATCAATGAGCTCATCACTTTTCTTTTCATTTAGAACACTGAGCGAAACCAGATTCTACACAACTTAGAAACAGATTCTACCCAAGGCAGCACACACACACACACACACACACACACTGAAGTACACACTCGAAAATAACCCTTAGTTGGGATTCTGGTTGGGAATCTGATTGGGGTTGCTCAACCGGAGAAACTGGAGGTAAACAAAGTTTTGTTATTGCCGCTGCTTTGTTGTTGCTGTACTTGATTTGGGGGGGGATCAGGTATACGAATGCATCCAGTTTGGCATGCATTTGTTTATCAGTTTATTAGTCATTTACACTAAGCAACCGGCGTCGCAGAAACAACAACAAAATGGCTGTGGGCGAAACCCGCGCCGCACAGATTCTCAACAGCATCCACAGGCTGTAGCCGATTCTATTCTTTTCTAATTGATTTTCACTCACACCCACAACAAGAAAAATTTGACAAAAAAAAAACAAATAAGAAACTTGGACGAGCGCGTCTAATTGGTTTTTTTTTGCCGATTTCTTAATTCACAAACTTTTAAACCAAATGTGTTTAACGTAAAACGTAAACGAATTCCGCAATTTAGCGCACCACAACCAAACTCACAAGTAAATATTAGCGGTGGTAGTAAAATCTAGAGCTGCACGACAGTCTACCTCAGGATATATCGATTGCTAATTCCACCATCGATAGGTCTCATTGTACCATCACTACTGGTTACATTTGTGTGTAAGTATTCTTGATGTAAACAAATAGAGACGAGGCGCAATCACAATGTCCCGCGGCGGAGAACTGGTCTTTAAAACAAAGAAAACCTCGGAAAAGATATCGGAGAACATACACATATTCGCCAATGACCCGTCGCTGGCGTTTTTCCGCGTCCAGGAGCATGTACGCAAGGTGTCACCAGCGATTTTCGAGAAGCGCGATGAGGTATTCCAGCTGCAAAACAAGCTGCAGGGACACTGCTACGACATGGAATACGGAATACAGTATGTGTCCACTTGAATAGCTTCCAAACAGTCCAAAATCATCATTTCTTTGAAACCCCTTTTCATAGAGCTCTGCGCACCATCGAGAAATCAGAAAGCGTATTCGATAACATACAAGAAATGATTAAGGCTTCAATATTCCTGAAACAGCAACTACGATATGAGGAAAACCGCAAAAAGATTAAAAAGGAAAGCACGAAATCATCGGTCTATAAGCGTTTCTCTGCCCACCTCGCCCTGGATCTACCAGAATTGCCCGATTTTGGTGGAGTCATGAGGGAAACTAGTCAACGGATGGAAAATATCATTGGTCCTACGGCGGCAACAGGACGTTCAGAGGCTCCAACAACTCAAACCAGCAACCCTGGAGAGCTCCAAAGATCCTATACCACACTCCACTAGTTAGCCTTTAAAATTATATTAATGTATATACATAGAATAAAATGTTATTATAGTACAGGGGTAAGATCTTATTTTCTTCTTTGCATTGGACAGATTTTGCATGAGAATAAAACCCATAATTTAAAAATACAAAGCAACCATAGAAATTACCGTCATATACTGTTCGTGTCATCACCAAACTATCGATATCTTCCACCTGACACGGCGTCTCCTCTCTCGTCGCTCGCTTTAAATTAGATAAGTGTAAGGAAATCCAGCGGCCCTCGAGAAAATGAACCGAATTTGCCAGAGCCTGTTGCGTCAGAGCTACGCAGGAGCCGCTAACCATTTGCGGCCGGCAGCAGGAGCCACTGCATCTATGCCATTGTCGGCGTTGCGGTTTTATTCCGCAGATGCGGCTGCTCCGCCGGCTGCCGTGGACAAGGCAACGCTGGACAAGCTGGTCCGCACCAACAAGGTGGTCATCTTCATGAAGGGCAATCCCCAGCAGCCAAGATGCGGCTTCAGCAACGCTGTGGTTCAGATCCTCCGCATGCACGGCGTTCAGTACGATGCCCACGATGTTCTCCAAAACGAGGCGCTCCGTCAAGGTACGAATTTCATCATCATATAAGAAGTAACTATGTTTGACACAATCTTTATATTCTTAAAGGCGTTAAGGAGTACACAGACTGGCCAACCATTCCCCAGGTATTCATTGATGGCGAATTCGTTGGCGGTTGCGACATTTTACTCCAAATGCACCAAAGCGGCGATCTTATCGAGGAACTCAAGAAAGTAGGCATCGTATCTGAGCTGCTGAAGGCGGAGGAATCCAAACAGGCGGCGGGGTCTAAGGAGGAGGCCAAATAGTGTCCTAGCAGAGCACCAAAAGATCAAAGACCTAAATACTTCTATGTGTTAGCCACGCAACGTTTTTATTATTAAATGTTTAACTCTTAACGAAAACCAAACTGATGAAAAGGCACACTTTTTTAGGGGTTCGACCGGCTCTCGTCGATCTTTTGCAGTTCTGCGAGGATCCGACAGCGTGCCTGTAGCGGATCTTTGACCTGTAAGAGCTCGAAACACTGTCGTTGGCACAAAGGGTTTGTCATGTTTGCCAGAATCTCCATCAGACTATCGGCAATGGAGTGTCGCATTCGGTCCTCGGAGGGCATGGGCGGTGTATTCCTGTTGAGGGAACGAACCGACTTCTGGGAGGCTTCAAGGTCAACGGCTTGACTTGGGGGAACCTCTTCTAAATCCTCTGGGACCTCAAGGGGCTCGTGCTGATCATGCTTTGGTGGTGAATATTGTTTCTTCTGATCTTCCTGGATGGGGTATTGTAATTTTTAGTATTATATGGATATTGTATATATATAACTGGTTTATTCTTACATTTTGAACCCTAATATCGTTAAGATTGTCGATTTGTGTAAACAAATTTTCATGCTGTGAGCTTATTTTAGAAAACTGATCCATATTTTCCATGCTGGCCTTATCCAGAATCATTAAACTAAATAATTATTTTTGTTTATTATGTTTTATCTTTTTAAATCCAAAAATACAAGCAATTGTTCATAATTCTTCGCGTAACTGCCAAAAGCCCATTTTTAATATATTTTTATCAGAAATGGGAAATTAACAGTTATTTGAAGGAAGCTTAACTTTAACCCTTGTGCGGCAATATTTTTATTTACTATATTAAAAAAGAAACGTCGGTAACGATCGAATAAAACAAAAATTTATGAATTTAATATCATAAAGGAATTAGTTCCAAGATTCATGTGAACATTAAATTAACTAAAACTTACTTGATAAACCCTTTCAGTTAAAACCGGATATATATCGCAAAAATCGGGTATCATTTTCCGATAACTAAGAGAATATTATAATATAACCAATTTATTAAAATACAAAAATTAAAAAAAAGTCAACCAAATACCATTTCCGATCAATCAGTTATATGGCAGCTGTAAGATATAGTCGGCCGATCCTTATAAAATTTGGCATGTCGTATTATATTGCTAAAAATAGCTCTCATGTCAAATATTAACTCTCTAACTCAAAAATCACCAAAGTTATACCATTTCCGATCAATCAGTTATATGGCAGCTATAGGATATAGTCAGCCGATCCCGTCCGTTCCGACTTATATACTGCGTGCAAAGGAAAGAAGGGTGTGTGCAAAGTTTCAAGACGATAGCTTTAAAACTGACGGACAGACGGACATGCTCATATCAACTCAGGAGGTGATCCTGATCAAGAATATATATACTTTATAGGGTCGAAGATGTCTCCTTCACTGCGTTACACACTTTTGGACAAAATTATAGTACCCTCTGCAAGGGTATAAAAATTAATATATTCGTAGTATTTTAAGAAGCATATCTTCGTAATATCGTTAGAAGAGTACCTTTGCAATAAAATATCTAAAAGCATAGCTCTGTAATATCTTGTAAAGAACATCTGCATCAATGGAATGTAATATTGGTCTCTAAAGGGGTATCTTCCTTATAGATCTATGAATACAAGTAAACCTCTATTACCAGAATCTAATATTGTTTATACATAATACTTTTAGAAGAATATAACTTAAGAAATAGTTCAAAATTGTATTTATTTGTATGACCTAGTAATAAAAAACTCTATCTATAGTATCTAATAATTCAGTTTAATCGTAATATCTCTAAAATATTATCTTCGTAGTTCTTCTAAAAGAATAAATTATATGATTATTATATTTTTAACATGCTAATATTATGGACGGTAATATCTCTTAAAGATAACCGTCTGAAAACTTTTATACAAAAATATTTTATATAAATAAATATATAAATATATATGTAAATAGAAGATATAGACATCGATAGATTTATATATTCTATAAAGATATTACTTTATAAGATTACACAAATAATATTTTTAGAAGACTACCTATGCAATATTTTAAAAATAAAAAGACGCTTTTTAAGAAGAAAAATTATATTTAAAGTAAATCTTCGTAAAGTACGATTACTTTCGTAATATCTAGAAAATATATCCATAATGCCTATAAAGGACAAGCTCTATCAATAGAAGCTATGTAATATTGTGTATCAATTATATCTTTATAAAAATATCCTCATAATATCCCTTACAAAATGCCTTTGTTATACATTCGTATCTCATATATACGAATTCTGATCCGATTCTCAAGCGGAGTACCTTAAACGATTTCTATATCGATTCTCCATCATTCTGCATCAAAATCCTAACACAAAATATTTTTTGGATTTTTTGTCCATTTTTCCTGATGGGACCCCTTGAAAATGCAGATTTCCCCCATATGGCCCACGGCGATGTCTATATCTTCCCCAATTCTGATCCAATTCTCAAGCGGAGTACCTTAAACGATTTCTATATTGATTCTCCATCATTCTGCATCAATCGTTCAGTTATATGGCAGCTGTAAGATATAGTCGGACTATAGTCGACTTGTTTGAACTTTATTCATCGTATTTTTGATACATTGCAACATATAGCACTGAATGACATTGCAATTAAAGGGGTTTTTCGAAAATATCATCCCTATGCACGCCACTTTTGGAATCCATGGTGCTCCACGGAATATGGAGGAATAAAGCCACCACAATCCATTTGGTCAATGATGAGACCCAATTCCTCAGATTGTGTGGAGTTCGAAGACCCTGATTCGGCTAACATTTGTTTTGCAGTTGCTCGTTGGCTTTCGCAGAAAGTGGAGGCTGCACGACGAGATCTGGAACTGTTCTTCTGATAAAAGGGAGCATCGTATCCGTGCCAGTTCACGTACTTGGTGCAGCTATCCTGTAGTTTATTGATGTCCTCAATAAATGTTTTTCGCAGAACAACCATGTCAGACAACAATACCGTTTTTTTCTAAAATAAAGAAAAATATACAATTACAGCATTGAAAAGTATGAGTTTTTGGGGGAAAACGTACCAAATCGGCACCTCCAATATGTCCTCGGAGCTGTTGAAGATTGGTTTTGTCCTCCTCCAGGTTACTCTCCATATCTTTCACTATTTCGGTGGCTTTCTCAATCTTTTGCGTTATGTCCTTAAAGAAATGCTCAATAATCTTTATTTGCTCGTCGTAGCTTTGCTTTTGTTTCCATTGATCTATTGAGGTGATACCAAACACTTCATAGGCGGCGTAACAACCCAGTGCAAAACCAATCGGTCCAAAAACCAGGGAACCGATCGCAACAAACAAGGCGCCAACGAAGGCAATTACTGCCCTCACTAACGCCTCTTCGCTCCTCACCTTCAGTTCCGCCTTTTGTTTGCCATAGAAGCCCCCTGGACCGAAATCGTCGTGGACATCATGCAACATACTTTGAAACGCATTTTTGAGCTCAGCAGTTCTGTGTTGGACATTGGTGAGGAGTTCCAAAGATTTTCCGGTTTTTTCGAGGCCCAATTCCAGAGCTACCGCTACCAAGTTCCTGATTATATTCCTATTCATTTCCGACAAGTTGCTGTCGCCAATTTTATCGATGAAGATATCGAAGGTGCTGTTGACGGAAATGCACCACTGGAAGACTGGACCCACACAGTTTTGGTAGGTGAGACGGGCTTCGGAGTTCAAAGAGCGAATCTGAGGCAGCTTTTCCTTGGCTTTGCCGTTATAATTCAGCATGGCTGTATCAATCTCGTCGATGGCCTTCTGCAGCTCCACAAACTTCACCTTCCTGTCGAACTCGGCTTGATATTTCACCAGGACGTTCGACAAACTTGCTATGCCTTTTATGAAATTAATCTCGGTCTCATCGCACCTGGCAAAGAAAGGACAAAAGGCGCAAAATGCAAGTGCCGTTACCAAAACGACGGCAGAAGGATCCTTTCCCATGATTGATCAAGAAGGATTAATCCACTGGCGAGGAGCTGACTGGTGCTTCCCTGACGAGAGAAGATCTACTATTGTTTTCGAAATGTACGATTTTCGGTCTTATATATACCCAAAAAGTGAATACACCAAAGAACACTTAACACTAATTCGGTTCTTGGGAACTGTTAATAATTCCTTAATCAAGAGATGTATCGTAGTTGCAAATAAAAGACTCGGATTTCGCGGAAGCTAATAGGCATTAATGAAGAAGTTCTTTAATATTCAATTTAGACAATCTCCTTTTCTTTTGAGGGAGGCGGAATCGGGGCTCAGTATGATTATGGCATTGAAACTTTTTTGCGAATTTTGACATAAAAAATGAATGCTTTTACTGATAGTGATATTTTGTGGACACATATTTTCCTTTATGTGTCCATAACGAAGTTCGAATAAAGGCCCGAAGAGGGTGGGGTGAATTGAAATTTAAGATTTATTAACATTTACAAATTTTATCACAAAAGCCATGATTCCCAGAATCATACATATATGTACATATACATTTTCAGATCTATAAGTATATGGGTAGTTCTCAAGAAAGGTCAACCACAAGTTGCAAGTTCATGAAAAGATGTTTTTCAAATATTTTTACAGAGAATCTATTCATTTCCATCTAGCGTGTGAGTTTGATGAACATCAATTTTAAGGGGTTACGCCACCCTGACCGCGTGGAAACGGGACGGTTTTTCAGGAATTTCTTGTGACTAAACTAGTTGAGATAGGATTTTTCCACTTTTATTTCTATTCAATACAACTAATAAGCTTTATAAATTCTAAAAAAAAACTTGTTTTCTATGCAAAATGGCGGAGATATGAACATCGGCGATCATCGGTTTTTCAGGAGTGCTCCTTAATGGTGGGCATGATTCACGTGTCAATTTTCACGTGTCAAGTAAACAAAATTTTTTTTTAAAAAGTGATAAATTTGGAACAGAGTGACGTAGCCGTTTAAGAAAAAAAAAAAAATTACGCAAATGAGAGCACTTCAAAAATTTACTCAATTTTTTGGGCAAAAATTTCGTACTACAAATTGCATAACAAAATTTCTATCCATTGGATCGAAAAAATCCTACGTCACTCTGTGGAAAATCTATGTAAGAAGATGTGGTTCAATTTTCAAGTCAATCGGTTGAACAGTTTTTGAGTTATCATGCCCACCGTCTTGAAAAAAGTGGTTTCGAGAAAAACGCAAAAGAAGAAAAAGAAGTGTCTTAGGTGCCCTCCTGCCGTGCCGACTTCAAATAAACATAACTTCCATAATTATCAAGATATTGTCTTCGGGGACTTTGTCTTAAAATACGCGTAAGAATATAGTCTTTTAAATTAAGTAAAAAAAAATTTAAATTTTTTGAAAATTTCAGGGTGGCGTAACCCTTTAATATTATTATTGATATTTATGTACCCCTGTGAGGGTACGAAGATCCTATGGGCTTTCCGTATACCAGGAAAAGGTTTAAAAAACTTAAAGAATAGAAGAGATAAGCATTACAATTGATTTATAAAGATCCCCCCGAGATAAAGGGGAACCCCTTTAGGGAGAGCTGTACGTTTCTTTAAGTATCTAGAATCTAGCCTCCGATCCAATCCTAAAGTTTTTTGGAAGAAAAAAGTCAACATCGGACATACCTTCATCCATATGTTATGGTAATTTAGTAGCCGACTAGAATCAGGGCGTTTCGGAACTTTTTGCAAAATACTTTGCCTTTAAGGTTCCTTGGAGTAATAATGAAACTCTTTTTAGCATTGAGCCTTTTCTCAATGTGAGTAACATGGACATATTGGACTATTGGACCTAGTTGTCCATGCCACAGGACATTCAACAGAGTCACCCACACCTGACTCGGATGGTATCTCCCCATTCTCCCCATTTATTCTCCCATAAAATCGATCATCTAAAAGATTATCAAAGATACTGCCTAAATCGTATGCTATGCTGGGCTTTGTGAAGAAACCACTAGAATACAATTTTAAAACCACTAGAAGATACTAACAATTAATAGGCCAGTATTGGGAACCGATCTCCGGACCTAGCGTCCAAGGGCGAGAGTGTAGGTTCTTCTCATAAAAGTCAGGCACTACAGCCGAAGTGACGGTATGGCCTCTTGGAAGAATATTCGGATGGCCTCTTTCCAAGACGAAGCTACCAGCATCTCATCTTCAAAGGGAGAAAGCGGGCTGGAGGGGAGAACCAATCTGCCTGATCTCAACAAGCTTATCTCTTCCTTAGACTCAGAACGCTAGAGAGCAGAGAAAATGTCGAGTCTGCCACGTCCTTCACTGCGTTGCACACTTTTCACCAAAATTATAATACCCTCTGCAATGGTATAAACAGCTTATGGATAAAGGGTAATAGTTTTTGGTACTAAGAAAGTAACTTGTTTGACCTTTATTCACCGTATTGTTGATTAAGAATTAACAATTTCTATTTAAGCTGGCGATGATTCGCTTTCGTAGAAAGTGGAGGCTGCACGACGAGTTCTGGACCTGTTCTTCTGATAAAAGGGAGCATTGTATCCGTGCCAGTTCACGTATTTGGCGCAGATATCCTGTAGATTCTTGATGTCCGGAATAAATTGGCGTCGCAGAAGATCAATATCAGACAACAATATCCCTTTTTTCTAAAATAAAGAAAAATATAAAAATAACAGCATTGAAAAGTATGAGTTTTTGGGGGAAAAACGTACCATATCGGCATTAAAAATATCTCCTCGGAGTCTGTGAAGATTGCTTTTGTCCTCCTCCAGGTCACTCTCCATATCTTTCACTATTTCGGTGGCATTCTCAATCTTTTGCGTCAGGAACGTAAAGAAACGCTCAATAAGCTCCATTTGCGCCTCGTAGGTTTGCTTTTGCTTCAAATTAAATATTTTGGTGAGGACGATGAAAATGGCGGTTAAATGGCGGTCCAGTGGTCCAGTGGCGGTCCCCTTCTCAAGTTTCGCCTTTACTTCGCCATAGAAGCCCCCTGGACCAAAATCGTCGCGGACATAAATCGAAATATTTTGAATCGCATTATCGAGCTCTTCAATTCTGTTTTGGAAATAGGTGAGACATTCCAAAGATTTTTCGGTTTCTGTGAGGCCCAATTCCAAAGTAGACACGGTCAGGTTCCAGATTATATTCCTATTCGTTTCCGACAAGTTGCTGTCGCCAATATTATCGATGAAGATATCAAAGGTGCCGTTGATGGTTTGGCACGAGTCGAAGACTGGACTCACACAGTTTTGGTAGATAAGACGGGCTTGGAAGTTCAAAGAGCTAATCAGAGACAGCTTGTCCTTGGCTGTGCCGTTGTATTCCAGCATGGCTGTATCAATCTCATCGATGGCCTTCTGCAGCTCCACAAACTTCACCTTCCTGTCGAACTCGGCTTGATATTTCACCAGGACGTTCGACAAACTTGCTAGGCCTTTTTTGATATCAAGCTCGATCTCATCGCACCTGGCAAAGAAAGGACAAAAGGCACAAAATGCAAGTGCCGCTGCCAAAACGACGGCAGAAGGATCCTTTCCCATAACTGATCAAGAAGGATTAATCCACTGGTGAGGAGCTGACTGGTGCTTCCCTGACGAGAGAAGATTCTATTCGAAATGTACGATTTTCGGTCTTATATATACCCAAAAAGTGAATACACCAAAGAACACTTAACACTAATTCGGTTCTTGGGAACTGTTAATAATTCCTTAATCAAGAGATGTATCGTAGTTGCAAATAAAAGACTCAGATTTCGCGGAAGCTAATAGGCATTAATGAAGAAGTTCTTTAATATTCAATTTAGACATTCTCCTTATCTTTTGAGGGAGGCGGAATCGGGGCTCAGTATGATTATGGCATTGAAACTTTTTTGCAAATTTTGACATAAAAAATGAATGCTTTTACTGATAGTGATATTTTGTGGACACAGATACATATTTATTAAACATTAATTAATATTATAATCCATGATTCCAGTATCCAGATTCCAGATCTATATACGGGTAGATCTAGAGATAGAGATCTATTCCAAGAACTAACCACAGAGAGTTAACCACAACCAACAATATATATAACAAATATGTTTTTCAAATCCATTTTCCAATTAATTTTAAGACATTTCGAAAAAGCGTGTGATTTCAGTCTTGAAATTTTCCATAACATGGTAGTTGCCCGATGAACGTCAATTATTGTGTCCAATTTTATACTTTTATACCAAAAAAATTAAAAAAAAAAAACAGGAGTGGACGGCTATATGTAATCGAGTTTCCCGACTATATTATACCCGGTACTCATCTCCTCCAGCCACAATTTAAATCATCTTAAGAGCTTAAACTCCAAAGGAATGGATTCTCAGCAACAAATTTTTGTTGCATACTTTTGCGCTTGGGCAAAACAACAACAAGAAACCTACGGTCATACTACCGATTCAGTAGGGAAGTCTATAACTCCTCAATATCCGATTTGGCTGCTTTGGTAGGTGTAGGTTAGCCATTGGAACAGTTTGGCATCAAAACATTCTCCACAAACATTAACGAACTGGCGCTGAAAAAAGATTTATATTTTTGGGGCGGGAGTGGGCGTGGCAAAATATTGACACAAACTTGATCTGCGCGGATATCATACGATCCCAAGTTCCAAATCGGATAGTTCTATATCTTATGGTCTTCGAGATCCACGCGTTCATACGGACAGCCGGGCATGGCTATAACGACTCGGTTGTTGATGCTGATCAAGAATATATATACCTGGATATATAATGCTGGATGTCAAACAAGCCTTCGACCGAGTCTGGCACTCCGGTCTCCTGCTTAAATGGAAGAGTAACCTGCCCAGACCTTACTACCTCTTCCTGAAGTCCTACCTGAAGGACCGCTAATTCCGGACTCAGGGAGGTCCGCGCCGGAGTCCCCCAAGGCAACCTATGCGGACGATACCGCCTTCCTGACCGCTGCTGACAACGCTACAGGGCCAGCTACTGTCATGCAGGAGCAACTAGATCTTCTCGGCAATAGGTTATTCAAGTGAATAACGATAAATCCCCACCATACCACCCCACCACAATCCTCCACCACACCACGCCACCACATTTTCTCTCCGTCGAGGAAATTGCCCACCGGTCCACCTCAACAGCTCCCCCATCCCGCAAGTAGAAAACCCAAGATACCTGGGCTTCACGCTAGACAGGAGGCTTACTTGGAAGCCTCGCCTAGTCAAAACAGCGAAAGCAGTGTGAAGTAAGATTAAAGGCGTTCTATTGGCTGATGGGTAGGAGGTCGAAGCTGAGGACCTCTTCGAAAATCCTACTCTACAAGGTGATTATTCGGCCAATTTGGACATGCGGGATCCAACTTTGGGGCACGGCCACCAAGACTAATATTCGGACTATCCAAATATTTGAAAATAGTGCCCTCTGTATCGCCACTGGGGCCCACGTCCACGACGACAACCAGACAATCCCCGAGGTGCTTGGCCTCCCATGGGTGAAGGAGGAGATCCAGAGAAGCAGCAGCAAGTACATCCAGAGGCTACACGACCACCCCAACGAGTTGGCGACCACTCTCCTCGACAACAGCGCTGGACCTCACCCGCTGGACCTCATCCGAAATAACTTCAGACTCTTATTAACTCTTATTTTTTCACCTCTTACATAAGTTACACATAAGCCAAGTTTTCTGTTAAAATATTTAATGGTTGTCTCTGTTGGACAGTTTTAAATAAAATCCCCCCTGGCAAGTGATAAAAATAGCTTCTATTGTGTAAAGCTTGTATCTTTCAAAAAAAAAAAGTAGTTGCGAAGGGTGCGCCATCTAGAAGAGAAGTGTCAAACTAGCAAGGGGCACAGAGAGATTAGGAGGAGTGCAACCGGTTAAAATGGCAAATTTTCCGTTGGGGCATTGTCTCTCCGGGCAAAGGCAATGGGGGGATCAGCGCCAAGTTTTGGCGTCGGGGCATTCATTCCTCTGATTTAGTTGAGTAAATTTTTTCACCTAAGTGCGGTGTCCAGGGGCAAAAATATCAAAAAGGGGCCCACCGTTTTTGTGGCCAAGGGTGAATCCGTCGAGGTAAGGAAGTGCGGCGGGTCAGTTAGGTAAATTTTCTAGCTAAATTTTCTCTTGGGTGACTAAGCTCGGCATCAAGGTAGACACTACCGGAGGGAAATTCAGGCAGCCCTAAGGGGTCGGAGCGGATCTAAGGGACTCCAGAAGCCCACGGCGCAGAGCTGCAGGAGCAGCGTTCGCCGGAAGAGTTCCAGTTTTGCACCAAGATATCAAGAGATAGACCAAAACCGAGAAGCTGAGGGCGAAAAAAAAAACAAAGAAAAAGACTCGGTCAACGGGCTTGAGATTTACTCGATAGGCCCACCATCAAACCTTTGGCTCGAGCGGGCAGTTTGCGGAGGCATCCGGCGACCCCGGCGTGGTAATCCGGAGAACTTTCATCCGGGAAAAACCGGTACGGCCGAATCCACGTGGGAGTTCGGCAAGTAGATAGGTGTTAGATTAAGATTAAGTACTGTTAGTTAGTTCTATTAGTGAGTACGTTTTCTGGCATATGGCATGAAAAAGGAAAAATTGGCCAAGCGCGATTCGAAGTGGTAGTGGGGTTATACCTAACCTTTTCAAAAAAAAAGAAGAGAAGAAAAGAGAAAAAATAAGAATAATGATTTCCATGGCCCCAAAGTGCGTTTCACAATAGAAAATTTTCCTTGTTTTTTTGTTAGTGTTAAGTCTAAAGTTTCAGCCACCTGCAGTCCAAGAAAGCGCTTTCAACGATGGGTTTACCAAGGCTGGGGTGAGTGTGAACTGAACTTACGTAATACCAGATTTAGTCCCAACAAGAAAGTAAATGAGACCGAAAGGACAAAAATATAATAAAACAAGGAATATTTCCCAAACATGGACGACTTAAATTTTTAAATAAAAAAAGGTAATTTTGAAGTAAATAGTAAATCCGCTAGTCCAAATCGTTCGAACCATTTCGCTGGCGAGTTTTCACTCAAGTTCGAGCGCATGTTCGTTTATATGTTCGAAGGGATCGCCATGAAGTTTTATTTTTATATGAAAGTCTTGCTCATGTCTAATTTGTTTTTATTGTTTTGAAAAGCCAATTTCTTAAATCTTTTAGTTTTAATTCTTTTAATTTTGTTTAGCCACATTTGATTATTTCTGTTATTATTAGGTTTACTTTAGTATTTACTCCATATAATTCGATATAGTGGGCATGTATGTTTTAGGTCTAAAGCTAATTTTTATTATATTTCTTTTAGTGCTTAAATAAATTTTTATAATGTTCTAAGAACCACTTTTTGGACCCGACATAACAGGCCCCCTTGAGACCGTCAAAGCTGGGGCTATTATTGACATAAAGGGTTTCGCCCCCAGGAGTTTTGATAGCCACAGGTTGGGTGGGCAAACTAAGCCTCGCAACATCAGAGGTCTTAGGTGCTCGACGGTAGAGCCCGATGCAAAGGAACCCTTTTTTTCTTTTCTATGTATATTCCCTGAATCAATTCAACAGATGGCCGAGAGGAGCAGTTGATCGCTTACCAAGAGAAGCTTTCAAGCAGTTAGGACCTAATTTTTTCTTTTATTAATTTTTTTCATACTTGTATAATTTAAATTATTGATTTTCATTTATTCACAACTGATACGGTTTGGCTAAACTTCGCCACGGGCGTACAATCGGAAAATCACTTTTTAAGTTCGGATGAAAAATTATAAAAAAAAACTAGAAAGGAAAGCTAGCTTCGGGAGGAGCCGAAGTTGATATACCCTTGCAGTTAAAACCGGATATATATCGCAAATATCGGATATAGTTGTTCCAAAAAGAAGTCCCAAACTTCTATCTTCAAAAATACCAAAGTTCTACCAAAAACCATTTCCGATCGTTCAGTTATATGGCAGCTATAGGATATAGTCGACCGATCGATCGATGAAATTTGGTAGGTCGGATTAATTGACAAAAAAATATAATCTGTACCAAGTTCCAGCTTTATATCTTCAACTCAGGAGGTGACCCTGATCAAGAATATATTTATATTTCTATATATGTATATATATTAATATATATATATATTTTATATTTCAAGAAAATTATAATACCCTCTGCAAGGGTATAAAAAATAAAATAGGAAATCAAAAATCTTAAAGTTTTTCTCTTTGATCTTTTTTCTGTAAAACATACAGAAAGACATGGCCTAATCGGCACTGGAGATGATTCTGATCAAGATTAGAGATACTTTATGGAGTCTTATAAACCACTAGAAGATACTAACAATTATTGGCCAGTATTGGGAACGGATCTTCGCACCTAGCGCCCAAGGCCGAGCGTGTAGGTTCTTCTCATGAAAGTCAGGCACTATAGCCGAAGTGACGGGATGGCCTCTTGGAAGAATATTCGGCCTCTTTCCAAGACGAAGCTACCAGCATCTCATCTTCAAAGGGAGAAAGCGGGCTGGAGGGGAGAACCAATCTGCCTGATCTCAACAAGCTTATCTCTTCCTTAGACTCAGAACGCTAGAGAGCAGAGAAAATGAGGAGTCTGCCACGTCCTTCATTGCGTTGCAAACCTTTCACCAAAATTGTTATACCCTCTGCAAGGGTATAAACAGCTTATGGATAAAGGGTAATAGTTGTTGGTACTAAGAAAGTAACTTGTTTGACCTTTATTCACAGTATTGTTTATTAATTGCTTATATAATTAACAATTGTATATTGCTTATATAATTAATTAACAATTGTTTATAATTAACAATTGCTATTTAAGCGGGCGATGGTTCGCTTTCGTAGAATGGGGAGGCTGAACGACGAGTTCTGGAACTGATCTTCTGATAAAAGGGAGCATCATGTCCAAGCCATTTCACGTACTCGGCGCAGCTATCCTTTAGATTCTGGATGTTAGGAATAAATTGGACTCGCCGAAGAGCCATGTCAGACAACAATATCTCTTTTTTCTAAAATAAAGAAAATTATAAAAATTACAGATTTGAAAAGTATGAGTATGCGTGTTTGGGGGAAAAACGTACATTATTGGGGCCTGCAATTACTCTTCGGAGCTTCTGAAGATTGGTTTTGTCCTCCTTCAGGTCACTCTCCATTTCCTTCACTTTTTCGGTGGCATTCTTAATCTTTTGCGTCAGGTCCGTGAAGAAATGCTCAATAAGCTCAACTTGCTCCTGGTAGGGTTCCATTTGTTGCCAATGAACCAAATCGGTGATACCAAACGAGGCAAAGGCGGCGGGGAAACCCAGTGAAAGACCAATCGGTCCAAAAACCAGGACACCGATCGCATCAAACAAGGTTCCAACGAATAAGACAATTCTTGTCTTCACTAACACCGCTTTGTTATTGATCCTCTCCTCCAGTTCCGCCTTATCTTTGCCATAGAAGCCCCCTGGTCCGAAATCGTCGTGGACATCATGCAATATCTCTTCAAATGCATTTTTGAGCTCAGCAGTTCTGTGTTGGACATTGGTGAGGAGTTCCAAAGATTTTCCGGTTTTTTCGAGGCCCAATTCCAGAGCTACCGCTACCATGTTCCACATTATATTCCTATTCGTTTCCGACAGGTTGCTGTCGCCAATTTTATCGATGAAGATATCGAAGGTCTTGTTGGCAGAAATGCACCACTCGAAGACTGGGCCCACACAGTTTTGGTAGGTGAGACGGGCTTCGGAGTTCAAAGAGCGAATCTGAGGCAGCTTTTCCTTGGCTTTGCCGTTATAATTCAGCATGGCTTTACCAATCACGTCGACGGCCTCCTGCAGCTCCACAAACTTCACCTTCCTGTCGAACTCGGCATGATATTTCACCAGGACGTTCGACAAACTTGCTATGCCTTTTTTGATATTAAGCTCGGTCTCATCGCACCTGGCAAAGAAAGGACAAAAGGCGCAAAATGCAAGTGCCATTACCAAAACGACGGCAGAAGGATCCTTTCCCATGATTGATCAAGAAGGATTAATCCACTGGCGAGGAGCTGACTGGTGCTTCCCTGACGAGAGAAGATCCGCTATTCTTTTCGAAATGTACGATTTTCGGTCTTATATATACCTAAAAAGTGAATACACTAAGGACACTTAACACTAATTCGGTTCTTGGGAACTGTTAATAATTCCTTAATCAAGAGATGTATCGTAGTTGCAAATAAAAGACTCAGATTTCGCGGAAGCTAATAGGCATTAATGAAGAAGTTCTTTAATATTCAATTTAGACATTCTCCTTATCTTTTGAGGGAGGCGGAATCGGGGCTCAGTATGATTATGGCATTGAAACTTTTTTGCAAATTTTGACATAAAAAATGAATGCTTTTACTGATAGTGATATTTTGTGGACACATATTTTCCTTTATGTGTCCATAACGAAGTTCGAATAAAGGCCCGAAAAGGGTGGGGTGAATTTAAATTTAAGATTTATTAACATTTACAAATTTTATCACAAAAGCCATGATTCCCAGAATCATACATTTTCCTATCTATATATGGGTAGTTCTCAAGAAAGGTCAACCACAAGTTGCAAGTTCATGAAAAGATGTTTTTCAAATATTTTTACAGAGAATCTATTCATTTCCATCCAGTGTGTGAGTTTGATGAACATCAATTTTAATATTATTATTGATATTTATGTACCCCTGTGAGGGTACGAAGATCCTATGGGCTTTTCGTATACCAGGAAAAGGTTTAAAAAACTTAAAGAATAGAAGAGATAAGCATTACAATTGATTTATAAAGATCCCCCCGAGATAAAGGGGAACCCCTTCAGGGAGAGCTGTACGTTTCTTTAAGTATCCATGTCGAAGCTAGCCTCCGATCCAGTCCTAAAGTTTTTTGGCAGAAAAAAGTCAAGATCGGACATACCATCATTCATATGTTATGGTAATTTAGTAGCCGACTAGAATCAGGGCGTTTCGGAACTTTTTGCAAAATACTTTGCCTTTAAGGTTCCTTGGAGTAATAATGAAACTCTTTTTAGCATTGAGCCTTTTCTCAATGTGAGTAACATGGACATATTGGACTATTGGACCTAGTTGTCCATGCCACAGGACATTTAACAGAGTCACCAACACCTGACTCGGATGGTATCTCCCCATTCTCCCCATTTATTCTCCCATAAAATCGATCATCTAAAAGAAACCTAAAGGCTTTGTGAAGAAACCACTAGAATACAATTTTAAAACCACTAGAAGATACTAACAATTAATAGGCCAGTATTGGGAACCGATCTCCGGACCTAGCGCCCAAGGCCGAGAGTGTAGGTTCTTCTCATGAAAGTCAGGCACTATAGCCGAAGTGACGGGATGGCCTCTTGGAAGAATATTCGGATGGCCTCTTTCCAAGACGAAGCTACCAGCATCTCATCTTCAAAGGGAGAAAGCGGGCTTGAGGATAGAACCAATCTGCCTGATCTCAACAAGCTTATCTCTTCCTTAGACTCAGAACGCTGGGCTAGAGTCTTCCACATTCTTCACTGCGTTGCACACTTTTCACCAAAATTGTAATACCCTCTGCAAGGGTATAAAAAGCTAATACTTGTAGATAAAGGGTAAAAGTTGTTGGTATCAAAAAAGTAACTTGTTTGACCTTTATTCACCCTATTGTTGATTAAGAATTAACAATTGCAATTTAAGCTGGCGATGGTTCGCTTTCGTAGAAAGTGGAGGCTGCACGACGAGTTCTGGAACTGATCTTCTGATAAAAGGGAGCATCGAATCCATGCCAGTTCACATACTCGGCGCAGCTATCCTTTAAATCCTTGATGTCCGGAATAAATTGGCGTCGCAGAAGAGCCATGTCAAACAACAACATCTCTTTGTTCTAAAATAGAGAAAAATATAAAAATAACAGCATTGAAAAGTATGAGTTTTTGGGGGAAAAACGTACATCATTGGCGCCTTCAAAATGTTTTTGGAGCCTGTAAAGATTGCTTTTGTCCTCCTCCAGGTTACTCTCCATTTCTTTCACTATTTCGGTGGCTTTCTCAATCTTTTTCGTCAGGAACGTAAAGAAACGCTCAATAAGCTCTATTTGCTCCTTGAAGGTTTGCTTTTGATTCGAATTAAATATTTTGGTGAGGACGATGAAAATGGCGGTTAAAGGGCGGTCCAGTAAAGAACCGTCCACCCCCTTCTGCAGTTTCGCCCTTTCTTTGCCATAGAAGCCCCCTGGACCGAAATCGTAGTGGACATCATGCAATATCACTTTAAATGCTTGTTTAAGCTGAGCAGTTCTGTGTTGGACATTGGTGAGGAGATCCCAAGATATTCTGGTTTTTTCGAGGCCCAATTCCAGAGCTACCGCTACCAAGTTCCACATTATATTCCTATTCGTTTCCGACAGGTTGCTGTCGCCAATTTTATCGATGAAGATATTGAAGGCCTTGTTGGCAGAAATGCACCACTCGAAGACTGGACCCACACAGTTTTCGTAGCTGAGACGGGCTTCGGAGTTCAAAGAGCGAATCTGAGGCAGCTTTTCCTTGGCTTTGCCGTTATAATTCAGCATGGCTGTATCAATCTCATCGATGGCCTCCTGCAGCTCCACAAACTTCACCTTCCTGTCGAAATCGGCTTGATATTTCACCAGGACGTTCGACAAACTTTTTATGCCTTTTTTGATATCAAGCTCAATCTCATCGCACCTGGCAAAGAAAGGACAAAAGGCACAAAATGCAAGTGCCGTTGCCAAAACGACGGCAGAAGGATCCTTTCCCATAACTGATCAAGAAGGATTAATCCACTGGTGAGGAGCTGACTGGTGCTTCCCTGACGAGAGAAGATCCGCTATTCTTTTCGAAATGTACGATTTTCGGTCTTATATATACCCAAAAAGTGAATGCACCAAGGAACACGGTCAGATTTCGGTTCTTGGGAACTGTTAATAATTCATAAATCGAGAGATGTATCTAAGTTGCAAATAAAAGACTCAGATTTCGCGGAAGCTAATAGGCATTAATGAAGAAGTTCTTTAATATTCAATTTAGACATTCTCCTTATCTTTTGAGGGAGGCGGAATCGGGGCTCAGTATGATTATGGCATTGAAACTTTTTTGCGAATTTTGACATAAAAAATGAATGCTTTTACTGATAGTGATTTAATTGAGTTTCCCTTTTTTCGGATAGCTCAATTGATGATTGTTGTACTAAATTCTTGGCTGCCATTTTTAATATTATTATTGATATTTATGTACCCCTGTGAGGGTACGAAGATCCTATGGGCTTTCCTTGTATACAGAAGGTTTAAAAAACTTAAAGAATATAAGAGATAATTATGAGATATTTAATGTTCGTAAGGAAATCTTCGTACCCTTGCCCCCTTTCGGATCATGAAAGGACTAACAAAGAGCTACCAAACGGTTTTAAATGTTATAGTGCATTCATCCAAAATAATTATTTTACATTGTTTCAGCACTATGCCCATGGACACTGAATCTGGATTATTTCGAAGGAATGAGCTGTTCTACCTCCATCATTAAGTAGTGGAATATTGCGACTAACAATGCCTGTCATTTCTACAGTATCGTACTGTAGTTCACGATTCTCTGATATCTGTAATGGGTAAAAACGATGTCATTTGGAAGCATGAATAAAATGTACGAATGGACTTCAAGGAACAGGGTAGAATCTGGATCTGTACCGAGAAGTTTGCCGCGAAATGGTTATACTTCGGATAGTTGTACTCTTCCTGATGAGCAACACATCCCAACTGGCTCATTTTTAATCGGGATTTATGGGATCGGACCCATGAAGTACGAGACAAGTAGCATGGTCTAAAACCGATCCCCTGCATCCTATCACAAGAACATAAGTGGTGCGCTTATCGTGTGCAGTGTGTTGATCAGTAGTTTTAAATAGATTTAAGATTTCAATGTATCTTTCTTATAAGAGAAAATAAAATCAGTTTCCAAAAGGAACTCATTGCAGTAAGACCCATTATTTGGGGCCCCTCTTAATATTTGGTCCTTCGAGCCGGATCCTCTGTTGTTTTCCCCCCAAGTGGTAAGGGACACAGAAAAAGAATTTCCAAAAGGAACTCTTTGGAGTAAGACCCATTATTTGGGGCCCCTCTTAATATTTGGTCCTTCGAGCCGGATCCTCTGCTGTTTCCCCCCAAGTGGTAAGGGACACAGAAAAAGAGTTTCCAAAAGGAACTCATTGGAGTAAGCCCTATTATTTGGGGCTCCTCTAACAAACTATGAATCTGTACTATGAATCTTTGTTGATTACGTTCATCTCGTGCCTCTTTCGATTGTGATCCACATAATTGCGCCATGCTCAGACTTATCTTCCTCGATTTGTTCTCCTGATCTCGCCGGGCAGGATATGCAACGGCAGGATATGAATGACTTTCTCACCACTCAGGACATACACGGATCTATGCTTCCACCGCGTCTTCTTCAGACTTAAAACCTATTAATAAATTGTTTATTCTACAATAATATTTATTTTATACAGGGTGACAATAAATAACCCGGACAAACTCTGAAGCAATCTATTATAAATGTATTATGATACAGCCCTTAAATAAATGCATTTATCGATAGCTTGTATTTTTCTAAAACAAATATATTTACATTTTTGTGATTCCCATCAATTTGATATTTCTTTCGGGATATCTAACAATCGTTGTGAAATTTTAAAACTGTTTCAACAAGGAAATCGCCAATGCGACATTGTTCGTTTGCTTGGAATACCAAAACAAACGGTCTCTGACGCTATCCGGCGATTTAATGAGCTTGGCCATGAAGGTGACCGTCCCGGACGAGGCAGACTATGTACCGCTAACACTTCCAGAATTCACCAGATAGTGAAGACGCGGATCACTCGGAATTGCAGAGTCTCGGTCAGAAAAATAGCCCGTGAAATCGGAGTGAATCGAGAAAGTGTTCGGTAGATAGCAAAAAATGAACTTAATCTCCAGCCCTACAAGCTCCAAAAAATGCATCTTCTTACGGATGACAATAAGCGCGTGAGACTCCAAAGATGCCGTCAGCTAAAGCGTCGGGCCGCAGGTCAAAAATGGGAGCGTATTCTTTTCACGGACGAGAAGATATTCACCATCCAAAAGGCGCACAATCACCAAAATGACAGAAGCTGGTCTGCTAAAGCTCCAGGTACCTCTGCAATAATCGAGCGCCGTCAATGTGAGCAGTCTTTAATGGTTTGGGGAGGAATATGCGCCACTGGCAAAACACCCCTTGTTTTCATCGATCAAGGGGTCAAAATCAATCAGGAAGTGTACCGCCGGGACGTTTTGGAAACTGTTGTGCTTCCTTGGGGCCAGCAGCACTTCGGTGATACGGAGTGGACGTTTCAACAGGATTCAGCGTCAGCCCATAGAGCCAAATTGACTCAGGACTGGTGCAAAGCCAATTTCCCGGACTTTGTCACATGCAGTGAATGGTCACCTTACTCGACAGATCTTAATCCGATGGACTAAGTGTGTGGTCTATTTTGAAGTCCAGGGGATGTGCTAAACGCCACATAAGTTTGGAGGTGCTAAAGCAATCATTGCTCCGAGAATGGGATCGATTATCGGAAGAGGACCTGCGGCCCATTGCGCCAAATTTCCAGAAACGTTTAGGGCTCTGCATCGCAGCCCAAGGAAGCCACTTTAAAACCAGCTGAATATATGTTAACACAATACCTATTTAATAGTTGTGTATCTGCATTTTTTCTCAAATGCAGTTCCTTAAAAAGTTATGATCAAAAATGTTTGTCCGGGTTATTTATTGTCACCCTGTAATAGTGTGTATCAATTATATCTTTATAAAAATATCCTCATAATATCCCTTACAAAATGCCTTTGTTATACATTCGTATCTCATATATAGGAATTCTGATCCGATTCTCAAGCGGAGTACCTTAAACGATTTCTATATCGATTCTCCATCATTCTGCATCAAAATCCTGACACAAAATATTTTTTGGATTTTTTGTCCATTTTTCCTGATGGGACCCCTTGAAAATGCAGATTTCCCCTATTGGCCCACGGCGATGTCTATATCTTCCCCAATTCTGATCCAATTCTCAAGCGGAGTACCTTAAACGATTTCTATATTGATTCTCCATCATTCTGCATCAATCGTTCAGTTATATGGCAGCTGTAAGATATAGTCGGACTATAGTCGACTTGTTTTAACTTTATTCATCGTATTTTTGATACATTGCAACATATAGCACTGAATGACATTGCAATTAAAGGGGTTTTTCGAAAATATCATCCCTATGCACGCCACTTTTGGAATCCATGGTGCTCCACGGAATATGGAGGAATAAAGCCACCACAATCCATTTGGTCAATGATGCGACCCAATTCCTGAGATTGTGTGGAGTTCGAAGACCCTGACTCGGCTAACATTTGTTTTGCAGTTGCTCGTTGGCTTTCGCAGAATGTGGAGGCTGCACGACGAGATCTGGAACTGTTCTTCTGATAAAAGGGAGAATCGAATCCGTGCCATTTCACGTACTTGGCGCAGCTATCCTTTAAATCCTTGATGTCCGGGATAAATTCGACTCGCAGAAAAGCCATGTCAGACAACAACATCTCTTTGTTCTAAAATAGAGAAAAATTTAAAAATTAAAGCATTGAAAAGTATCAGTTTTTGGGGTAAAACGTACATTATTGGCACCTGAAATATGTCCTCGGAGCAAGTGAAGGTTGGTTTTGTCCTCCTCCAGGTTTCTCTCCATATCTTTCACTATTTCGGTGGCTTTCTCAATCTTTTGCGTTATGTCCTTAAAGAAATGCTCAATAATCTTTATTTGCTCGTCGTAGCTTTGCTTTTGTTTCCATTGATCTATTGAGGTGATACCAAACACGGTAAAGTCGTCTAACATGCCCAGTGCAACACCAATCGGTCCACAAACCAGGAGACCGATCGCAAAAAACAAGGCGCCAACGAAGGCAATTGTCTCTAACGCCGCTTTGCTCCTCTCCTTCAGTTCCGCCTTTTGTTTGCCATATAAGCCCTCTGGACCGAAATCGTAGTGGACATCATGCAACATACTTTGAAACGCATTTTTGAGCTGAGCAGTTCTGTTTTGGACTCTGGTGAGGAGTTCCAAAGATTTTCCGGTATATTCGAGGCCCAATTCCAGAGTTGAAGCTGTCATGTTCCAGATTATATTTATATTTGTTTCCGACAGGTTGGTAACGCCAATTTTATCGATGAAGATATCGAAGGTCTTGTTGGCAAAAATGCACCACTGGAAGACTGGACCCACACAGTCTTGGTAGGTGAGACGGGCTTGGAAGTTCAACTCGCGAATCTGAGGCAGCTTTTCCTTGGCTTTGCCGTTATAATTCAGCATGGCTATATCAATCTCATCGATGGCCTTCTGCAGCTCCACAAACTTCACCTTCCTGTCGAACTCGGCTTGATATTTCACCAGGACGTTCGACAAACTTGCTATGCCTTTTTTGATATCAAGCTCGATCTCATCGCACCTGGCAAAGAAAGGACAAAAGGCACAAAATACAAGTGCCGTTACCAAAACGACGGCAGAGGGATCCTTTCCCATGATTGATCAAGAAGGATTAATCCACTGGCGAGGAGCTGACTGGTGCTTCCCTGACGAGAGAAGATCCGCTATTCTTTTCGAAATGTACGATTTTCGGTCTTATATATACCCAAAAAGTGAATACACTAAGGACACTTAACACTAATTCGGTTCTTGGGAACTGTTAATAATTCCTTAATCAAGAGATGTATCGTAGTTGCAAATAAAAGACTCAGATTTCGCGGAAGCTAATAGGCATTAATGAAGAAGTTCTTTAATATTCAATTTAGACATTCTCCTTATCTTTGAGGGAGGCGGAATCGGGGCTCAGTATGATTATGGCATTGAAACTTTTTTGCGAATTTTGACATAAAAAATGAATGCTTTTACTGATAGTGATATTTTGTGGACACATATTTTCCTTTATGTGTCCATAACGAAGTTCGAATAAAGGCCCGAAGAGGGTGGGGTGAATTGAAATTTAAGATTTATTAACATTTACAAATTTTATCACAAAAGCCATGATTCCCAGAATCATACATATATGTACATATACATTTTCAGATCTATAAGTATATGGGTAGTTCTCAAGAAAGGTCAACCACAAGTTGCAAGTTCATGAAAAGATGTTTTTCAAATATTTTTACAGAGAATCTATTCATTTCCATCTAGCGTGTGAGTTTGATGAACATCAATTTTAAGGGGTTACGCCACCCTGACCGCGTGGAAACGGGACGGTTTTTCAGGAATTTCTTGTGACTAAACTAGTTGAGATAGGATTTTTCCACTTTTATTTCTATTCAATACAACTAATAAGCTTTATAAATTCTAAAAAAAAACTTGTTTTCTATGCAAAATGGCGGAGATATGAACATCGGCGATCATCGGTTTTTCAGGAGTGCTCCTTAATGGTGGGCATGATTCACGTGTCAATTTTCACGTGTCAAGTAAACAAAATTTTTTTTTAAAAAGTGATAAATTTGGAACAGAGTGACGTAGCCGTTTAAGAAAAAAAAAAATTACGCAAATGAGAGCACTTCAAAAATTTACTCAATTTTTTGGGCAAAAATTTCGTACTACAAATTGCATAACAAAATTTCTATCCATTGGATCGAAAAAATCCTACGTCACTCTGTGGAAAATCTATGTAAGAAGATGTGGTTCAATTTTCAAGTCAATCGGTTGAACAGTTTTTGAGTTATCATGCCCACCGTCTTGAAAAAGTGGTTTCGAGAAAAACGCAAAAGAAGAAAAAGAAGTGTCTTAGGTGCCCTCCTGCCGTGCCGACTTCAAATAAACATAACTTCCATAATTATCAAGATATTGTCATCGGGGACTTTGTCTTAAAATACGCGTAAGAATATAGTCTTTTAAATTAAGTAAAAAAAAATTTAAATTTTTTGAAAATTTCAGGGTGGCGTAACCCTTTAATATTATTATTGATATTTATGTACCCCTGTGAGGGTACGAAGATCCTATGGGCTTTCCGTATACCAGGAAAAGGTTTAAAAAACTTAAAGAATAGAAGAGATAAGCATTACAATTGATTTATAAAGATCCCCCCGAGATAAAGGGGAACCCCTTTAGGGAGAGCTGTACGTTTCTTTAAGTATCTAGAATCTAGCCTCCGATCCAATCCTAAAGTTTTTTGGAAGAAAAAAGTCAACATCGGACATACCTTCATCCATATGTTATGGTAATTTAGTAGCCGACTAGAATCAGGGCGTTTCGGAACTTTTTGCAAAATACTTTGCCTTTAAGGTTCCTTGGAGTAATAATGAAACTCTTTTTAGCATTGAGCCTTTTCTCAATGTGAGTAACATGGACATATTGGACTATTGGACCTAGTTGTCCATGCCACAGGACATTTAACAGAGTCACCCACACCTGACTCGGATGGTATCTCCCCATTCTCCCCATTTATTCTCCCATAAAATCGATCATCTAAAAGAAACCTAAAGGCTTTGTGAAGAAACCACTAGAATACAATTTTAAAACCACTAGAAGATACTAACAATTAATAGGCCAGTATTGGGAACCGATCTCCGGACCTAGCGTCCAAGGGCGAGAGTGTAGGTTCTTCTCATAAAAGTCAGGCACTACAGCCGAAGTGACGGTATGGCCTCTTGGAAGAATATTCGGATGGCCTCTTTCCGGAAGACGAAGCTACCAGCATCTCATCTTCAAAGGGAGAAAGCGGGCTGGAGGGGAGAACCAATCTGCCTGATCTCAACAAGCTTATCTCTTCCTTAGACTCAGAACGCTAGAGAGCAGAGAAAATGAGGAGTCTGCCACGTCCTTCACTGCGTTGCACACTTTTCACCAAAATTATAATACCCTCTGCAAGGGTATAAACAGCTTATGGATAAAGGGTAATAGTTTTTGGTATCAAAAAAGTAACTTGTTTGACCTTTATTCACCGTATTGTTGATTAAGAATTAACAATTTCTATTTAAGCTGGCGATGATTCGCTTTCGTAGAAAGTGGAGGCTGCACGACGAGTTCTGGAACTGATCTTCTGATAAAAGGGAGCATCGAATCCATGCCAGTTCACATACTCGTCGCAGCTATTCTTTAAATTGATGATGTCCTGAATAAATTTGCGTCGCATATGAGCTTCAACAAACAACAATAACAATTTTTTCTAAAATAAAGAAAAATATAAAAATAACAGCATTGAAAAGTATGAGCTTTTGGGAGAAAACCGTACATCATTGGCGCCTTTAAAATGTTTTTGGAGTCTGTAAAGATTGCTTTTGTCCTCCTCCAGGTTACTCTCCCTTTCTTCGACTATTTCGGTGGCTTTCTCAATCTTTTGCGTCAGGAACGTAAAGAAACGCTCAATAAGCTCTATTTGCTCCTTGTAGGTTTGCTTTTGATTCAAATTAAATATTTTGTGGAGGACGGTGAAACCTTCCATCGCCTTCTGCAGTTTTGCCCTTTCTTCGCCATAGAAGCCCCCTGGACCGAAATCGTAGTGGACATCATGCAATATCACTTTAAATGCTTGTTTAAGCTGAGCAGTTCTGAATTGGACACTGGTGAGGAGTTCCAAAGATTTTCCGGTTTTTTCGAGGCCCAATTCCAGAGCTACCGCTACCAAGTTCAAGATTATATTCCTATTCCTTTCCGACAGGTTGCTGTCGCCAATGTTATCGATGAAGATATTGAAGGTGCTGTTGACGGAAATGCACCACTCGAAGACTGGGCCCACACAGTTTTGGTAGGTGAGATGGGCTTCGGAGTTCAAAGAGCGAATCTGAGGCAGCGTGTCCTTGGCTGTGCCGTTGTATTCCAGCATGGCTTTACCAATCTCATCGATGGCCTCCTGCAGCTCCACAAACTTCACCTTCCTGTCGAAATCGGCTTGATATTTCACCAGGACGTTCGACAAACTTGCTATGCCTTTTTTGATATCAAGCTCGATCTCATCGCACCTGGCAAAGAAAGGACAAAAGGCACAAAATACAAGTGCCGTTACCAAAACGACGGCAGAGGGATCCTTTCCCATGATTGATCAAGAAGGATTAATCCACTGGCGAGGAGCTGACTGGTGCTTCCCTGACGAGAGAAGATCCGCTATTCTTTTCGAAATGTACGATTTTCGGTCTTATATATACCCAAAAAGTGAATACACTAAGGACACTTAACACTAATTCGGTTCTTGGGAACTGTTAATAATTCCTAAATCAAGAGATGTATCTTAGTTGCAAATAAAAGACTCAGATTTCGCGGAAGCTAATAGGCATTAATGAAGAAGTTCTTTAATATTCAATTTAGACATTCTCCTTATCTTTTTAGGGAGGCGGAATCGGGGCTCAGTATGAATATGGCATTGAAACTTTTTTGCAAATTTTGACATAAAAAATTAATGCTTTTACTGATAGTGATTTAATTGAGTTTCCCTTTTTTCGGATAGCTCAATTGATGATTGTTGTACTAAATTCTTGGCTGCCATTTTTAATATTATTATTGATATTTATGTACCCCTGTGAGGGTACGAAGATCCTATGGGCTTTCCTTGTATACAGAAGGTTTAAAAAACTTAAAGAATAGAAGAGATAATTATGAGATATTTAATGTTCGTAAGGAAATCTTCGTACCCTTGCCCCCTTTCGGATCATGAAAGGACTAACAAAGAGCTACCAAAAGGTTTTAAATGTTATAGTGCATTCATCCAAAATAATTATTTTACATTGTTTCAGCACTATGCCCATGGACACTGAATCTGGATTATTTCGAAGGAATGAGCTGTTCTACCTCCATCATTAAGTAGTGGAATATTGCGACTAACAATGCCTGTCATTTCTACAGTATCGTACTGTAGTTCCCGATTCTCTGATATCTGTAATGGGTAAAAACGATGTCATTTGAAAGCATGAATAACATGTACGAATTGACTTCAAGGAACAGGGTAGAATCTGGATCTGTACCGAGAAGTTTGCCGCGAAATGGTTATACTTCGGATAGTTGTACTCTTCCTGATGAGCAGCACATCCCAACTGGCTCATTTTTAATCGGGATTTATGGGATCGGACCCATGAAGTACGAGACAAGTAGCATGGTCTAAAACCGATCCCCTGCATCCTATCACAAGAACATAAGTGGTGCGCTTATCGTGTGCAGTGTGTTGATCAGTAGTTTTAAATAGATTTAAGATTTCAATGTATCTTTCTTATAAGAGAATTTTACAAAATAAAATCAGTTTCCAAAAGGAACTCTTTGGAGTAAGACCCATTATTTGGGGCTCCTCTTAATATTTGGTCCTTCGAGCCGGATCCTCAGATTTTTCCCCCCAAGTGGTATGGGACACAGAAAAAGAGTTTCCAAAAGGAACTCATTGGAGTAAGACCCATTATTTGGGGCCCCTCTTAATATTTGGTCCTTCGAGCCGGATCCTCTGTTGTTTCCCCCCAAGTGGTAAGGGACACAGAAAAAGAGTTTCCAAAAGGAACTCATTGGAGTAAGACCCATTATTTGGGGCTCCTCTTAATATTTGGTCCTTCGAGCCGGATCCTCTGATGTTTCCCCCCAAGTGGTAAGGGACACAGAAAAAGAGTTTCCAAAAGGAACTCATTGGAGTAAGACCCATTATTTGGGGCTCCTCTTAATATTTGGTCCTTCGAGCCGGATCCTCTGATGTTTCCCCCCCAAGTGGTAAGGGACACAGAAAAAGAGTTTCCAAAAGGAACTCATTGGAGTAAGACCCATTATTTGGGGCTCCTCTTAATATTTGGTCCTTCGAGCCGGATCCTCTGTTGTTTCCCCCCCATTGGTAAGGGACACAGAAAAAGAGTTTCCAAAAGGAACTCATTGGAGTAAGACCCATTATTTGGGGTCCCTCTTAATATTTGGTCCTTCGAGCCGGATCCTCTGTTGTTTTCCCCCCAAGTGGTAAGGGACACAGAAAAAGAGTTTCCAAAAGAAAACTCATTGGAGTAAGACCTATTATTTGGGGCTCCTCTAACAAACTATGAATCTGTACTATGAATCTTTGTTGATTACGTTCATCTCGTGCCTCTTTCGATTGTGATCCACATAATTGCGCCATGCTCAGACTTATCTTCCTCGATTTGTTCTCCTGATCTCGCCGGGCAGGATATGCAACGGCAGGATATGAATGACTTTCTCACCACTCAGGACATACACGGATCTATGCTTTCATCGCGTCTTCTTCAGACTTAAAACCTATTAATAAATTGTTTATTCTAAAATAATATTTATTTTATATAAGCTTTAACCCTAGAGCAGTGCTCTTTTTTTATGTATCCGTCTCTCTCTCTCTTTTACGTGGATGTCTTTTAGGTGGACGGCAGTCCAAGTAGGTGACGAACCTTACTACAGGCTAAAAATTTAAACTATAAAGTTAGTAATTACTAACAAATAAAATGTATTGATATAAGTTGCGTAAAACAAGTTCACGAGTAGTTCCAGGATTAATATGAATATTCATTAAGGTAAACCCAATTATTTATTATAATACGCGCTTTTACTATTGAATAATAGTAATAAATAGAGTAATTTCCAAAAGTAATTCCCAGGTTAGTTCCATGAATGATATGAATTTTAATTGATCTAAAACTCAATTATTAGTGATATATATTCAACAATGACAAACCACAAAACCCCTATTAATAAATTTTATATATTTTTTACGATATTTACTTTACAGAAGCTTTACTTTAACCCTGAAAAGTCCTCTTTTTTTATATATCCATCTCTATCTTTTACGTGAATCGGTGGAGTCTACTGTTTCGGACGGCAGTCCAAGTAGGTGACGAACCTTACTACAGTCTCCAAATTTGTATTAAAATACACTTTATTAAGCTATTATAGAGTAATTTCCAGTAGTAATTCCCGAATTAGTTCCATGATTAATGTGAATTTTTATTAAACTAAAACCCCATTAGGAACAATTCTTTTTTGATTTCACAATTTTGATTTATTTAAATATACATAGCGATATATTTATATATATATATGTATTTATATTTATATTTATTATTTATATTTATTATTTATATAAAGGTTTAAGTTACAATATAATACATATTGATTTAGTTGGTGTTTTGAATTTTGTTTTTCGTTATCCCCGTTGCTGTTAACATCGATTGCTTGTCGTTTTTCGGTTTATTCTTTATAGTATTATTAAACATTTGGGCCAGGTCTGCTAGCTGATGTGTGTATGTATGAATGTGGTAGTAAAACGAAATAAAAAAAAACTTATGCGATAACTTGCTTATTAGTTAACAATAATAATCAAAAAGGTGTTAGAAGCGATATGCCATGTATGTAAAGTGTCTCATTATTTGTTTTTCCATAACTTTCCTATTCTTTCTTGTTTTTGTTTTTTTTTTTTTCTTTATAATACTTCTAGAGTTCAGCTTTAATGATAACCCGATTGATGGAACGTTCACACAATGGAGGACTTGTCCAGAAAGGAGGAGGTGTCCAACAGAAACTCACTGCTGTTGCTCAGAATGTCGTACAGCTGGTGCGGTGCATCGCCGGCAATGGGATTCCCGAACGGGAAGAACGAGGAAAGCGTCGACAGCGACAGCAGGTTCCCGCTCACCGAGTTCAGGCCATTGGTGGGCGTGGCCCTCTGGGGGGTCTTCTTGCGTCGCTCCACCCCGTCGACATACTCCACCGCGTCCTCCTCCTGCGACAGCTGGAGAGCCGCTTGTCGGGAGTCGCCAGTGACCTCGTAGTACGCATCGGGCAGGTCGTCGAAGCTCTGGAACTCCAGGCAACGCTGCACCTTGGCTATGTTGCTCAGGAGCAGCCGATGGTAGAGATCCACCTGGGACTGACCACCGCCACGGATGTCCAGGACAGGAAGCCACCTGTAGTAGCACTGCTCCCACACGGACAGATCGAAAATGCGGTGCGCCGGCTGCAGGAAGCGATCCTGCGGCACCATGGAGGCAGTGGCGAACAGTTGTGGGTTGATAGTGTTCCGAGAGGGCGTAGACGTGGCACTGGGTGCCGCCCCACCGGCCATTCTGTTGCCCACAGCCTGCGATCGTCGATGCGCCACCAGGCCCTGGCCGCTGAGATCTCCGCGCTGGCGCTGGTACAGCGGGTTGGTGAAGAACATCTTGTCCTTGTCCGAGAACTGCTCGCCCCAGTCCCAGACCGGCCGGAGCACCAGTTGCGAGTCCAGGTGCGCCTTGGTGCGCTGGGCCTGCGTGTCAAATTGGAAGGTATCGAAGATGGGCATGAAGCAGGCGTCCCACAGCGTGGTGAGGTACGTTTGCGAGAACTCGAACTCGTCCTGGAACTGTTGCTGCAGCTGCCACACGCAGTCGAGGAAGAGCAGGAACACCGGGCTCTGTTCGCTCTCCTGGAGCTCACTGCTGCTGCCGGAGCTCTGGGCGGGGTAGACATGTCCCAGGCGGCGCTGGAAAGGGTGCTCCAGGGCCACCCACTCCTTCTGCACCAGCGACTGGAAGCCGTCGATACTGCGGAAGTGCGGATCCAGCAACAGCTGCGTCAGACTACTAATTACACAGCACAGATCCCGGCCGTTGGACTCCTGGAGGACACAGGTCACGCCGTTGCGCAGGAAGACGGCCGCCTCACTGGCGGATCGAAGACACAGAGATACGTAGAAGAGCCAGTTGGTCTTCTCCAACAGGGCGAGGTACTTGTCGTCTTGCAGCATGAACTTCTCGGGTGTTTCCGGCGTGCACAGGCGCCGCAGCTTCTGGTAGGCCCTCAAGACGTCCTGGGTGCTCGGCAGTTGATCCGTCAGCTGCATCAGCTTGAGATGCCTGCCGCCCTCGCACTTGCGCACCAGCTCCAGCATGATGTTCTCCGACTTGGTGTCCTGCTGGGCGGCCGGCTGCAGTTCGGCCAGGCGGACCAGCGAGGCGGCTTTCTCGCCATAGCTATACACCCAAAAGGCAGCTCGTGAATCGCAAAAGGCGCGCGATAAGTCCAGGAAGCGGTCCACGGTGCAGCTCTTCGGTATAACAAAGTGCGGCGGCACCGTATACTTCCCAACGTGAAGGGGATTCTGCAGCAGCTTGACACTGGCGCTGCTCACCACCTGCCACTCGGTGGCGCCGCATCGTATCAGCTCGCGGGCCCAGTCGTTCTTTGTGGCGTACATGCTGGTGCCCGAGGCACCCATCGTCGAGTAGTACTGCTCCTTGTGCGCGTAGGCGAAGCTCAGGTCGTGCCGCATGGGATAAGCGAAGCGCACCAGGGCCGAGGCTATCAGCTTGCCGTGGTCGCTGGCGCCGCTCAGCTTCGAGTCCTGCTGCTGGAAGGCGAACTTCAGCAGCCGGAAGTTCTTGCACACAATGTGCAAGGCAGCGATCCGGCCGCTGATGTTGTGCTGCTTGAAGGGCTCCAGTTTTTTGCGGCGATTCACGGCGCCGGCCATGCGCGCCGCCTGCAGCGCACTGGCCGCCCGACCCAGCTCCGCAATGGTGTAGATCTGATCGATGTTGTTCAGCGTGATCTCGTTGCGTCCCAGATAGGCGTTCTCCTGGTACAGGTCGCCCAGTGGCGGTGAGGCGTAGGGATTCCTCTTGGAGTGCAGCGGCACGAACGCCAGCTTAAAATTGGTAACGCTAAGCAGGCCAAAGGTGGCCTCCGTGGATGAGCTGGCCGAGTCCATGGGATCGATGGCGGAGTACATGTAGGCGGGTGCCGAGGCAACAATCTGTTCGCCTTGCAGCAGACGTGGCTTGGCCGCATGTACGTCCCGCAGATCGCTGGGCAGGCACCATTCATTGGTGGCGGCACTGGCGCGCAGGTCGCCCGGCAGCGGTGCCACATAGCTGGTGAAGGTGTTGCGCTTGTGGTGGTCATCGCCCCCAATACCGCCGCCTCCGAGTCCGCCCAGTCCAACGAATCCGCCGATACCGCCTCCCCCACCTCCGCCGCCGCCGGTGGCCATGCCCCGTACGCTGATGGAATATTCAATTATTTGCTACTTCCTGTCTGACGTCTGATGTTTGCTGCTGCTGCTGCTGCTGCTGGTGCTGGTGCTGGTGCTGGTGCTGTGGCTGTCTTCCGTCCGCCCTCTGGCTCGTCTCTCCCGTCTGTCGCACAAAAACAATAGCATATGATGGGGTGGCAGGCACAACAGTCCGTTGTTGGGCCACACAAGGCCCACAAAGAGAATAATTTAAAGCAGAATTAGAATTATCGCAATGATAAAGTTTATCAGTTCTCACAGAAAAAAAAAAAAAAAATAACTCACCGTTCGGATTACCTGTGCCCCCCGCTGTAGGTGTGTGTGTGTGTGTGTGTTGTGCGTGTGAGCGATCGCTGATGTTCTTGTTTTTTTTTTTTATTGCCGCTGCTGCTGCTGCTGCTGATCATCCGCCTGCCTCTTCTGGCTGCACACACTTCTCCGGTGGCCGCACCAATGCAATGTGCATTTATTTATTTATTTTACCCTCGCCTGTCGCCAGAAAGTTATTATTAAATGCCACTAGCACGCACGCACACACACGCACGCATGACACTCGCTCAGTGTGACCATCTTGCGGGTAAAATACTTGGGTATTTAAGCGGCGGAAAAAGTGAGTCACCTGACAAACAATATCCGAATCCGTGGCAAGATTTGTGAATAAGAGAATGCGTAGGTTTGGTTTCCCCAGACTGCTAATTTTATTTTTTATTTTTTTTAATTATTTTTTTGTAGTTAATGTAAAAAAAACATATTCTCTGCGTCATTAACATCTTCAAACAGCTGAAGACAATTTTTAGTCTTCTAACCTTCTTGTAATTTATATATTTATAAAATCTCGAATTGCTGCAGTTTAGCTAAAAAATACACATAATATCAGTGGTAACATCACAACCTATTATTTAAACTTACCATGGATTTCTATTTGTACGCACTACATTTTAAAAACCAATTTCTCTTGACATCAATTAGCTTACTAAAAAATAATATAAAGAAAAGAATTCATTTTTTTGTCATTAATTTTTCAATTTACCAGATTATTTACAAATTTACAGAGCCACATATCCAACGTCCAGATTTATAATGAACCGTAGACGTCCTGCTCTACGATTGACATTTCCAAACCAAATCCATAACCTTCTTGTAATTTATATATTGATAAAATCTCGAATCGCTGCATTTTCAAAAAAAAAATAGCAAGTGTTGGAAGACAGTGCTGGAAATATATAAAATTTGGGAGCAAATTATGAAATTTTTTTTATAAATAAGAACCTTAACAAAGGTTACAGAATAGTTAAATTCAAAATTTATTAAAAAGTGGTTTTTAAAAAAAAAAAACTAATCTCAGAATGAAAATTATGACCAAGTATGGATTAAAACTTGTCTTCCGTATTTAAAATCTTATTAAAAATTATAATATTGGTAATTCACAGATTTAAATAATTAGCCGTTAGAAACATACCGTTGTTCCGTTTCGATTTTCAACACTGAACAGTTTCATAAACAGCGCCCACGTTTGCCAACTGCCATCACTAGACTTATCGATAAGTCCACGTCCCTTGGCCAGCACTGTTTTGTTTGTAATTTGTCCAATTTCAACCTTCCGGCTCTGGAACGAGCATCGAAACCCCATTTAGCTAGTAACCGAGCGCCGAGGCAAATCGGTCGGTCTAGTAAGCGCTGTCGACCTTTCAGCTTGCTTTTCGTTTGTGCTCCTTGCCCAGACAATTACTGTCGGTTTCGACTAAATTCAGGACAGCATACCGGTGTAGCTCCCCAATTGAATATTTGATTCGAAATAAAAGCAAAATGATTGTGGAGGAGCAAGTTACATATTTGGAAACACCCATCAAGTCCGAGGCGGACAAAAAGCTGTACAAGTAAGTATAATCCTCTGGATTCCCAGGAAAAGGGACGTATTACAAGGAAGGATCATATTTTTTTCAATAGGAATCTGCTTTTGAGCAATGGTCTGCGGGTTTTGATTATATCAGATCCCAGTCCAGTGCCACATGATGGGCTCACTACCTCGGATTCGTCCTCCTGTTCGGCGGAGGACCAGCAGTCCGAGAAAAACGGTGAGAAAGGGGAGTCCGCCAGTAGTAATTCGGCGATAACTGGCAGCGAGGAGACAACCACCTCATCCGAATGCAGCGACACCGACAGCTCTGGATCCTCCGACACCTCCAGCGAGGAGGGTGACGAAAAGCTAGCAGCTTGTGCTTTATTGATTGACTACGGCTCGTTTGCCGAGCCCCAACAGTACCAAGGACTAGCTCATTTCCTGGAGCACATGATCTTCATGGGCTCGGAGAAGTATCCCGAGGAGAACATCTTTGACGCCCACATCAAGAAGTGTGGCGGCTTCAGCAATGCCAATACAGACTGTGAGGATACCCTGTTCTACTTCGAGGTGGCCGAGAAGCATCTTGACTCGAGTTTGGATTACTTTACTGCCTTGATGAAGTCGCCGCTGATGAAGCAGGAGGCCATGCAACGTGAGCGCATGTCCGTGGACTCCGAGTTCCAGCAGATTGCCCAGGACGATGAGACGCGTCGCGATCAGTTGCTGGCCAGTCTGGCCACAAACGGATTCCCGCACGGCACCTTCGCCTGGGGCAATATGAAGTCCCTCAAGGACAACATCAACGACGAAGATCTGCACAAGGTGTTGCACGAGGTGCGGAAGGAGCATTACGGCGGCAATCGCATGTACGCGGTCCTGCAGGCCCGCCTCCCCATCGAGGAACTGGAGGCCCTGGTCCTTCGCCACTTCTCGGACATACCGCATAACAATAACGCTGCACCCGACCTGTCGGTGTTCAACTATAGGAACGCCTTCCGGCCCGAGTTCCACGAACAGGTGTTCTTTGTGAAGCCCGTGGAGAACGAGTGCAAGGTGGAGCTGACCTGGGTGCTGCCAAGTGTGCATAAGTACTATCGCAGCAACCCGGACCAGTTTCTGTCCTACCTCCTGGGCTACGAGGGGCGTGGCAGCCTGTGCGCCTACCTGAGGAAGCGCCTGTGGGCCCTGCACCTCATAGCCGGCATCGATGAGAACGGATTCGACACCAATTCCATGTACGCCCTGTTTAACGTATGCATCTACCTCACGGACGAGGGCTTCGTGCACCTGGACGAAGTCCTGGCCGCCACCTTTGCGTACGTCAAGCTGTTCAGCGACTGTGGCTCCCTCAAGACGGTCTACGAGGAGCAGCAGCGCATCGAGGACACCGGCTTCCGTTTCCAGCCCCAGCGCCCGGCCTTCGACAATGTCCAGCAGCTGGTCTACAACTGCAAGTACTTCCCGGCCGAGCACATTCTCTCCGGCAAGGATCTGTACTACGAGTACAGTGAGGCGGACCTCAAGGAGATGCTCCGTCACCTCAACGAGTTCAAGTTCAATCTGATGATCACCTCGCACGACAAGTACGAGGGCATCGACGCCTACGACAAGCAGGAGGAGTGGTTCGGCACCGAGTACGCCACCATACCGATGCCGGACAAGTGGCGCAAGCTATGGGATGAGGCCTCGCCCAATCCAGAGCTCTTCCTGCCCGAACCGAATCGTTTCGTTACCCAGGACTTTACGCTCTTCTGGCAAGCTGCCGGCAAGCCCGAACTACCGCTGCTCCCCAAAAAGCTGCTGAAGACAGACACCTGTGAGCTGTGGTTCAAGCAGGACGACAAGTACGAGCTACCCGAGGCCCACATGGCGTTCTATTTCATTTCGCCGCTGCAGCGCAAGAGTCCCAAGAAGTAAGTCCTCCCAAGAACCCATCCCATTCTCATTCCCATTCCCATTCCCATTCCCATGAATTCTATTTGTTATTTCTGCGACTCCTAGTTTGTTTATACGGGCGCCCTGTTTTTCGCTTAAAAAGCGAAAGCTGCCACATCCACCTCATCGGATTACTCGCCTTCTGTTTGTTTATAAATAGCCCCGGCTGTGATATCACTTTCCCTGTCCGTTCCCAGGAATATGCTATCGGTTGCTATCGGTTGCGGTTAGGGTGGGGGATTAGTCCATTGTTTTGACTAATAGATGCGTTGTCTTTCCATTCCCCAGCGACGCCATGAGCACCCTGTACGAGGAGCTGGTCAAGTTCCATGTGTGCGAGGAGCTGTACCCTGCCATTAGCGCCGGCCTGAGCTACACCTTCAACGCCAACGAGAAGGGCCTGCTGCTGAAGATCAGCGGCTACAACGAGAAGCTTCACCTTATCGTGGAGGCCATTGCCGATGGCATGGTGAACGTCGCCGAGACCCTCAACGACGACATCCTGGGCGCCTTCCGCAAGAACCAGCGCAAGACCTACTTCAACACTTTGATTAAGCCGCGTGCCCTCAATAGGTGAGAGCCCAGAGGCTGTCCCTTTCGCTACCACTAATGCTGTCTCTTTCGCTTTCAGGGACGTGCGCCTCTGCGTGCTGGAGCACATCCGCTGGCTGATGATCGACAAGTACAAGAGCCTGAACGACGTCACTCTGGAGGACCTGCGCGACTTCTGCAGCCAATTCCCCCGCGAGCTGTACATCCAGGCCCTCATCCAGGGCAACTACACCGAGGAGTCGGCCCACAACGTACTGAACTCGGTGATCAGCCGTCTCAACTGCAAGCCGATCAAGGAGCGGCACTTGGTCGAGGACAGGACGGTGCAGCTGCCCCTGGGCACCAACGTCATCCGCTGCCACGCCCTCAACGAGGACGACACCAACACGGTGATCACGAACTTCTACCAGATTGGGCCGAACTCGGTGCGTGTGGAGAGTATTCTCGATCTGATGATGATGTTCACCGACGAGCCCCTGTTCGACCAGCTGCGGACCAAGGAGCAGCTCGGCTACCATGTCGGGGCCACCGTGCGGATCAACTATGGCATTGCCGGGTACTCCATCATGGTGAACTCGCAGGAGACTAAGACCACGGCCGCCCACGTGGAGAGCCGCATCGAGGCGTTCCGCTCCGATATGCTCCAGATTCTGCGCGAGATGCCTCAAGACGAGTACGAGCACACCCGCGACTCGTTGATCAAGCTCAAGCTGGTAGCGGACATGGCGCTGAGCACGGAGATGGCCCGCAACTGGGATGAGATTATCAACGAGGACTACCAGTTCGATCGCCGTAGGCGTCAGATCGAGGTGTTGCGTTCTCTAGAGAAGGCGGAGATCATTGATTTCCTCGTGGAGACCGGCGCCACCAATCAGCGCAAGTTGTCCGTCCAGGTCATTGGGCACCGGCCGCCGGGCATGCCGGAACCGAAGCCCGGCATGCAGACCATTGCCAGCAGCGAGGAGGAAGCAACTACTGAGACAAGCGGATCGGAGCGTAGCGATGAAGATGACGACGGTGAGGATGACGACGACGAGGAGGAGGAGGAGGACGAGGACTTGTTTGCAGTTCTCGAGAACAAGCTGAACGTTGTGTTCCTGCCCCAGATCGGAGAGGAGCAGACCATCGTCGACATTGCCGAGTTCAAGAAGACCTTGGCGGTGTATCCCAAGCGCAAGCTGGAGACTTCTGAGGAGGAGGAGACCACCTGTGCCGCTCGCATCGAAGATGCCATCGGCAAGGCGTGAGATCCTGCCCGCCTGCCATACAGCCCAAACGCCACCATCAAGACAGCCTTCTCCAACAATGCCACATTCATAACATAACTCCAAGACACCAAATGCATCTTCCACTTAGCCAAAGCCCTAGAAGATTAGTTCTCCCCCCCCCGGAAGCTTCTCCACTTCACTTCACTTAACTCCAACCTGACCTACCCAACCAACCCGGCCACCACCATCACCTGACCAAGTCGGTACACTCCACTGGATATTAGACACAAACACAACATGGGACACACTCGAAATCAATGACGAATGCATTTCGCTCCCACCAGGAGCCCCCATCCTGTACGTTTTTATGTAGGAGGGATAACACTACCTTTCGTACGATTTTATCGCCGATCTATGAATCAAAATTACAAGTATAATGTATATGTAAATTTTGCTTTTTATTTTCTGGGCTTTGGATGTCAATTGGGATTTCCTTTTTGGGGGCGATTGTGATGCTGATTAAGGGGATTTCGATTAGTATTCCAGGACATCTCTACAATGTAGAGAGGGTTCTGTCTCTTACTAAGTATCTGTACTAAGTAATACCTGTACTTGTATTAATAATACCCTCTGCAAGGGTATAAAAAGTATAAGATATATTAAGTATAAGAGTTCCAAAAGGAAATAAGGGGCACAAAACCTGCGGCAAAAAAAGAAAAGACTCAGATTTCATTTTTTTTTCAAAAGACTTAAAATAAAAAAAAAATACTTATAAAAATAAAGAAGACTAAATCTTAATTATGATTCTTAGGAAATCGATAGGCAGTCTTGCTGACATGGGAACGGGTCCGATAAAGATCCAGATCTTTCAAAAAAATGACAAAAAATTAACAGAAATTTTAAAAGTTGGGGCTAAAAAACCCTAAAAAAAGGTTCCAAAACGAACAAATAAGTAAATAGATTTAGAAAAAAATTTCTTTAAAACCCAACAATTTTTTTTTTTAAATATGGTTTAAATTTTGTTTGAAAAAATAACCATAGAGTAAATTCAAATTCAAAAGAAAATAAGAACCAAAACCTTCTGCAAAAAAGGGAAAGAAGACACAGCCCTTTTATGTGTGTTGCTAAGATAGTAAAAGTATGTTTTCTAATCAAAAATAAATTAAATATTATTAAAAAGAAAATAAAAGCTCAAAATAGGAGAGTAATGGAGGCTGCGGCTGCTGAAATGCATTTAACGGTATTAGTGATGGCCCAGCTGTTGAGCATTACTCCGATAGTCGTGATTAGTGTGGCAGTTTCTTAAAAATCCCAAAGCTTTTGGGCTTTAAATTAATTTCCTAATGCGTGAGGGATTCCCCGAATGTCACAAAAAAAGTGTGTCGTTTGAAAGAACCGCAAGCAGGCTTTCGTTTTGCACGCAGGAAAAATCAGGAAAATTTTCTAAAACTTTCTAAGAGAGAAAAATGGAGTACTTGACAGTGCAGTTGGTTGGCGAAAACAACGCCGTGGTCCGGTTCGTGATCAGTACCGTCACCCCGATGCAAAAGGTAATGGATATTTATTGCAAGCGTCTGGGCTTGCACCGGTACGAGGCCACCTTCCAATACAACGGCCACGGGATCAAGATGGACGATACTCCGATGTCTCTGGAGATGAAGGACATGGACTTCATTTATGTCTACACGCGCCAGCTAATGGGCGATGTCTGGTTCAAGGAGGACGCCGACAAGTTCTAGATTCGAGAATTACAGGATGATGTTGCACTTTCCAAAAGGTATAGAAGAAGAGTTTTTTTTTGCAAGGAAATCTGAGTTTTACTTACACACATACATATATGTGCATTTTTTTTTTCAGATCTTTTGGGGAGTTTTTCTCCTCAGCTCTACACGAATAGCTTTATATTATTCTAACATTTAAGAAATCTCTAAACAAGACGGAAGAAAAAAAAAGGAAAAATGAAAAAATCGCACTAATACAAAAGAATGAAAACACGCATGTTCTACTCGTTTTCGGGCCTATGGAGGAATCTTTTTACCAGAGCTATACACAAACACCTCAACTATAATCTCGCATTGAAGAAAGCTCCAACGAGGCCTGAAGAAAATCTAAACAAATAACGGAAACATAATAAAGGAAATCTCGCATTGAAGAAAGCTCCAACGAGGCCTGAAGAAAATCTAAACAAATAAAGGAAACATAATAAACAACTCATATGCACACTCGTTTTCTGATTTATGGAGGTGGTTTTTAAAAGAGCTTTGCTTTTATACCTTCATACCAGCCTCGCATTTGAAAAATCACTGAATATATAGAAAGGAAATACAATATACACATATGTACCTTTACGACACATGAAGTCTGAAGAAATCAAGGAAATACATATAACAAATATTATACAACTATACACTGTCTTTTGATCTATTGGGGAGTTTTGTTGCCTCAGTTTTACAGGAATAGCTTTATTGTAGAATCGCAAGAGCGTCTGAGGAAAATCTGAAGAAAATCTTAAGAAATATAGGATATTTAATATACAACATATAGATATGTACACTAGTTTCTAGATCTATTCAGAATACCATACTTGCTTTCCGATCTAATAAGGAGCTGTACGGATATAGCTTTATTGTATCCTCGTAATCGAAGAATGTCTGAGGAAACCTAAAGAAAATCTTAAGAAATATAGGATGTTCAATATACAACATATACATATGTACCCTAGTTTTTAAATGTATTTTGAATAAGATCCTTGATCATAAGACTAGTTTATATATCTAATCATAATAGCATTGTTGCTTTCCGATCTAATAAGTTCTGCAGCTGAGCTATACGGATATAGCTTTATTGTATCCTCGCTATTGAAGAATGTCTAAGGAAACCTCAGACCAGAAAATCTTAAGAAATATGGGATATAGGATCAATATACAACATATGCATATGTACAATAAATTTAAGATTTATTCAGAATAACATCCTTGATTTCCGATCTAATAAGGAGTTCTGAAGCTGATCTGTACGGATATAACTTTATTGTATCCTCGCTATTGAAGAATTTCTAAGTAAGACTGAAGAAATATAGGATGTTTGTTTAATATATACAACATGTTATGGATATTTAATATACAACATATGCATACATATGTACACTAGATTTTAGATATATTAAGAAGAACATCCTTAATTTCCGATTAGGGAAGAGATCTGCTACCTCTATTGCTTTATTGTATCCTCTAATTCAAAGGATTCTTAAAGAAATACAAGAAGTAAGATAAACAACATCTATGTAAACTGTTTTTCAGATCTATGAAGGAGTTCTGCTACCTAGGCTTTACCCCATTATTTTTATTATACTCTAATAGCCCTATTGTATCCTCACACTTGAAGAATTACTGAAAAAGCCTAAAGAATGAAAGAAAATGTAGTATTCCACATATATGTAGACTCCGTTTTCCGATCTATTGATGAGTTTTAGATACCTGAGCTTTATATAACATAAATGACTTTATGACCCTCGAAGTTAAAGAAGATCTAAAGAAGTCTATAATAAACCCCTTCCTAAACACTTTTTTATTAGATCTATTGAGGGGTTTTTGTATCAGTGCTTTAGGGTCTCTTTGCATTTAAGGAGACTCTGCAGAAGCCTGAGGAAGTAAAGGAACATACAACATTCACATCATATATCCTCCCAATTGAAAGAACCTCTTTATAAATGAAAAACCAGACCATTTATTTTGTTTCAGCCGGTATGGGGCACCGCACTCCTCTCGTTTTCATCTTCGTTTTTATTTTTATTTACAATAACAATGCTCTGCTGTTTATAAACATTAAAGTTACATATAAAGAATGTGTTTTAATCGTTTTTCTCATTTTTAAATATTTTTATTGGTTTTCAAATTGTGCCCGGTTGTCTTACAAAAGTACATCCTCCTATGGTGGCGCGTTTAAGGATCAGAGCCGATTATCTTGGGGGATTCAGGGACTTGGAGGGTCAATGCTTGTTCGATTTTCGTCTTTTTGATGGGGTTTTTAAGGCCTACAGTAATGAATAATAATGCAGTTTAACAATAACAATAATTCCATGATGCTTGATGCTTCTCATCTCTCCACTTTGTTCTTCAAACTTAATATTAGCTACTAGCAGTAGAGCTCTGAACTATCTCGTATAAAAAACCAAAAAAAAAAAAAACTCTTAAAAGTTATAGAGGGTGAGGTGTTCAGGGGACGGGTGGGGGGGCTCATAAAAGGGAAAAGGATAAAGCAATACAGGTCAGAATCTTAGACGCTGATAGTCTTAACTATGGGTTCTTCGTTTGAGCAATCATATATACACGTACTAGGAATATAATCTAGCTGGTCCGTAGGATTGCACTCCGACCTTGCACACGATTTCCCCCCCTAGACCTAACATATATATAGCTGTATATATATATATATATATATTTGTTTGTACATATGCATACTATAACTCTCTCTCTCTATCTCTTTCTATCTGGCTCCATAAGCTTTGGGTTTCAAGTTCAGTTTTAATGCCCGCTTAGAATTGAACAATTTCACTGAAATTTTGTCGTCTTAAGGTCCATTTAGAGCTTCTGCAGCTCTGTGCTGTCGCTGGGGTGGTAGCGACTCCGCACAATCTTCGTCCGGCCGTCGTACTGCTCCTCGGGATCGAGCAGGCCCTCCTCGTGCTTGCCGTCCAGCGATGCGACGCCGCCGTTGCCGTGCATGAAGATGCGCGAGATGAGCGAGTTGGTGGACCGTTTGAAGGCCATCCGGCTGCCGCCGATGTTGCCGCCCTTCTCGGGCAGGTCGTCCAGGCCGCGGTGCAGCGACAGCTTGTCCAGTTCCGTTTCGGAGCCCCGGGCCCGCTCGGCCGCCAGTTGCGCCTCGTACTCCGGCGTCCGGAGCGTCTTTGCTGTCGGCTTCCGGTACATCTTCAGCAGCAGCGAGGAGCAGACCACGCTCACGGAACTGGCCGCCATCGCCACGGAGGCCATCCACGGCAGCAGAGTGAAGCCGTAGGGGGCGAACAGGCCACTGGCCAGCGGAATGCCCAGCAGGTTGTACATGCTGGCGAAGAAGAAGTTGTAGCGGATGCGGCGCACCGTGCAGCGGGACAGATCCAGACAGGCCACCACATCCAGCAGGTCGTTCCGCATCAGGACGATGTCCGACGCCTCGGCGGCCACGTCCGTGCCGGCGGCTATGGTGATGCCCACGTCGGCCTGGGCCAAGGCGGGACTGTCGTTCACGCCGTCACCCACCATGGCCACCCGGATGCCGTTCTGCTGGATGCGCTGGATCTTGGCCACCTTGTGGGAGGGCAGCACCTCCGCGTACACGGTTCGGATGCCAACCTGGAGGAAGAACGAAGATTAAGTAACTTGTTGGGAGTAACTGGAGTACTAGTACCTCTCTTGCTATGCTGGCGGCAGTGTTCTTGTTGTCGCCCGTCAGCAGGACCACATCGATGCCCATCTTCTTCAGGGTGTACACGGCCAGGTGGGCCTCCGGCTTGACCATGTCGGAGACGGCGAACATGCACACCAGCTGGCCGTTGAGGGCGCACAGCACCGCCGTGTGTCCCTTGCGCTCCTCGTGCGTCATACAGTCGCTGATCTCGAGCGGCACCTCAATGCCGTTGCGCTGCATCCACTCCCGGTTGCCGATCAGCACCAAAATCTCCGGGCCGTCGATGATGTTCTTCTGGTCCGCGACCTGTACCAGGTCCTGCTCCAGATCCAGGTCGGAGAGCAGCTGCTGCTGCGTCAGTTCCATTGACTTGCGGACGTTACGCTGGGGCAGCAGGTGCTCGATGGTGGCCCCATTGCCGACCACCGAAACGGAGCCCTGGGGGTGGGTGCGGTGCAGGTTCTCGTAGTTGATGATCCGCTCGGCGTTGCAGGCCTGCCGGAGCGTGTGTTCGTAGTTGGAGACGGTGACGCGGATGCCGCAGCCGGGCACCGCCTGGAAGTGACTGCTCTTGCCGAAGCTCACCGTCTGGGGCGCCCCGTTGCCCTCCACATTGAGCATCTCCTTGGCGAAGTGGACGATGGCCGAGGCGATCGGGTGCTCACTGTTCTGCTCCGCAGCTCCCACGATGGTCAGGGCCCGTGCCAGGCTGCAGACCTGGGCGGAGACGAAGAGGGTAACCTTGCTGGTCATCGGAGTGCCGTGGGTGATGGTGCCCGTCTTGTCGAAGACCACGGTCTTGACCTGGAAGGCAAATCATGATGAATTCTTGGGAGAGAAATTGGACCTGGATGGACCTACCTTGTGGGCATTTTCCAGAGCAGTGGCTCCTTTCACCAGCACTCCGTTGATGGCTCCAGTGCCAGTGGCCACCATGACGGCGGTGGGCGTGGCCAGGCCCAGGGCGCAGGGACAGGCGATGGCCAGCACGCTGAGAGCACACTTGAAGGCGTAGCTGACGATGATGGTGTTCTGGTCCATGTGCATCTTGTGCTCCATGGCCACGGGCACCAGGTCCGGGTTGGAGAAGCCAACAATGATCCAACCAATGAGGGTGATGCTGGAGACGAGGACCACGAAGGGCACGAAGTAGCCGGCGATGCGGTCGGCCAGTTGCTGGATGGGCGCCTTGCTGGTCTGGGCCTCCTCCACGAGACGGACGATCTGCGCCAGCGTCGTGTTCTCGCCCGTGTGCGTAGCCTCCACCAGGAGCACACCGTTCTGGTTGATGGAACCGCCAATCACCACGGCGCCCTTGCGCTTCGCCACCGGCATGGACTCGCCCGTGATCAGGGACTCGTCGCAACTGGAGTGGCCGTAGAGAACCTTGCCATCCACAGGGACCTTGGCGCCCGGTATCACCTTCAGGATGTCCCCGCGCTGAACGTAGTCCACGGATATGGTCTTTTCGCTGATGATGTCAAAGTCCGGGGAGATCTCCACCAGCAGGGCGTCGGCCGCCTTCAGGGAGAGCAGCTTCGAGAGCGCCTCGGAGGTCTTGCCTTTGGCAATGTGCTCCAGCCAGCGGCCCAGCGAGATGAAGATCAGCAGCATGGGCGGGGTGTCGAAGAAGGTCAGCGGGGAACTGTTCTGCTCCAGCAGAATGGCCGCGATCACCACCGCCACGGAGTACACGTACGAGATGGTGGTGACCATCGAGATGAGGACGTCCATGTTGGTGGTGCCGTGCTTAATGGCCCGGTACGACTGTACGTAGAAGTGGAAGCCGCCGAAGAACTGCACCGGCGTGGACAGGAGGAACATCACCAGGTTCTCCATGGACAGGCCCGGCACCAAACAGCACATGTTCGCGTGCCCCTTGTCGCTCATCTCCAGCATGAAGTAGATCATGGCCACCATGCAGGGTCCTCCGAAGACCAGCGAGACGAGGAAGGCGTTGCGCCACTTGCGGATCTCCTCCTTGTGCTCCAGGTAGTTGTGGGCCATCTTGTCGCGTCCCGTCATCAGCTTCGCCTCGAAGCCCAGCCCCTCGATCGCCTCACATATGCTCCGGGGTCCAGTGTCCTCCGTGTTGTAGCGGAATTTACCTAAAATGGGATAACAGTTTTACATATAATTCATAATTTATAAAGGATTCAAAAATAATAAAATGCGGTAGATATGAAATGTAATCGATAGTAATCGATACCTTACCGATTAAAGTTGGAAAAGGATTTTAAAGTTACTTTTCTAATGGAAATAATCCTATTAGAAATATCTTTCGTGAAATATATATAAAATAATGAGTAAAAGTATAATATTTCCATTATATTTAATCGGAATATTACATTGTGTATCGCATTATATCGGAATAATCGATAGTGTATTCAATAAATTTGAATGTTAAAATTCCTACTTTTCGAATGGAAATAATCCTGTGAGAAACATCTTTATAGAATATATATATAAAATTATAGTTCAAATGCCAATATTTCCATCATATTTAATCGAAAAAATCGATCGCTTGTCTCGAAGTTCGAATTTGAAGATAAAATGCATTTTTTAGTAAAAATTTACTATTAGCCATTTAGTATTGTTCTATTAAATATATTCCTGTAGTTTATAAATAAAATAATAATAACAATTTTATGTTACCATTATTTTTAATCAAAATTATCGAAAGCTTATCGAAAAAATATATGAAAGAATGAATTTTTAAGATAAAATTGACTATTTCCCATTAAATTTAATATAAATTGTTCTATTAGATATTAGATTCTTATACATTATAATATAATAATAACAGTTTCTATATTTCCATTACTTTCATCGGAATAATCGATAGCTTATCAAAAAAAAATAGAAGAAAGAATTCATTTTAAATTGAAAATTGTATGATGATAAATATCTCTACAGATTATGTACATAGATTATGTATTCCTATAAATCCTTATATTATATTTTCTCGGAATAATTGATAGTTTATCGAAAAAAAAATTAAGAATGAAATTGCATGTTTAAATTAGCACTTTTCAATTATATATAATCGAATTATTCTAGTGAAAATAATCCTATAGAGTATATTTATAAAAATAATAATTCCTGTATAATTCGTGTCCATTATATTTAATAGAAATACATAATAATCGATGGTTTATCGAAAAGTCATAGAGAATATACCATTGGGAATCTCTCGAATAGAAGCAAAGGTACAAAAATAAATATATAACTTTCATAAAGCTGAAAGCAATGCTAGTTTGATTTAATCAGTCTAGCTAAGAGTTAGCCAAGATAACCTGCCATGGCACACATTGAAACGCAACTAGTTCCACGCGTAATAACAAAGTTTAGAGAAAGCTGTTTTCAGTTACAGGGAAAGAAACTAGTTAGAGTTTAATCAACGGCAAGTCATGGACCATAACACTCCATAGAGAGAAAGAGAGTATATATTTACTTGCTAGGACATGGTTTAAAAAGCTTTATTTTGTCAACCAGTTGTATGGTGTATTTAGTTTCCTAATTGACTGATAAACAAGTTTACTCTTAAAGTAAACATTTCCCTTTTGTTTATCAATTTCGTTTGCAATTTCATCACAGGTTCTGGCTCTTATCACTCTAATGGCTTTATAGTGGCAAATAGCCTTAAATTATTCCTCTTATTTTTTCTGCCAGTGTCCAATGAAATGGCTTGTATGATTTAATGACTTGTCGCTAATGCCGGTTCTGGGATTGTAATTGAAATCGGAGCGTGCAACCGGTTCGATTGCCTCAGATTGGCTTGCAAACTCGAATAGCAGGCTTTTCTACGTGTATATGTACATTGGCACTCGTAATCTCATACTCATGTGCTCAGCCATTTATAAATAAATTGAGGTTGCAATTTCCCCACATTTTTGTCATTAGATCTTATCGAAATTATCGATAAACACTACAAGGTTTATCCGGACTAGGGCTTTAGCTATAATTTCTTCTATGAACTATCACCAGGTGGTAGATAAAATAAAAGTCAATATTTTAGAGATAGTTTTCCATTATATCTTATCGAAATTATCGATATTTGAATCAAAGAAATAATGAAATAAATCCTATTGAGATTTCAGATTTTGTCTTTCAAGAATATCCCCCAAAAAACTATCTATTGTTTACCAACAGGTTAATAAAATAAAAAATAAGCCTTAAGCTACCTCCATATCTTATCGAATCTATCGATAAATACTACAAGGTTTATCGGGACTAAGGATTCATCTAAGTTGTCTTTTCAAAACTATCACTATCTGGTAATGGGATTAGAAGACAAGGTTTTAGAGCTAATTTGGTATAATATATATATAATAATATATACTAATACTATATACTAATAGTTTTATCAAAAAAATCGTACAGAAACTTAAATTAATTATTCTAAAGTTTCTTTCTATATTTTTTTTAAAGAAAAAACTATCTCCGGCAGGCATGTTATATAAAATAAACAGCATTAAAGCCATTTCACCACTATGTTATCGAATTTATCGATAAATACTAACGGTTTTGATCAGAAAAATCAGACAGTATATCAAATTAATGTTTTATATTTTTTCTTACTAGAATGTCTACCAACAACTATCCACAATAGTTGAATAAACTATGACAGATGGTAATAGAAGATATTTCGCCATAATATCTTATCGAAAATATCGATAAATACAAGATAGTTTATGAGAGAAATCGTATAATTATAGTTACAAAAGATTATCAAGAGTATAAACAGTTTATACCTCATAAATGCTCCCAAAAACTACCTCCAGCTGGTAAATCAAAGCCTTCTAATCAAAATAATCGATAATTTATCGAAAAAATCATCAAATAAATGTGCATTTCAAAGACTCCAACTTTTCTCTCAAAAACTATCCCCAAAAGGTGATTAAAAATAGAGACTCGTACGGCTTTTGAGCTCATGAGCCAGCAAGTCAACGTAACCACCGCCACTGGTGGCTCAGGTTCAACGATCCTGATAAGATTATTTTCCGTTTGTCCCCCGTCGGTGGTTGCTGTTTCACTTTTGATTATTAGCATGTCACTTGGTTACCCAATCAACTACGAATTGTGTTTCCCGGCGAAGGTTGTCCCCCCCAATCGAGTGTGTTATTCCAGTATCCGATGCGAATGACAAATACTTCATTATTATTCAGTGACTGGAGATGGGTGGGTGGGGGAAGGCCCCAGCTCCCGAGACGGCAGTGATAAGCAATATAATCGCTTCTCCTGACACGACATATCACTGGAATATTTACAAAGTGACAGCATTGCTATATACTACAGAATAGTAATCTCATTAGAGCCGAGAAACTAATAAAATATCATCTGCAGGTAGCTTCGGGAGGGTTTTAGGGCCTAGGCTTTGGGAATGACTTGTGGATCACACTTTCCAGATACAAGTTGGAGACATTCCCCATTAATTATCGTTCAATTAGAGGGCCAGACCGTGTGCAAAAACTGAAAGGATTATGAAGCATAATGCCTTGGAATCGCACATAGTTGAGATAGTCCCAATTTCCGCTAATTATCGATGGATGGTTATCGATCGATCACTGTCTTTCGGAGGGCCGTGTGCTTCAAGGTTTGGATACAATTTTCCAACTAAATAGCTGGAAATTAAATAAATTCTAACCCACTTCTCCCGCCTCCCAAGCTCCCAAGCTGAACCTTATCGCTCCCTCCATTGGCTGTTATACAGTTTTGGAACATTTTTCAATTCGAATCGGTACGGTAGTGTTGCCGGGTACTTATCGCCCCTCCGATAAGCATCGGAGCTTCGCAAAACATATGTTTTGTTCAACAGTTACACGCCCAATTCCGACTACCGAACCAAGTGTACAAACAGCCACTACACTCGAATCCAAATTGCAAATCGAAATCGATGGAAGTTGTTGTGGCAACACAGCCCAAGAACACCCACAACTTTGCAGCCAATTAGCTTTAATATCGGACCGAGTTGGGACCGAGTCTGAGGCGTCTGGGTAATGACCTTAAATGAAGCCATATGGGGGCTCAATGATGTCCAGAAAAAGCTGCACAATGAAGACTAGGAAGGGCTGGTAGAGGACTAGGACTTTTTCGACTTGAAACCTAGGGTTAATATCATTTCATGGATAATATTAAAATATTTCTGATATAAATATCTATATATATCTTAAATATATCTATATATCTAATATAACACTCCTACAGTAAGCTTCTCAACAAAAACCTTTAAAGTTTCAAATACTTTTCATAGATTAGTGATATAATCGTTTATCTAGAAGGGGTTCATGTTATTAAAGGAATTGTTCTTCAAATTTGATTAAAAGCATTCAAGGGCTTAAGGATCTAAATATTTAAGGAATAGTCTAAGAATTAAATCGAAACCTACACAATAAGGGCTATTATAGGAGGGGATTTTAAGAACATATTGTTAAAAACATATACATATAATTAAAAATAATATCTAATCTAATCTATCATTTAAAAATAAGATATGTAAAATAAGGTTAAAATAAAGTATATATTTAAAAGAGCTACCTCCCTTAATTTAACCCCTAAATAAACTCCAATATAAGCTTTATAATTTAATAATTGTTAATATTCAATTTTTAATAATTTTCCAAATAATTTCCTGTGAAAATCCCTATAAATCACTTGTAAATAAAACCCAAAATAGGATACTACTGACTGAAAATGTATGTATTTGAGAGAGAAGTACCTCCCTTGATTTAACCCCTAAAAAACCCGACCATGTTTTAATCAAGACTTAAAAAAAAAACATAGAAAAGGATATTACTTAAGAAATTCTCTTAAGTTCGAGTCAAGGTTTTAAAGAGCTTCCTCACATAATTTAACCCTGAAATGGGCTCTTCTTTTTTCGAATGATATGAAAATAAAACCTTTTTTCCTTAATAAAGTATTAATAATGGATCCAGTTTGAATCAACGGTTCTGAAGTTTTTCTTATAATTTAATAAGAATCCTATAATTATCCTTAATTCTATATTATAAAGATTTCTTCCTAAGATTTTTGAAGAGGTACCTCCTACGATCTAACCCTTGAATAGGTTATTTTATGCAAGACTTAAAAATAAAACATAGAAAAAGGGTATATTACTAAAGGAAGGCTTTAAAGTTCGAACCAAGGTTTTAAAGAGCTTCCCTTAGATGGGCTCTTCTTTTTTCTAGCAAGACCTTAAAAATAGTAAGATTTGAAAATTAAACCTAGAAAGGAGTATAAATAATAGATCAAGTCTGAATCAATGGTTCTGAGGTTTTTTTTTCTATAAATTAACCCATAATTAAGCCTAAATAAGACTTGAAAATAAAATAGAATACAAGGGAATTATTAAAGAAATATTTTCAATTTCAAACCATAAGTTTCAAAGAACTTCCTCCTCCGATTTAACCCTTAAATGAGTTCAAGTATTTTTTCCACAAAAAAACCTTCAAAGTTTCAAATAAAAAGTTTCATGGTGAATTGGTAATATTTTCGCATATCATTTTCCATTTCCACTTTTCTCGCCTTGTGATTTTTCATGTCAGACAAAAAAATAAACAAAAAATGCAAAAAAATAAGCAAAAGGCAACTGAACTGAAACTGAAACCGAAACCATAACCATAACCAGTTTTTGTTGCAATTATAATTATTTTGTTGAGCTTCAAGTTTATGCATTTTTTCTCCTCTACTCTCAATTTTTTATTCAAATTCCTCACGTACACCCCCAGGTGATTGGGGGAGGAAAGGTGGATTTTCGTGGTTCGGCGAGAATTTCCAGTTCACAAAAATGTGATCAGACATTAGGTGAAGGCATTTAGTTATATAATCCGGACAACTAATTTCAAAAGGCGATCGCCAAGACAGACAATGAATGCTTTGAAAAAATAGCAAAAGAAAAAGAGCTCAGAGCTCAGAGCTCGGGTTTAAATCAAAGTGAAGGTGAACTTTTAGTACACGGTGAGAAATGGTTAGTTTTTGGTAAAAAAAAATATATAAAACTAGTAATATTTTAAAGACTGTAATAAATATCTTTCATTTCCTATAGCTCCCTAGCATAGTTCCCTAACACTAGCCTTGAAATATTAATTAGAAAACCGGTTATGAATAATTTTATTCATTTTTTTTCGACCCTGCTCTTATGAAAAGTGAAATGTTTTGAATTGAAGTAGAGCTCTGCTCCGTTTTGGAGTGGCAGTTTGGAGTCCATGTTCGTGGTCAGTCATACGAATCAGGGAGAGCCAGATATATACTCTTTCACTTTTTTTTTTTTTTTTTGTCGGCAAGGCGGACTTTCAATTTCAAGGCGCAAATTATGGGAAGTTGGCTAAAGGCACAGGCCTGTCAATAAAAATAAAAAAGATAAAATAAAAAGCGATTGCCAATCAAAAGTGATTGAAAAACAAAGAATGCACAATCACTCTCTTCTCTTTTTTTTTTTATTTTTGTTTAGACTGCAATCGTTTATTCATTTATTTTTTTTTTGTTTTTAAATTCCCAAGTGCCTCGCCGTTTCTCTTACTAACTTAATCATTTATGGGTCTCGGGCCAGTTGCCTCCCTCGAGATCACTGCGACAAAAAGGGGTTACTTTACTATTATTGTAATATAAAATAATTATTATAATATTACCATGCATCCCAATATATTAATTATATTAATACTATGATAATACTTTATTCTTTATGCCATATTTTACCAATAATTTAAAAAATATAATGAAACTTCTATTAAAATCATATCTATATTATACATATCTATATCTATAGCATATCAAAAAAAATATAGTTCAACTGTGTTTTTAGTTCAATTCTTAAGCTATACTATGATATTTCAACATCCTAGAATAATAGATCTCACAAATTAAAAAAAAATAATAATAATAAGAAATATTAAAATACAAAAGAAAAAAATTAATATTTCGTTTGAAAAACACTGTAAAAGTTCTAAATCCTAGAACATCTGTCTAAATCGAAATATTTTTTTAAGAATTTAAAAGTTCTACTTAAGAAAATATATTTATATTTTACATATATTTCAAAAACCAAACCAAGTATGGTAATTCCTATAGAAACCCCTATATGAGCTTGCTATTTTTTCTCAGTGCAATTATGCATAATCACTCTCTTCCCGCTTCCCAACCCCCACCTCCCACTGACCACCCACAAATTCCTACGCCCGTTCCAGATAACTTCGCGCCGCCACTGCCCACGCACACACAGTGGCACTCTGATGGCATTTTAATCTAGTTGCCATTGCCATTGTTTGCTCCAAAGCATAGTGACTAGTGTCCTCCTCCCCCTGCCACTGCCCCTGCCCCCGACACCCCTTTGTACTCTCTTATCACTGGTCTCGGTGCCCCCCTCCAGGGCCCAACCCCGCTCCACCAATAGGAGCACCAATCCTCCAGATGGAACAAAGCATAGAGCCAGCACCAAGTCGCCAGTATATCAGTTACAATAAACAATTGCCGGGCCAGTGCCAGTTTTCAGTTTCCAGTTGCGAGTGAAAACATATGCACCGATTCCAGTCACTCGATGATGGATGGTTCCAGCGACTATATGTTCTATAGGGATAATACTCCCTAGACAATAATTCCCATAAAATATCCCCTAATATTCCTAATAAAAATAGGAATAGCTTGAACAAATAATATAATAAAGTAATTCTCCATATGTTACTATATAACCAGCTCTTATTCCTCAAAAGATGTCTAGATGTCTAGATATAGTAAAGTTGAAACTATAACTTCTAATACAAAATCTGGATCTGGACAATCAAGACAATGATATACTTCCATATTAGGTTCTATAGGTTATATATATATGTATATAGAAAGCCAGTACCCCGAATCCCCAATAATATAATGTAACTAAACTTTTCTAGGTAATAATATTATTTTTCGATAAGATCTCATGACTATACGATATAAATACTTACTGTACTATATAAATAATATATCTCCTCTACTCTATATATCGAATATAATCTATAATTCCTATACAAAATACTCGCCTTATTCCCCAAACCTAGACAATATAAAGTCCCAACTATAACCTCCCACACAAAAGTTCTAGGTAGTATTAATATTATTCTTATAGTATAATATCTTATAAGTAATAGTATTAAATGATGATATGTTCTTAGTACTATAGTAGTACTTATAGATCACAGTATATAGAATGTTCCTTTATTCCCAAAAACGAGGTTAATGAAGTGATCAGCTGTTGCTCGAAAAAAATAACACAATAAAGTAGACTTTTATAAAGATCTAGGTAATAATAGTATGGTTTGATATGAACTATATATAGAACTATCCTATCTTATATGGACTATAAGTTCTACAAGGTATTCACAATAGTCCCTAACCAATCATTTCCCAAAAAGAAGGTTATTTTAGAATAATAATAAAAAAAAAATAATAATAATAATAATATAATATAACTTGTTGAGTTCTTTAACAAGGTGAAGTAGTAAGATTAAAACTACAACTTTCTTGACATGGTATCTAGGTAATATTACCTAATGTTCCTATATTTTTATGAATATGTTGTTACATTTTATGACTATATGTTCTATAAGATGTATATAATACTCTCTTTTAGATCTCTTATATAGAATACCCCAAAAAATAATACTATTAAATGAGAGAGCTGTCTCTTGTCTAAAATGTTGTTATAGTACTACTACTACGGGGTATATATGCTCTATACTTCTTCTATCAGGCTATATCTTCTATAAGGATTGCAAAAAAAAGACCTTACTTCCCAAACCAATAATGTTGCTTGAGTGAATAATATAATAAAGGCAGAGCTACAGCTTCCTACTCAAAATATCTATATAATTCCTACAGTTTAGATACTAAATGATATTATCTTCCTATGACTATGACTATCATGTCCTATATTCCTAACTTTCTTACAATTTTCAGTCAAGTACCACAACTTTTTACACAAAATATGTAGATATTTCCTATATTCTACATAAGTGGTCGGCACACAATACATTGATATGATTTTATGGCATTAGTATTAGTAACAAATACATAGTACACACGTTTATACTGTATGTGTGCGGCAGAGCTCGAGCAGAGCTAATTTCCTATGCCCGCGGGATAGGACCCTGCCGACCACTGGTTCAGATACTAAGTGATCTTATCTTCCTATGACTATATGTGCATATGTATGTATTATATACCATATTCCCATCTTTCAGTCGAGTACTACAACTTTCTACACAAAATATCCATGTTCTCAATGGCCATATCTTCTATATAGAACATGTTCCTACCGATTCCAGTCAAGTAGTGGAACTTCCTCTACAGAATCGCCACGACTTCCAGACAATAGTACCCAACAACACAAATCTGGGTTGATTTAAACAGCCTATATGGATCAATGGAGCTGCGCCAGCTGTGGGTGGCGGCAAACAAAGAGCGTGTTGTGGAGCAACAGGTGCCAGCGGGTGGATGGCCCAGTGCCAGGTGCGGCCTTAGCCGCATACTTTATATGTACTTATTGCGCAACACTTGTCACTGGCACTTGTCCCCCGCCCCCTCCCTCCTTCGGGATAGGGTCTTTGTCCCAACTGAGAAATTGTGAGATGTCTGAACTGCATCTGGATTAGCCTCTGGCCTAGTTACTCCATCCATTCTGCTAACAAGACTCGCCAACAAATCCACAAAACGAGCCAATAATCGAAATGGGTTACGCTAATGGCGCGTATCTTATCGGGGGAACAGCACAGAGCTGGCAGAGATTGGGAGATTAACCCGAAACTAGGAGACCCCCACACCTAAAACGAGTGATTGGATGAATCTCGAGAACCACCGCCGTTACACACTCACCCCGCTTGGTCAGCAGCGTGACTGAGGCCGCGGTCACGCCCCTCAGCTTCAGCACATGGCTCTCGATCTTGTTGACGCAGGAGGCGCAGGTCATGCCGCCGATCTCCAGCTCCACCTCGGCCTCGCCGTTGTCCGGCTCGTCGATGATCTCGGTGGGGAAGCCCAGCTCCGTGATGGACTTGGCGATGTTCTCCGCTGTGAGGACATTGGCATTGAACTTGACCTCCGCCTTGGCGGCCAACAGGGCCACCAGAATGCTGTCCAGGCCGTAGATCTTCTTGCAGTGCTTCTCGATGGCGGCCACACAGCTGGCGCAGGTCATGCCGCGAATGTGCAGGAAGCACTTGGTCAGCAGCTCCTGCTCCACGGGTATGGCGACGGCGGTGCCATTCTGCAGGGCTGCGGGCGGGGCAGGCGATGGGGGAGCGGGCGCTGGACTTTTGCGGGGCGATGACGCGGGCGTGCTGTCACTGGGGTTGGCGGTCGCCTCGAAGCCCATGTCATCGATCAGCTCGGCTATCTGGTCGGGCGTCAGCTGGGCGGGATCGTACTGGACGCGGGCATTCTTGGCAGCCAGCTGGACCTCGATGTGCAGGATGCCCGGCTTAGTGCCGATGTTGCCCTCGATGTTGCGCACACACGACTGACAGGTCATGCCCACCACCCGGATGTTGGTCCAGGCTCCTGCTGCGCTGCCGCCGCCATCTTCTCCTGGATAGCTGCACTCGAAGCCCATGTCATCGATATCGCTGGCTATCTGTACGGGATCCGTATCCCGGGGATCGTAATCGAAGTAACCGGCCGCCTCCTCGAGCACCACCCGGGCGTTCAGCACTCCCTTCTTCTGGCCGATGTGGTCCTGGATATTGCGGACACACGACTGGCATGTCATGCCCACAATGGGCAGGCGCACCGTGCTGGACATCTTCTCCGCATCACTCGCCGCCATCATCCTCGCATCAGCACTTCCCGTTCGGCCCCCAAGCTCCACATAAATCTCCGCTCTGCGCCCTCACAGGAAAACAACAAAAAATATCCGAGAAATGGGAAAAAAAAACTCAAATGGGATTTTGAATTTAGTCGCTCTTTCTCTCTCTCTCACGCCCACTCCGTCCGTATGGGGGGGAAGGATGTCTCTTTCACTCCGAATGCCCGATTGCGTTACAAAACTTTAAAGCTAGATTTCGATTGATAACGGACCGATTTGTGTTGTGTGCTGCCCGCCGTCGCTCGCTTTTCAACTTGGCCAACTTCACACGAAACTCAAAATTTCGCGAACGCCTATAATTTTGGAGTGTGTGTGTGTGTGTGAGCGCGGATGCGGATCTGTTTGGTTTTCCAATTAGCAGTTCAGAGGCAACAGCTGCTCCCCGTCATTGCACGGCACGCAACTAGTGGTGGTCGCTTCGCGATATATCAGCGCAGTCGGCGTCGATAGGCCGCCCATCGATGGGTGCACTAAGCGATGTAAGCGATGCACTATCGATTGGCTGCAACGATAGTTTCCTCACTAACTGAATGCACATCTCAAAATCAATTGTTTGGCGCTTTTTCTTGTTTACGGCATTTCATTTTCTGAGGAAATTCGCATATATCGTACATTTTGCCAATTACAAATTAATTTATTATCAAAATGATGGAACCCTTTGATCCCCGCTCCATTGTCAACGGTGGCATGCTGAAACAGTTTGCCGGCCAAACGGTGAGCATCATGGTGCGTGTGGAGAGTGTGGCGGGCGCAACGCTCCTGGCCAACTCCACGGACAACCAGAAGCTGAGAATCAATCTGCCGGGCGAACTTGGCGCTGCCCAAGGTGCCTGGGTGGAGGTTATTGGTGTACCCCACGGATCCGACTCCATCAGAGCCAAAGAGGTGCGTTCTTTGTGGGGTTTCTTTCTTAAAATAATATTAACTTTCATCCTCGCCCTTTTCAGGTGATTGAGTTTGGCGGCGAAAACATTGATTTCGATACGGAGGGCTACAATGGCATGACCCATGTCCTGAACAACGTCAAGGCCTTTTATCGCAGCGGATAAGAGGCTCATAATTAGAGAATAGATGCACCTAGTTTACAATTTTTTTTGTTTATTTTTTAAAAATAAAAGCGAGATAATCCTCATACTCCTGGAGGGCATTCCTACAAATTCGAACCAAGAGCACCCCTCCCTGTAGCTTTAAGAGAAAAGAACAACCATCACTCTCACAATTTGTTATTTGTATATTATGTTGGTATAAAAAAAGGCTAACTAGCAGATAATCCATTCAACAGTTGGAACAATTAACAGAGCGCCACGAGATGACCTGGATGGGATTACAAAGGGAGGGGGGGGGCAGTTGTTACTATGGCTATTGGAGCACAGCCGCATTGGCCACCACGCTGGGATTGTTCACCACCTCGCCCAGAGAGTCGAGCACCTCCTTCCTGTAGTCATCGAACTCGCCGTCGATCTCGTTGATCGTCTGGTCCTCAATCACGTAGAGAGTGCATCCGGTTTCGCGGATCAGTCGCTCGTCGTGGGACACGATAATGACGCCGCCCTCGTACTCGTTGATGGCCTCCGCCAGGGCATCGATACTCTCGATGTCCAGGTTGTTGGTGGGCTCGTCGAGAATGAGGACGTCGGGCGCACTCAGGCACAGCTCGGCGAGAGCCACACGCGCCTTCTGGCCACCGGACAGGTCCTTCATCTTGATGGTGTGCGCGTGGCTGACCAGGCCAAAGGAACCCAGGGCCTTGCGCGCCTTCTCGTGCGGCAGGTTGAACAACCGCTGCAAGTACTCCGCGGCCGACTCCTCAGCCGTGAGATGCTCTCCGGAGTGCTGGTCGAAGCGCCCGACATGCAGGCGATGGTTCTTCCGCTGCTCGCCCTCCTGCGGCTCCAGCTCGCCGAGGAGCAGCTTCAGGAAGGTGGACTTGCCCACGCCGTTGGGTCCCACGATGGCCACGCGACTCGTCAGATCGATACCGAAGTCGGCCTTGATGAAGAGCGGCTTCTGGTTCGGGAAGGCGAAGGTGACATTGTGGACGCCCAGGATCGGAGGCTGCAGCTGTGAGGGCTCTGGGAAGCGGAACTTGACGATGTACTCCTTGGGCCGGGCCAGCAACTCCTGTGGTCCCTCGTCCTCGTCCTGCTTCTGCTGCTTGCTCTTGTTCTTCTCCTGCTTGCGGGTGAGCGACTCCTTCTGCTTCTTCTCCGCCGCCTTCTTGGACTGGCCGTGGGCCTTGAGCTCGCGCAGGCGCTTCTCCTGCTTCTCGTACTCCTTGACCATCTCGCGCCGCTTCTGCACGTACATCTTCTTGAACATGGAGTAGTTGCCCTTGTAGTACTGCAGCTTCTTCTGGTCCAGGTGGATGATTTCGTTGCAGACGTTGTCGAGGAAACTCTGGTCGTGGGACACGATCAGCAGCGTCTTCTTCCAGCCCTGCAGGTAGTTGTCCAGCCAGATGACGGCGTTCAGGTCCAAGTGATTCGTCGGCTCGTCCAGCATGAGCAGCGTGGGCTCCAGGTAGAGGGCGCGCGCCAGCGAGACTCTCATCCTCCATCCACCGGAAAACTTGTTGGTGGGCCGATCCTGCATCTCCTTGCTGAAGCCCAGACCGGCCAGGATACGCCTGGCTCTGGCCTCCGCCGAGTAGGCTCCGATAGCCTTCAGTTCGGCAAACGTGTCGTTCAGCTCCTCCTGCACGCTCAGATCTCCGCCGGCGAACTGCTTCTCCAGCTCCTCGGCCTTCTTGAGCATCTCCGTGCGACGCACGTCCGCGTCCAGGATCGTCTCAATGGCCGTCTTGTCGGTGGCCACCACCTCCTGTTCGCAGAGCAGCACGTCGATGTTGGGCGGTATGGCGAAGGCCCTTGTGGCGATGTGGCGCAGCAACGTGGTCTTGCCATGTCCGTTCGGGCCCACCAACCCGTACCGCCGGCCGTGGGCTATCAGCAGATTGGCGTTCACGAACAGATCGTTACCTGAAACGGGATAGGGGTTTTTTCCAATAAACAAGCTGCCGGCGTAAACATTGCGCCGATGACTCACCCTTGGCCGAGATGGTGAAATTCTCGATTTTGATGTCCACGGCGTGCTCCAGGGCTGCCTGTTGGCCGGCGCTCTTCTGCACCTGGGACATGGTGAAGTTGTTGTCGAGGTCCGAGTGGCCGGCACCGCCCTTCTTGGTCATCAGCTCCATTTGGCGTTCGTACTCCTGCTGCTTCTTCTGCTTTTTCTTCTCCTTGTGGGTGAGTTTCTTCTCCTTGGGATCCTTGCTCTCCTCGGATTTGGGTTCGGCATCGGCCTCGACCTCCGGCTCTTCTTCAGGCTCTGGAGTTGGCTCTGGAGTGGGCTCTGGCTTGGGTTCGGGCTTCGATTCCTTCTCGACAGACTTCTCCTTGAGGCTCACAGCTGCCACCTTTTCGGTCAGAGCCTCTTCCTCGTTCTTCTCTTCCTCCTCCTCCTCTTTCTCTAGCTCTTCCTCATCCTCGCTGGCAGCATATTTGTTGGACTTTTGTTGCTTCTTCTTTTGCGACTTTTTGGGAGCCACCTCCACGATCTCCTCCTCTAGATCCTCTTCGGGCGCCTCGTCCTCATCTTCGTCATCGCTGACGGCGAACTTATTCTTCTGCTGCTTCTTCTTGGACTTCTTGGAAGCTGGCTTGGCGGCCACCACCTCCTCCTCCTCCTCCTCGCTGCCCTTCAGATCCAGATCGGGCTCTTCCTCGTCCGAGAAGTCGTCGTTTTTCTTTTTGTTCTTTTTATTCTTCTTGCCAGCGGGCTGCTTTTTCGCAGCTGGCTTCGCCTGGACCGGCTCATCCTCGTCCTCGTCCTCGTCTGCAGGAATTGCTTTCACAGGCTTTTCGTCCTCGTCGCTCCAGTCGTCGTTCTTCTTTCCCTTCTTACCCTTCTTGGGCTGTTTCTTCTGTTGCTGCTTGCTCTGCGTGGAGGAGGCCACGCTTTCCAGGTCGTCGGCATCACGATTCTTCGGGGCGACGTCCTCGTCACTGGAGTCTCCGCCACGCTTGCCCTTCTTTCCCTTCTTGCCGGACTTCTTCTCCGTCACAGCGGCGGCCACTTTCTCCACCTGCTCGTCATCGTCATCGAAGCGTTCCTTCTTTTTACCCTTGGCCTTGGACATGTCTGCGGGTTAAGTGGGTTGTGAGTACCAATAGGAGACACCAAGCCAGGCAACAACTTACTCTACTGCCGAGTTTCACTTTCACGTGCACAGCTGGCAAATTCCTCCAATTGGATCGGAGTCGGAAGAGGAAGCACCTGGCGATGGCAGAGCTGAAGAATTCGCGCACGCGATGCCTTTGTTGTGTGTTATCGATAGTTACATCGATCGATGTACCTCATGTATCAGTGTCTATTTAAGAAACTTTTAAGACCCCAAGTGTGATTGAAAGCAAATAATGTGTTTTTGTGATGATTTTTAAAACGCATTAATTTTTGATTTGCAATCGAACCGGGGTCAAGGTATGATTGGTGCCAGTTTTGCGCACCAGATGGCGCTGCGGAAACCTATCGACGTTGTTCCACCACTATCCCAGAGCTACATAATTGTTTAATAAACAATTAATCACTTAATATAAACAAAAACCAGTGCAAATAGTCAATGTAATGTAAAATAGAGCCTGCTAATTGACCGTAAGCGAGTCAAGCTCTTATCTCATACGGAAAAACAACGGCTGAAAAACACACACAACACCACCACCACCAACAACAAAAATCATAATAACAACAACAAAAAAACCAACCACAACTCAAAGGAGATTGAGATTCGCAACGCAATCAAAAAAAAAAAAAAACTACAGCAAGAGAAAAAAAAATAATAAACGCAAATAAGGCAAAACGCATAAATAAATAGGAAAATAATAGCTAATATTACTACTAGCTAGGAGCAAGTGGAAAAGTACAAGCAAATAAACAGAAAAAGAAAAGAGAAAACATATGTACGTTGCGTGAGAGTGACGACTGTGACCGTGTGTGTGCTGTTTCGTGTTTAATTGTGTGCGTGCGTGTGTGTGGGAGCGAGAGAGGGGTACAGGCAAAGGTGGTTAGCCATAACAACAACAATAATAACAAAAACAACACGACAGCATAAGCAAGACCTTGAAAACTTTAAAAGCAGCGAAAAAAACACAAATCAAAAAGGCGAAAAAAACAAAAAAATAAAAAAACAGCTCCGAAATTTTTAATAACTAAAACCTAACTATAAAAAAAAAAAATAGAAAAAAAAACACAAATCATAAACCACAAATAGCAAGAAGAAGCAACGAAACTGTTATGGAGAGTGACGACTTCCATCATAAGCACGGCGCCAATTAGCGACAGACTACTGTGGGGGAAAATCCATAAAACGGAGAGCGGGTGAACGGGAGAACAGGAGAGTGGGAGAGCTGGAGCACTGGATAACTGGACAGCTGGACAGCTGGAGAACTGGAGAGAATCGCGAGAACTAGTCTAGGAATAACTGTAAGGAAAAGCCAGTGAAAAACATGGCAGCAGCCGAAACGGCGGCCCTGGACGTGGCCACTGGAGGCACTGCATCGGGGGGAGGAGCCGCCGCTGGTGGTGCCGCCGAGGCGGCCAATGGCCGGGAAGCACGCAATCTGGCGGAGAAACAGCGCCGCGACAAGCTGAACGCCAGCATCCAGGAGCTGGCCACCATGGTGCCGCATGCCGCCGAGTCGTCGCGCCGCCTGGACAAGACCGCCGTCCTTCGATTCGCCACCCACGGCCTGCGGCTGCAGTATGTGTTTGGCAAGTCGGCCTCCCGGCGGCGCCGGAAACTCTGCCTCAAGGGCGTCAACTCGAACTCCTCCGCGGCCTCATTCCCCGGCGAGATGCAGCCGAGCACCATCCAGAATCCCAATCTGCATCTCACCGACACGCTGATGCAGCTGCTGGAGAGCTGCTTCCTCACCCTCACCTGCAGCGGCCAGATAGTGCTGGTCTCCTCCAGCGTGGAGCAGTTGCTGGGCCACTGCCAGTCGGATCTGTACGGCCAGAATCTGCTCCAGATCACCCATCCGGAGGACCAGGCTCTGCTGCGCCAGCAGCTCATCCCGAGAGACATCGAGACGCTGTTTTATCAGCAGCAGAACCAGAGCCCGCACAATCCTCACCAGCAGCACTCCACATCCACCTCGGCCTCGGCCTCGGGCAGCGACCTGGAGGAGGACGAGCTGGACCCGGAGCAGGAGCAGGAGCAGGAGCGGGAGCGGGAGGAGGACCAGCCCTACAACCGTCGCACACCCAGTCCCCGGAGCATCGCCCATCTGGCGACCGTCGACGAGCGCCTGCGTTCCGACCGCCGCTGCTTCATCGTCCGCCTGGCCCGGGCCTCCACCCGGGCGGAGGCCACCCGGCACTACGAGCGGGTCAAGATCGACGGCTGCTTCCGGCGCAGCGACTCCTCGCTGACTGGCGGAGCTGCCGCCAACTATCCCATTGTGTCCCAGCTGATACGCCGCTCCCGGAACAACAATATGCTGGCAGCCGCTGCAGCGGCGGCGGCAGCAGCGGAAGCCGCCACCACGATACCGCCCCAACACGACGCCATCGCCCAGGCGGCGCTGCACGGCATCAGCGGCAACGACATCGTCCTGGTGGCCATGGCCCGGGTGCTGCGCGAGGAGCGCACGCCGGAGGAGATGGAGGCCAGTGGCATGACCTTCTACCGGCAGCCGGAACCCTACCAGCTGGAGTACCGTACGCGGCATCTCATCGACGGCAGCATCATCGACTGTGATCAGCGGATCGGCCTGGTGGCCGGCTACATGAAGGACGAGGTACTGCTCTCTAGCTCTCCGGCTGGGGTAGCTTTCTCCACCTAATCAGCCGCCTAAATAATCGCAATTAGAACCATTCTGGCTTGTGGCTTCTGGCTACCCGATTTCACCAGATTGGCTAATTTTCTTGGCCAGTTAGCACGTTTCTTGATTGAGTTCCGCACTCCGGAATTCTGCTAATTGCTGGCCAGAAGCAGCCATATGGTCTCGTGGCTTAGTTTGTGAGAGTCTGGCCCAGAATAGTTCTAAATCCCTTGAATCCCGACCAATACTAATCACCGTCCTCCCTTTTAGGTCCGCAACCTGAGCCCGTTCTGCTTCATGCATCTGGACGACGTGCGCTGGGTGATTGTGGCGCTCCGGCAGATGTACGACTGCAATAGCAACTACGGCGAGAGCTGCTACCGGCTGCTGTCCCGGAACGGGAGGTTCATCTACCTGCACACGAAGGGATTCCTCGACATCGACAGCGGCAGCAACCAGGTGCACTCGTTCCTCTGCGTGAACACGCTGCTGGACGAGGAGGCCGGCCGGCAGAAGGTGCTCGAAATGAAGGAGAAGTTCTCGACGATCATCAAGGCGGACATGCCCTCGCAGACCACCAGCCCGGACCTGCCCGCCTCGCAGGCGCCGCAGCAGCTCGAGAGGATCGTCCTCTACCTGATTGAGAATCTGCAGAAGAGCGTGGACTCGGGGGCGACGGCTGCCTCGCCTGGTGCCCAGTCGCTGGATACCCTGATGGACGACGGCTACAGTTCGCCGGCCAATACCCTGACCCTCGAGGAGCTTGCCCCCTCGCCCACGCCCGCCCTGGCCCTGGTGCCGCCGGCGCCCTCCTCCGTGAAGCACTCCATCTCCAAGTCGGTGAGTGTCGTGAATGTGACGGCGGCTCGCAAGTTCCAGCAGGAGCGACAGCAGCAGCAACAGCAGCGACCGCCGGCGTCCGCCTCCCAGGGCGTCATCCGGCAGCTGAGCAGCTGCCTCAGCGAGGCGGAGACCACGTCCTGCACCCTGTCGCCGGCCAGCAGCCTGAGTGCCGGCGAGGCTCCCGACACCCCGGACCCCCACAGCAACACGCCCCCGCCGCCGCAACAGCCAGTGCGTCCGAGTGTCCTGCACCGGTCCCTGACCAGCACGCTGCGATGACGGGCCGACGGTACCTGGTTTGCCTTCTAGTAACGGGTGTGGTGTAATCTAAGTGGGACGTCGAGGGCAGACAGTACCGGGTATCTGGCAGGGGAATGAGTGGAAAGTAGAGCCCGGAAGTGCCCTAAAAAATAGGTAGATTGGAGGAGATAGTTTGGATTCTCTTTTGGAAACTATTTTTTTTTAAGAAAGGAAGTTTTTAAAATAATTTTTAAATATTTTAAAGATTAAGGAGTTAACATTTTTAATAATTTTAAAGATAATGTATGATTTTTAAACTTCCTACGAAGATAGGAGGTATATCATTGTTATATCTTGAATGTGATTTGTTTTTAAAATCCTTTATTGTATAAAATCTTTTATATTTTTTTCTTAAAAATACCAAAATGCCTTAATTTCGAGATAACGACTGCAGTGATTATCCGATCACGATGATGTTTACTAGAAGGACAGGAAGCTATAGCTATAGATTGTCTAAACTGCGAGATAAGAGCCATTAGTATAACAGCTAGTATAACACTTGCATAATCCTGCGATTGGTTTTTCGGGCTACTGGGCTTCTACTTATCACTTATATTTTGATTATATATTCAAATACTTCCCCCGATACCTGATGCTGTCTCGACCGTTCCCATAATCAATAATAATCTTTGTTATGTAATTTACGTTTAAAAATGTAAATATGTGTGTTTGTGAAACGTTTTTTTTTTCGCATGTCCGTGTATGAGTGTAGAGTGTGGTGTGTAGAGTGTGGTGTGTAGAGTGTGGTGTGTAGAATGTGTGTGGATACTATTAGATCAGTGCTCGGCTTTGGGTTTAGTTCAAATTGAAAATCCTCAGATCCCCGCCACTTGCCCCCAGAAACCAGTGTCTAAGCGACAAAATGGAGAAAGAAAAAAGAGTACAAAACCACAAACAAATATTTATTTCGTCCTAAGTCTAGAAATTCTCGCTAATATAACAACTCATTAACAGTTAAACGATCCAACGATAACTGTAATCGACGGAAATTAGACGATCGTTTCTCGAAGAGAGAGAGAGTGAGAGAGAGAGCGAGAGAGGCTCAAGTACAGTCGGACTTTTCTAAACCAAACTTTTGGGAAGATTTTTTTTTATAAAAAGTAGTTAGTTTATTTAAACAAAAAAAAAATATAATTGAAAGAAGTATAATTGTTAAACTAATATAATTTTTGGTTTTTGAAGTAGATTTTTACTGAAATCATTTCAAAACAGATTTTTTTAAGTTTTAAAATTGGTTTTCATACCAAAAGTTCTTAAAATGCCTAACTAAAGCTTTAATTTGATGTTGAATCCCTTTTTTTAAAGCATTTTTTAAATATTTCTTTTAAGAAATGATCTAAATTTTCCTTTTATGGAACGGTTTCAATATTTTTCAAGGTTTTCTGTTTTCTTTTGTAAATTATTGAAAAAAAAATAAGTTTAAAAATGTAATCAAAATCGTTATTATGGTTCAAAAACAACTTTTTTAAATCATTTTTTAAAAATTCTTAAGCACAAGGTTTGAAAAAGTTGTTCATTTTGAATTTTTAACATTTTTAATATTTGTAAATATATTTTGACATACAACCTTCAAGAAGCCTTTTAAAGAATAACTCAAAAAACAAGAAAATAAGTTTAAAAAAATTATCGAGTGCTTTTGTTAAAAATATTAACCATTATAATAATAATCAAGAAAAAATGGTTTTAAACAAATATTTTAGTTCAAAATTAAAATAGGTTCTTAAACTTTTAAAAGGTTTGAAAACATTGCTAAAAGATATGTACTAACCCCGTCTTGAAAGTTTCTTCTTAGGGAAGTTCGCCTGTAGTCCAATACTCATTAAGCCAGACAGTGAAGTGAGAGAGATAGCCGGGGAAACTCTTGCCCACCTTTCCCTTTCTGGCCTGTTATCAAAGCCTTTGCCATCGTCCTTGGCGTTGCGTTCTTATCGCCGCGTATCAGGAGAATATATAGTTTTTTTTTTTTTTTTGGGTGGTGTTGGGGTGAAATGGTTTTTGGGGGGCATTCGGGGAAAATGTGTTTTTTTTTTGTGTTTTTGTTTTATAGCGAAATTCAGCGCATTAATAATCGCTTAAAAATAAAAAAAAAATATCTATCTATATATAAACATACCTATATATAAACTTATACCTTTAATGTACGCTTTTTGTTTAGCTCAATTTTTTGTTTGTATTCTTAATTATTACTCGGAAGCGTTCGATCGTTCGTGTTTCTAGTGTGTAATTCAATTAAAAGTCTATTGTTAATTTCCCAGCGAATCGTACAGTGTTTGTTCAAACGAGTTGTGCTCTTTAAACACTTTTTGGTTTTATATTAATTTGTACTTTTTGTTTGTTGTTATTTGCCAAAAAAAAAAAAAAAAAAATGAAGAGAAAGAAAATTGTAATGTAAACTAAATTAGTACGTTATTATTTGTAATTTAGTTAGTTTTAAATGCTGAGCGGTAGTCTTGTAAGAAACATAATGTGTAATGTCTTTTTTTTAGAACTTGCTACATCCTAGCAATTAAAACTTAGACTGTAATTTAACAATAATTAATTGTAATAATCAATAACAGTTCATGAAGATGAAAAATTAATAAATCATAAATTATATTATTATAAAAAGTGGTTTTTGTACACGGTTGGTGAGTTCCAAGTTTGAATTCTAATATTTCTAGCGCCACCGCCGATAAGAAAAATTCCAATTGGAAGCGTGTTATCGATAAAAATATACCAGAAAATCCATGACAAAAGGGGCTTATAAAATACCAGAATCCTGTTTAGTTCCTAAAAAGAGCTATTTTTAGATTCTAATAAGATTTAAAATCATTCTATAATTTTATTAATTTCTTATAGTTTTATGTTTAAATATCTTTAAGATACAATTTTTAATATTTTCGTTATACTATGTTACCTGCAGATGAGCGTAGCATGTTTGATACCGTAAGCTAGTATAAGAGTAGCACAGTTTTCAAACTGGCCATAGTGTTACCATAATTTCGTGTGTTCGGATTTTATACCGTTAGGGTCACACCAAGCCCAAGAAATTTGATTTGAACTCGCTCTTCTTGCTCTCTCGAAATCTTGCTGATTTTTGTCTGCGTTCTCAGTCTGCTTCCGCACCGCGTCGCTGTCGGTGTTTTACGTCGTCTGCGCCGCGTCGTCTGGTGTTTGTTATTTGGTTCCAATCGGTGACGGTTTTTTCAAAAAAATACCCACGATTTCGGAAATGATTTTTTTAACGAGTGTCCAAATATTGGTGTGTTGATACTTATTTTTTTTTTAGTTTGATTTTATGTACCATGAGATACATAACTGTTATGTACATGTGATGATATTCGGTTTTTTTTTTGGATTTGAGGTCCAAAAAAGAAGTGCAGTGGGAAAAGTAAGAAATTCTGAATGAAGCTTAAAGTAAAAGCAGAAATTGAGAGTTGTTTGGTTTGGAGGTGTGTGTGCGTGCGTCGTGTGTTTTATTTATTCAGTAGCAGCAATCATTAAAATAATAATAATAATAATAACAACAAAAACAAGAGGAGAGAGGGTGGCTGGGAGAAAGGTGCAGGCGAAGCAAGAGAAGAAAGCAACACCTACGCATTTCCCGGCAGCTTTCTGTGTTGTTTTTTTATATTCCGTTTTGGTTTTTTTTTGGTTTTTTGTTTTTGGCATGCCTTTGCTTTCTCTCTCTTTGAAACGGCCAGCCTCCACCCACCTCCCCGTGTGTGTTTGCTTTTGGGCCCCTTTTCAAAAATTTCTCCACTTCCTGTTCTCTTCTTTTATGCGAGGGTGTGTGTGTGTTTGGTTTTTTTTGGGGGGGTTTTGCTTATTGTGCGTTAATGAAACGCACCTATTAAATAATCGATACAAATGGCGCAAAATTTCCAGCAGCCCAGCAGGTAATGTGTTCAACACACAAAGAAACTTGTCCCACATTCGTGTTTAAAAACCCAAAAAAAAAAGAAGTGGAGAAATAAATAAAAACTTGTTTTGTTTTGTTTTTGTTTTTCAAGAGCTTTGCTTGTTACTGTTACTGTTGTTGTTATTGTTTATTGCAATGCACAGAGATGATCATAAAATGAGCAAAGCTCTCTGTCTCTCTTCGGGGGTCTGTGGATCCCTTTGCTCTCCGCCTCTTTCCCTCTCTTTATCTCTCTTGGGGCTAAGATCAATCAATCAATGCAATCTTGGTCTGCTTCTTCCCGTTTTCCGTCTCCTCGCTCTCTCTGTCTCTTCGGGGACTGCAGAAACAAGGTTGAAGGTCTTTTTTGCATTAAAAACAACAACAACAACAAAAAGTAACACAAAAGTCTCCATATCTCTAAACAGGTTTCTCTTATTTAGTTTTATTTTTTGTATTTATTTGTTTTGTGAAGAGAGGAACCTTTTTTTTTTTTGAAAACATTTAAATATTTCAATGACGTCAGCGGAGGCTAAATTGTTAATCAGCACAATTTTTGCACAAGCCAGTGCAATTAATTAGCACTTATCTTGCTAAATTTTTTATTCCCCATAAATCTGCATATATATAGATATTTTTACATATATGTATCTACAGAAAAATCTTTAAAAAAAGCCTTCATTGTAGCTAAAAAAATACAAAAATATCTGAAAGCTTGGCGCAAGCGCAAAGTTATACAGAAGAAGAAGCAGGGCAGGTAGCCAGCGAGATGGCAATATCAGTAGTTCTCTCCCACTCCCTCACCCTCGATCGCTTGTCCATTTGTTTTAACTTTTTAGCTTCCCTACTCTTTCCCAGATTCCAGATAACAAAATGAAATAAAAAATAAATAAAAAATTGGTAAAAAAAAAAGTAAATTTTAAATTTCAAAACACATTGGAGAGAAAAAAACACAAGAAATTGCGAAAACATAATGCATTTAATAAAAGTTAAGACTAAACCCGCGCTACAAATTCCCAAAATCGTAAGAAACTAGCAAAAAAAAAAAACAAAAGAGTCCAAAACAAAAAAGCAAAAGGCACAAAACAAAAGTAAAACAAAGGCAAAAAGCCAACAGGAACAACAACAACAACAACAACTACTGCAGAAAGAGAGCCCAAAAGGCAAAACGACGGCCCCAAAATGTTGTATCAGCTAAGCAAAGCCACTACTAGAATCCGGCTCAAAAGGCAAAAGCAAAAGCAAAGGCAAACCCAAACGCTGCAAAAGCAAAAGCAAAGGCAAACGCAAAAGCAGTCAAGAGAGCCGCCGCAAGCAACAAACCGAAAAGCTGTTCCACAACATTGCTGGCTCTGGAGTTTAGCATTTCTGGCAGCATTTACTCTGAAGGTGAGTCTCACAAAAAAAAGAAACATGGCTAAAACACAGACACTCACACACACACACACACGAACTCTGGCACCCATACAATAGAGGGTGGCTATACAAAAAATACTTGGCTCAAATACTTGGCTTTTGATAGCAAAGTTTTGGCCAAAACTTCAGTTCCAGTTCCTCAATACTTCATGTACTTTCTATGTTTTGAAAAAGTTGTATTTTTGGGAAAATTATTCTCAATACTTTTTCCAAAAATGACCTTTTATATTTCATAGGAATAGGAATTTTTAGGCATAATATATGGGGTTTATGATATAAATACACTTTATAGACCAAAAGATTGTAATATAAAATACTATTTTTGAAGGAAAATTATTCTTGTACCCGATTTTATATACTTATATTAACTTGTTCTTATATTAACTATGTTTATAGAGATTAGATCGAATTTTAAAATATAATATAGGGGTTTATAATATAATTAGTCTTTATATACATATGTAAAAAGGTATTAAAAAATTAAATACTGTTCTTTGGGCATAAAATTCGGCTTAAAATATATTTGGTCTGAAACAAAAGGATTGAAAAATGGAATACTATTTTGATAGGAAGCATATTCTCAAAACTGTTTTCGAAATATTTGCAATCCTTATTTCAAAAATGCTTTTGCTTATTTGAAGAAAACTAACTTTTAAATGTTATTTAATAAATTTTAAGGTATAATATAGATATATATCGTATATTAAGGCCTTATGAACAAGAATATAATGCTTGAACATAAACTTATACTGTTTTGTATAGGAAACAAAGTTTTTAAAATTGTTGTGGAGAAATGTTCAAAACTTATTTAAAAACTGAATTTTAGTAAACTATTTCTAGGTGGGGTTGTTTTAAACAACTTTAAGGTATAATTTAGGCTCTAATATAGGTGGATTAATCAAGAAATCCTCATAATAAATACTTTCCAAAATAATTTTTGGAAACAATACCTATTTAGCCTTTCTAAACAAATATATAGAAATATGGAATACAGAATCCATATAATTCATATTTTTGAAAACTGCTTTTTAAAGTTCTTCAAAAACAACACACAAATTGTGGTTCAGTATCTGAAAACTGTTAGGTTTTATCTAATATTATTAATAATATTATTATAAAAAATAGAAAAGTTTACAAAACTGGACTAACTATATCATTAAGCGCTAGATACTGTGGCCTTCGGCTATGTGAGTGTTTAAGCCTTAAGGGTATTTATACATGTTGTGCCTTAACTTAATATTTAACCATTATCTATTTTGTAAATTCTTCTTCTTTAATTAGGTAACTAGTCTGTGTTTTACCTAATAAATGATAGGTTTTCTTTAAGAATCTTATCTTAGGGAAAGTATCTTAAGATACTAAACTTCAAACCAACTCAAGGCTCTAAACAAAAAGGATCAAGTCTCAGAAATAATAACCCTTACTTGTCTTTTTAAAATAAATCTTTTTAACTTACAGGACTTCTATAACTTGCATTTAAACCAGAACTGTGGCAAAAACTATCTATCGATTGCGACATAAATCTATTTAATTAACTTTCTAGAGTTGTAGGGGCAATCAATGCCACAAGATTCTGCAAACATGGTCGGCAGTTATTTATTTATTTGTTTGTTTGTGTGACCGACCAACCGACCCCCCATTTCCTGATGTAAATCACTGAATGGGTGTACCCCCCTGCTGCTTTGGTCTTTCGTCTTTTCCCATGTTAATTAAATTCAATTATTTCGCATCATGTTTGCCTTTCATTATTCTTAACTCTTAGCACAAAAGCGGATGTATGTATGTATATAGTCTCATATTCTCCATCAAAATCAAAGCTCTTGGCATTATTTCAAGACCTCGAGGAGGCGACAGAACTTGGAATTTGAATGTTGCATTTTAATTGGGTTTTGTTGAGGTTGTCATTTTAAGGCTAGGTTTAGAATGAAATTTATAAGTTACTCGGAAATTATATCCTTGGGGGCACTCTCAATGGGGTTCGTCACCTACCTTGCCATCGTGGTGTTAAGAGATATTAATACCTGGTACTTGTGGCGTATTTGGTTTCCATTTCGTTTTATTCCTATTAATAGGATAGGATATTATGTTTTAGAATATAATTTGTAGTAAAAATCCTTGAAAACTCTTCCCGTGGGGTTCGTCACGTACTTGGATTGCCCTTCACAGTCGTAAAAAATATTAGTTCTCAGTACTAGAGAAGTACATCGTATTAGTTGCTTTATTTTGTAATATATGTACATATAGGTTTAGTATAGTATTAGATTATATAATACATATTATTGCAAACACTCGTCACCTACTCGGATTTCCCTTCAAAATCATAAGAGCGAGTAATACTCGGTACTTGTAGAATTTATAATATTCCTTTTAATTACTTTTTATTTTAAAGTGAGAGATAAAATGGGGATTTAATCCCCGGTGGGGATTCGTCACCTTCCTGTCTTGTCTATATAATGCTAAGAGCGAGTAATACCCGGTACTTGTGCAGTCTTTACGCGGCTCGTCACCTACTTCCATGGTCCTTCAAAGTCATCAGAGCTACTTATGTATACCCGGTACAAGTAATGTTTATTGCATTCTTTTGATAACAAAACATGTTTCTAAATGTTTATTTCTTTTGAAAAATTTACAAAAATAATTTTTAAATAGTTTTCTACCTTTTAATTGACATTTCGTGCCGCATGACTTAATGTTTTCCAATTTACATAATATTCAACTTTCGCAACCAATAACCGGGAAGTGTGCATCCAAATTAGTGCTGAAAGTTTTTCCTAATTGATTCCGCAAGCACGAATTGAATATTTCTCTGGGATTTTGCAAACTTTTCTAGTCTCTAGTATCTTGTAATTATATGTATTTTACAGAACTTGGCACGAAAATCGAAACCGGCAGTCAACCGGTTCGTATTTTGTTTTTATTTGGTTTTATTTTACAATGACTTGAATTAGGGTTTCTATTTTTGTATCTGTGTTTTATTTTTGTATTTATACCATGAATTAGTTTAAAAAACTGTTGACGCGTAACGTGTAGTATTCCCCGCTCCTGTTTCTAACTCACCTGGCATATTGTTTACCTGAGAGTTGATTTTTTTTTAGTTATTTGGGTTGTTTTTTATTCGATTTTTTGTTATGATTGTGTAAGTATATTTTCTAGCTCCCATAAATAAACAGAAATATTTGCCATTTAGTCACATACAAAATTGGTTTACATTTCGAGACCACAAGTCACGTTTTTATTCGAAATAATACAATTCTATATTTTTCTATATTCTTTATCATTTGTAGACATTTTTAAAAAAAGCTTATGATTTTCATAAAAATATCCTTGCTCACACGACACCCAACTCGTCACCTACGAGAACTGTTTTTCATAGTGATGGGAGATATTCATACCCGCTACTTGCCTTAAAATAAATTATAATTATTATATATAGCCAACTAAAAATATTTATAATAATCAAAAACAAGGCTTTAAAACAATTATCCCTGTGGGGTGGAAAAGGCCAAGAAAAAAAGGATAATCCAGTGGCAATTAAATGCAGAACCGTATCCTTTATCCTTAGATGCACAATCCAAGAGGACAAAACCACGCCCATTCCTTGTCCAGGGCACGTGTCAACCGTAACAACAACAGAAAAAAAAACAAAAACAAAAACAAAAACAAGAATAAAATAAATAAAATCACGAAAATCAGAAACAAAAGAGCCAAGTTCCCAGACTGGCAAGAAAGGGCAAGAAAGTCACCAGCCAGGATGACAATTAAATGCAAGCCATCCTAGCAACCCTGCCCTGGACTGCAATCGACACCAAAAAGCACTCCTCGAGCCACCCCCTTTTTTCGCCTTTATTTTCTTCGTTTAAAAAAATGTGCATAAATTAAGTAACAATTACATCAGGTTAAGTCCGGGCTTATTAACCCTCTTACGGCATGACTAATTGATTTCGCTCGATATTACAGCTAGAATGTGATTCATGGCCCTGCCGGCATGGCTTTCCCAAGACTACTGCGTTCGCCGTTGCTCCGGAATGTGCTTCGAAATCAACAGCACCGAACTGCATTTTTTACAAATTACTTGCAAATAATTAAGAGATATGAGGGGTAATCGGGGAGATATAGACATTGTTAGGGCACATGTGAAAAGAAAGATTTTTTAAAGGGGGTTTCCATGAAAGGAGTACATGGACCTAAAGAAAGGAACAATAAATAAATCTAATAAATACTTTTAATATGTCTAATAAATATATAATACTATAATAAATACTAATAAATAATCTTTTTTTTGCGAATATATCTTCTAATGTTTTATAATAGTTTTAGGTATTCCGCTTGAGAGTCGGATGAGAAATGGTAGGGATATAGACAATATATTAGAAAGATAAAGGAAAGGGTATTAGTAAGCTTCCTCTGAGTCCCACGATACCCTATCCTTCTTAGTTTCGGTTCGTATCTGATCCTAAAAATATCTGGCAACAATATTTCCAAAGACCCTGCCACCTCGCCAGCCCGCCCCAGACATCAAACGGCGACTGGAAATAGCGCCAAAAACAACAACATGTGCGGCAAAGGCCTGTGGCAAATGCAAATGCCGGAAATGCAACATGAAATCGCGGATAAAGAGGGAAAATCGTGCCGTCTTTGGGTTTCTTCTTTCGGCTTTGATCGAAAAGGAAAGAGTGTTTGATTTCTCGGCGGATGATCGATGTGGGAGGTGTCTGGACAGCCACCCTCCTGGCTGGGAATAGTTTCTGATTGGAAGGTGGAGGATATGGATTTTGGAATCATACCCATGCCCAAGTCTCGGCCAACAAAGGGCCAGAAACGAACCTTCAGGCGCTGTCCTCCCAAACGAGGGTGACTTTTCCTTACAACTCATGCCATTCGAATAAAAAACTAAATATTATTTTGGAAGAAAATGTGACTAGGAAGTATATGATTAAAAGTTCTAGTCTAGAATTATTTGGAAATAAAAAAAAAGAAACAAAAATCAAAGGTTACTTTGATGAAAAGTATTTCTAATTCCGAATGTCACTATTTTTGTGAGCTTCTCTGTGGTGGAGTGGGCTTTCATAAAGTCTCTTAATATTTGTTCACTGTATCTATGAATCATGAAACTGGGGAGGTTTCCCAACGCCCCTGTCCGGCCCAGAGGGGTAACAACTCTAATTCCCTGTCCGTCATAATATTCCCTCCAACCCAAAAAATAACTACAATATATTTGGATTTTCAGCTTGTTATGGTTACATTTAAACACAAATCTATTACAAATATCTGGTACCCTTTTTCTGGTGTCCGAAAGTTACTTTTTCACAAAGGCCCTGATCGAATACTAAGGCCATCATTGGTATATCCCTGCTACTCTCTCTTAGTCCAGGAATCCGTCTCCAGATCTGGTGGAATGGCCGCATCCATGGTGCACTTCAGTCAAAGCAGGGGGGTAACCAAACTGCTCCATTGATGGTCCCTCCTGGGGGCTTGAAGTATCGGCGATTCAGCTTCCCACAACTCCAGAGTATTGGCGACTAAAATAATCGACACTGCAAGGGAGTCGAGTTAAAAAATTATACAATTTTTATTTATTTATTTATTTTTTTTGACTTGCCGGTGATGGCTTCAATATCTAAAAGATCAAATGTATTGGCTCTGTATGCTTTTAGTCTTTCTTTTATAATTTTGACGCCGAAATATTTGAGACGACAGGAAATGCAAGACAAATACTTAATTTTTCGTTCACAATATTAGAATTTAGCATTTTTCCGAAAATTGTAATTTTTATGGGTGTCTGTTACCTTCGAGCCTCGGCTCGATACTGAGCATCTGAAAATGGGAGAGCTCCTTCTATGACTTTTAATTGAATATCTAGGCCTACTATCTCAGAGGGTTTGGAATTTCAAGTTCATGGCTTGCATGATTTTTGTTTGTTTTTTAGCTTGGAAACTCTCACTATTTAATTTTAAATTAATAAAAAATATAAGAAAAATGTAGTTCTTCTTCGTACCACAATATTTTATTATGACTCAAACCATCAAATTTCTACTATTGAGTCCAATACGAATTTTCCTTCCAGTTTTCCACCCAAAGTTCAACGAATTCCCAGGTGATTCCTCTTGTATTCCTTGTGTATTCTTCTTGTATTCTATAAAGAATTTGGTCCAATTGAAATTGGACCATTGGAAAGATTATTACAAAATCGATAAAGATACTTCAGACTATTCTAGTTTATAATTCTAGTAAGAATTGACTTGTACTTTTGCACCACAATATTTTAATATAAATTAAACCATACAATTTCTGCTGAGTTCCTTTAATAAAAAAAACTCCCTATGAAAAATGACCCGTGAGTTCCTCAATTCCGTGTATTTCATTGCAGAATCCTCTGGTTTTCCTCATTTATTCCATGCATACTCATATTCCTCCTATATATATATGAAAGAATCCTCCCCAACTTAAATAATAAGCTTAAGACAATTTTATCAACGGATTATTCCTCATGTACTATTCCCTTTTTATGCGACTTGGTTTGATTCGAAGGTTAAAGTATAAAATAAAGTGATTTGAGAAGCCTATGAGAATATTCATGAAATTGGAGAAAAATGTTTAATTGAACACTGATTATTCATTAGGAACCGGGAAAACTTCGATAGCTGGCTATCAAAAAGCCTTATTCAAGCCTAACCTATAACTAAAAAAATTACAAAATAAAATACTTCCACAAATTAAATGAATAACAAAAATTGAATTTGGAAAAATAAGTAAGCATTGACATTTCTTTTATAACAAAATATTTTGTATTTTATTTCCTTTAATATATTTACATTTTCTGTGGGCCAAGAGAATTAATGGCAGAATCCTCTGGTATTCCTTTAATATTCCCCCATGAACCCTCCCCAATTAAAATATTAGGTATTATAATATTGGTTATATACATATATTACAATATACATATATATAACATTTATTTAATATAAATATTTCATCTTGTTGTCGCGTGCCTAGTTTCTATTAGTGTTTCTATTTCGTATACACAACATAACACAAAGAAAGACAGCAAGGACTCTCAACACTGAACATTTCAATGCCAAATTAGCGATTCCTCTGCTGCAGTCTTGAGGAAGTTAAGCCTGGCTTTTAGTCGTCTCTGAATTACATATATTGGCTGTCACATTTCTTGATTGAAGAACCTCTGGATGGTGAACACGATTGGCGGCTTCCTGGGGAAGATTTGTCTTCTTGCAATAATAAGTTCTTGCACTGCGACAACGGGATCCTGAAGCTGCTAAAGACTGCTGGGGCCAATCTCGGAATAGGTGTCCACATCTCTGGTTTCCAACCAAATCTAATAAATATTACAATAAATAATAATATTAATAATAACTTTTGACTTTTGAAATATTTATTTTTCAATATTTTTAATTATTTATTTTTCAATATTTGAAATATAATATTTTTTTTTTACTTACCGAAAAATGTTTAGCTGAAGAATTCATGTTGTTTTACTTTTTGTCCTTCTTTTAAAATTTTAATTGTCCAAATATTTATTATATTACAAATAATTTTTGGGCTGTATAACCGGAATTTGGATGTTGCTTCGAAACGAGCTATTTGTATACTGAGGCTCTATCGATTTCGGGCGGCCTTTTATACTAAAATTTGTCAAGGCCTACTGAGACTTTGGAGTTGAAATTTCCATTTTCAATTTTCAAATTCTTTGCATGATACAATTATTATTCGGGCTCCGCCCGAAGTTAGCTTTCCTTTCTTGTTCATAATGAGATCCCTTGAAAATGCAGTTTTCCCTATTGGGTCCACAGTAATGGCTATATCTTCCCCAACTCTCATCCGATTCTCAAGCGGAGTACCTTAAACGATTTCTATATCGATTCTCCATCATTCTGCATCAAAATCCTGACACAAAATATTTTTTGGATTTTTTGTCCATTTTTCCTGATGGGACCCCTTGAAAATGCAGTTTTCCCCCATATGGCCCACGGCGATGTCTATATCTTCCCCAATTCTCATCCGATTCTTAAGCGGAGTACCTTAAACGATTTCTATATCGATTCTCCATCATTCTGCATCAAAATCCTGACACAAAATATTTTTTGGATTTTTTGTCCATTTTTCCTGATGGGACCCCTTGAAAATGCAGTTTTCCCCCATATGGCCCACGGCGATGTCTATATCTTCCCCAATTCTCATCCGATTCTTAAGCGGAGTACCTTAAACGATTTCTATATCGATTCTCCATCATTCTGCATCAAAATCCTGACACAAAATATTTTTTGGATTTTTTGTCCCTTTTTCCTGATTTGACCCCTTGAAAATGCAGATTTCCCCTATATGGCCCACGGCGATGTCTATATCTTCCCCAATTCTGATCCAATTCTCAAGCGGAGTACCTTAAACGATTTCTATATGGATTCTCCATCATTCTGCATCAAAATCCTGACACAAAATATTTTTTGGATTTTTTGTCCATTTTTCCTGATGGGACCCCTTGAAAATGCAGTTTTCCCCCATATGGCCCACGGCGATGTCTATATCTTCCCCAATTCTCATCCGATTCTTAAGCGGAGTACCTTAAACGATTTCTGGATCGATTCGCCATCATTCTGCATCAAAATCCTGAGACAAAATATTTTTTCGATTTTTCGTCCCTTCTTATACTCTTGCAGAAGGTATTATAATTTTGTCCAAAAGTGTGCAACGCAGTGAAGGAGACATCTTCGACCCTATAAAGTATATATATTCTTGATCAGGATCATCTCCTGAGTTGATATGAGCATGTCCGTGTGCCTGTCCGTCTGTCTGTCCCTCTGTCGGTTTCTACGCAAACTAGTCTCTCAGTTTTAAAGCTATCGTCTTGAAACTTTGCACACACCCTTCTTTCCAAGATTTTTTATTGTAATTAATTGGATTATATATTCATATTCCCATAAGAATCGGCCAGCTATATCCGATGTTTGCGATATATATCCGGTTTTAACTGCAAGGGTATATCAACTTCGGCTCCGCCCGAAGTTAGCTTTCCTTTCTTGTTTTGTCTTTAGATCTTAGAAGCCCACAAACAATATCTCTACTAAGAATAGATTAACCAAACTTTGTTCATTCATTAACCAAAAATTAGTCCAAATTTTATACTTCTTATTCAATTTTTAGTTATTTTATTTCGACTTTCTAGTGTATCTTTCCGCCAATCCATTAATAACCCACAAATATACAACGCCATATTATAAAAGCTATAATATATCGTTTTATTATGATATTTTATAAAAATCCCCGCCATCGTAAAAGAAATGCCCTCTTCATTAATATATCTAAAAACGGTTCATATATTTATAAATATTCATAGAAATGCACATACATGGAAATCGTAGTAGACTCTGAATAATACTTCATGCTAACAAATATCCTCTACAAAAAATTGCTACGAATTCCTGTTAATAAATATCTTTATTATTTTTATCCATCAATTTTTCATTACGATTTTTATTTCGTTTCCATTTCCATTTTTTTGGTTAAAGAAAGACATTTATTTTCATTTCATTTCATATATATATATAAATATTTTATTTAATTTTTTTAAGCCCCCCTCCCCGGCCATATTAGAAAGAACACCATGTTTCAATTGACATTTCACTTGTAAATTTTTATTGTAAATTTGTTTTGTGTGCTTGTGTACGTCCAATGCAAAGAAAGACAAAATTTTGAGACAATATTTTTGATCCTTTGATCCAAATCCATTCCTAGAAAGTTCCACGATTTCACGACATCAGACAAGGACGAATATTTCCGAAAACAGATCAGATTACAACTGGTTGATATTTCTTCCAAAACACTACATTCTCTGGGAGCGTTTTCCTGAATACATCATCATCTGGATCGTGAAAACATCTCTGGGTTCTGGAGAATACCAATTTTGGGAATACTGATCCGAAAACTACATACTTCTGGCCACCTTGGCTCACGTATACAGGTCAGGAAAACTTGTCAAGTGGGTTGATAATTTCTTCGGTCTCTGAGCTCTGGTTGGTATTACTATATCTGCTGATCTTCTACCTTTTTTTTTTTTGTTGCACACATTTAAGTTTTTGGGGTTTCCAAACTTTTGATCCAAACTTTGACTTTTGATCCAAACTCGATGACAATTCACGAGAAATAGCTATTCCGCACAGCGCCCATGTCCGGGTTGTTGGCCGGCTGGATGCGGGGCTGAGGTGGTGCCCTTTCCTGGGTCCTTGGCGGCACCACGTTGAGAAAGTCCCGCGGGTGCTCAGCCTGGCGACTTTGCCGGGACGCCCGTTGTTGCGGTGTTCGATAATATTCCGTGGCTCTGCGTTGTGGGTACAACTCACAATTGTCGGTTTGGAACTGAAAATAAAATAATATATTTTCTTTAATAATTTTTTTTTTCTGAAAAATAATATTTTTTCCTGAAAAATAATTTTTTCCTGAAAAATAATTTTTTCCTGAAAAATAATATTTTTTCCTGAAAAATAATAATATTTGGAAAATAATATTTTTTCTGTAAAATAATATTTTTTTGGACTTACCCAGCGCCTCTCCATGGCCTAATTATTTAATTTAAGTTTGTCTTTCTTTTAAAATTTTAACTTGTCTAAATAATAAAACTAAGAATTTATTTTCTAAAATAATTTTAGGGCCGAAAAATAATTTTTTTCCGAATATTATTTTTGGTTTTTGGGGTCTGGTTGCCGAAACGTTTGATTTGATACTGAGAATCTGAACGGCCGGTCGGCCTTATATACCCTGGGTTCGGGCTCAAGGCCTCCTTTGATCCAAAAATTTTTTTGCTTCGGCTTAAAATGTTTTTTCACAGCCTGTTGGGATATTTTCATAAAATATTCGTCCCCACCAAGCCTGCAGGAAAATTAACTTCATTTCCCCTCGAACTCAAATCGATACTCTGGCATCCGCAGTGGAATAACAAAAATATATATAGATGAGCTCCTCCGATGCAGTGGAATGTGGGCATTGCTAAATGAACAGATGCAACACAACAGCAGACTCGAAAAAAAACAAAAAATATATATATATATGTATATAAAACGTAATGAGAAAATGCAATGGAAGTGCAGGAGTGGGTGGTGGCGGGAAAAGGGAGTTTTTGTTTGCTTAATTGAAATTTATTGACTGCAGGTCTGGGGAATGGGTGGGGAACGGGGCCGAGAAGTGAGTAGAAACAGATGCAGTCGAGAGGCAGAGTTGGGAGTCCAAAGAACCTCATTTCCGTGTCTTTCCCGGCGATCGTTTGTGGAACGCTTTTCCGGAAAGTTGACGTTTTTATGGCTGTTGCGAAATCAGCCTCATAAACTTCAGAAACAAATAGTGCAGATCGTGATTTGGTATTGGAACTTGGTATTCCTCCCCCGAGGCAGGGGTTTCCCCGACCTGTCAATCATGGTATGGGACATCTGACAGGTTGTCAGGGAAGCGCGTGAGTTTCTTCGGGGGGTAGGGCCACACTAAATTGCCATTTTGACAGGAGTTTTTGATGAAGGTCTTGTGGAACTTTGGTGATTTTTTTTAGGAAAGCTTTCAATGAGCCAAAGATAGGCCATAAATATTTAAAAGAAAGCAAATATTTCTCATTTTTTCACTCAAATATATATGAAAGCATATATATCCCCCTCCAAAAGTGTAATCAAATGAAAGCCACCCGAAAATTGACACAAATCCGGGGGAAAAGACAAATCGGATCGCATCAATGGTTTCCCATAACGAACACTCCGAGAATGACCAATGTCAATGTCCTTGAAACCCAGGGACTTAGTCAGGACATCCCTCCAGGACTCTGGGACTCGCCCTTGCCACTATGCCATGTGGCTGGAAAAATTGTTTGGCCAGCACGATCGTAATTTGGTTGAATTCCAGAGACTTGTGTCGCTTCAAGGGTGTGAATTCATTTGTCGATTTAATTATTAGTTTCTGCTGCTGTTCATTACACTGGAAAAAAATAATAGGAGTCATGGAAATAGTTAGGAAGTTATAGGTTCTGTTTGAATAGTTCTAATCTTAGAGATCTTAAGATATTCTGATATATTTCTATAATAATAAAGACCTTTATTTTATTTTCTTCCAGTGTACTTTTTTTTTTGTAAAAACGCAATTGAGTTTTAGTTTCCCCCTGATGTTCAAGCAGCGACAAATGCGAGGGTGGCTGCTACAATAGTCCACCCCCCAGAGCACTGACCTTGGAATACATATATATATATATATATATTTTAGTACAATTATAGTACATACATATATTTATATGTGTGACACATTTCATTCGGAATCGGAATGCGGAAACCTCAAAAACAGGGTTGTTTCAAAAAGCAAAAGCAAGTTAATCCACTCCATACGGTCCATCGATTCAATTAGTCCCAAGATGAAAGTAAAATTTTCATTTGACATCGATAGAAAATCGAATAATGCAATGGATTAGGTTTTGGGTCTAAGGGGGATGCTTTCCCCACAAAATGAAACTAATACTGGAGAGATAAAAGCTGGGATGGTGGCTCAGATAAGAATAGTATAGAGATGATCTTAACGAAACACTACCTATAGGTAGTCTCCAGTTTTGTATTATTATCGTTAACCTCTACAGTGTCTTAAAAAAATGTGTTTGTTTTGAAATTTTTGTTTTAAGAAAGCAAAAGGAGTACAATTTATAGCCGGGCTTATAGATTTATCATAGATTATCAACAAAATATTGCAGCAGGTGGTAAATACCTGCTAATATAAAATAAAAAATTCCATTTATTCAAGTTTGGAGTTTAAAATAATTTAAAATTAAATTATAGAAACATATGGAAAGCATCTATGGAGAACATTATGTGTTGTTATTATAGGAGGCAAAATTAAACCCTAGTCACCATTTAAGGGTTAACTAAACTCTGGTTACTCAACACTGTTTTACTCACAATCTTCCATTTCAATAACGGTATCATTTTGCATCAGATCTCAAGTATTACAAGAAAGACATGAATCAGGTGCCACTTAAAATCATTATTAGATTTATTAAAACACCCAGAACCCAGAACTATATCAGAAATGCCATAAATTCTTGGGAAAATTCTCAAAGTAACAAAATAACAGGATAAACCAGAATGGTAATCAAATTTATGATTCGATTCTGGCAACTTTCTGATCAAGTTCCTTCAACAAAGTTAAATCGAAGAGAGGAGACCTCGTTGGACAAAGTTGTGGCAACTCCATGTGTTGCAAGTTGCGACCCCCAATCACCTGCCAGACAGTAATTGAGGTGCTTTATGCATCGTAGACGTGGAGTGTCATCCAAAAAGGAGCAAAAATATAGAAAAAAAATAAACGGAAAAAATATTCTGAGGATGCTCTAGGGGCTATAAGTCTTTCTTATATTTCTTTTTTTTTACTGAGGAAATGGCAACGTTTTACCTGTAGACTTTTCCTTTTTTTAATATTTTTTTTTTTGCAACTTTTATACTCCAGTCCCTGGGCGGCTTAAACTGTTTGCTTGTACCATTACCATTTCCATTCTTACATACATACATACATGCTACTTGCCCCAAGACTCTTGCCATTCGTGCCCCCGACTCCGGCCCGGCCCGGCGTGTAGATGCAACCATTAGGACTACGTGCCAAAGTGCACTGAGGAGTCAACAGCGTCTTGGTTGGAAATTCAATTTGTGGCAAGTTTTAAAGGCACTGAAAAAAAAAAAACTTGATCAAATTTAATGGGAATTTATTTATTTTTTTTAATAGAATTTATTGGAAACTTAAGCTTATCTAAATTATTTTTAAATTTTTGCGAAAAATCACTTTAAAAGGTATGAAAATTTTTTGCAGTGCTTGTTGACAGTCATGTCAGCGCATATCGTGAGGAGTTGTGAGAAGTTCCCGGCTTCCACCCACGGAAATGTGAGGTGCATCCTTGAGCCGTTTGAGCTTAAACGTTGCAATCGGCTTATGTGAACCATAATTCCATAACTGCTTTCAGTGCCAGCGTGTGTGTCTGTTTTGGCCAAGTTATCGGCCCATCAGAATGGCCACTAGGGCTTATAACACTCATTTGCGATTCAATGACCATTGCGATAAAAAAAAAAACTCTCCTAATGGCTTCGACACGTGCGTTGGGTGATGCATTCGGCTTTGAAAATACTACACTTTATGGCCATTTTTTATCGAACTTCCCACACACACAAAAAATCGGCAAAAGAAACAACTTAATAATTAAGGGTAAGCTCGCAAAACCAAGTTGTTTATTACCTTTCTTCCCAGCTCTTGATTTATTAAGTTTTTCTATGAAATATAAACCCCAACCCTAGGAAATAGGTGCACCTTCTGGAAAACACAAAAAAAATCAAAGCAGATTTCCCTCATCCTCCTCGCAGTTTTCTTTCATTTTTCACTCCCCCCGTTGGAAATGCATTTTTAACACTTTTTTGGCACGCATCTCTCGCTGGGATATTCCCAAGGGTGGAATATATAATATTGGTGGGCGGGGGACATGGTAGGAGGTGTGGCAACAGCAATCCCGGGGTTGTTCGATCGGGGTCTGTCTTTATTATTTATCGATTGGCGTTCGATTGGCCTTTCAGAGCCTGTCAACAGATGGAGGTCCCAAAAAAAAAAAACCAAGAGAGGGTTGTATTTTATAGCTTTCTTTAAAAAACAGAAATTAAGTTAATTTATTTAGGGTAAATATTCGTAAATATCTGTGATATGTGAGATATAAACCATACAGATCTGGAACCAAACGAAAATTACAAAGCGAAAAAGGCGGAAAAACATGCTTTTGAGACCTAGCATTCAAGACCAAGCCCTTCTGATTAAATAGATTTTAGGATACATTTTGGATAAATATTAAAAAGTTATTATGATATTATATTAAAGGCAAAATATTAAAATTCTTAACAGAGAATCTTATAGTTTGCTTATCAGCGCTACAGCCTTTTACGAATTAACATGCGTTAAAGGAGGAAAAGCATGCTTTCAAGGATTGTCTTACTTTAATTTCTCTTGTTTCAATGGATTTTTTAAGAGATTAAACATAAAATTTATTAAATAACTATGATATTAGAGGCAAAAAACCTAGCCTTTTTTTTTTTCGAAGCTCTTGTGCTTGCTAGAAACTTTTTTAGAGTTATGAAGCGAACAAAAGAATAATCATGCTTTTACCCTGTTTCTTCTGTTTTAATTGATCCATCCTGAAGATTTAGAATAAATATCAATGAGTAACTTAAGGGTAGTAACGTTAGTAACGTTAAGGAAAGAAATATTAAAGAAAATCTAATATTTTCCTATCGGATACCTCGATGATGGACAGATCTGCAACTATTAAAGAATTATATTGATGAAAAGGCGGAAAAGCATGCTTTTATAGTTTGTCTACTGATTCATTCTATTTTTAATAGATTAAGTATACATTTTAATAAATAACTTTGATATTTAAAGCAAAAAACTTAAAGTTGTTTAGGACGTTGTTTAGTTGAGTATAGGACGAAAAAGATTAACAAGCATGCTTTTCAACTTTGTCTTCTGGTTTGATAAACCTTTGAAAGGATTAAAGTTAAATAATGACGAATAAATACGATATAAAAGTCGAAAGGCTAACTTTAGAGTTTATCAGAGACTGCTGTTCTTAAA